AGGGTGGTAAGAGCAGGTTTCTCAGCTTTCTGATGCTTTACCCCACCCCAAAAAAATCTAGAACTATGCCTAACCTTAACACACCTACATCCCGTGAGAGAGTACAGCCTAGGTCTCACGACTGCATGCAGCTTATCTACCACCCCCTAAAATATTTGACTGTCTGTTTGGGGGGAGATATTGGGACAGAACTGACTTTTGTATCTCAAAGAAGAAAAAAAAATCACTGAAAACTATCAAAATTATGACCATGAGGAAACAGATTAAAAACAGCATATTCATACCAACACTGTACCAGCAGTGCCAACTTAGAATCATCAAATGCTAACTTACATAAAATTAACTCTTGTGGATTTTAATGCCTGAGGAAAGTAGCAAACCTAACCACCCGAGGCAAAGTTAAAAATGATACTATCTGACAGATTGTAGAAACAACACCATATACAAAATTCACTCAGAAACAGAATATCACATGGTCATGAAAAGAACCCCCATGAGCTTCCTGCCTCTTCAACACACAGCCATCTGTATAGACCATCACATCACCTAGGTGAGAATTGTCGCAAATCAATTGTTAAACTTCTGATTCTTCAGCGCCCTTGCACTCACGACCCGATGTGATCAGAACCCTACACAAGTCTGAAACTTGCGCTCGGACATTCTGACCCACTCATCTCATTGCCCAGTATTATCAAGCCTGCACACATGTCTAGTTGTGTCTTCAACTCGCACCAACCTTAGCTCTGTCCAGGAGGTGTTTCTTATCTGCAGCTACTCTAAGATATGACTTAGCTTGCAGTCCTTTGAACCTACCTGTTAACAGTCGACAGTGCAAGTATTTTTATCACATATATACTACCAGGTTCATTGTCATTTCTTTTAGTGAGGCCCGCTTGTCTGTTGTCACAATGTGTTTTACACACTGCAACAAGCATTCTTAAAACAAAATAAATCAAATTCAGACTGTTGTTTTGTTACCTCTGTCTATTTCAGACAGTTGTTACTTTAAAGCTTTAATTAAGATAGTTGTTACTTTACCTGTATACATTTCAGAAAGTTGTTACATTATCTCTTTTTCAGATAGTTGTGACTTTATCTCTTTTTTATTTCAGAAAGCTGCTACTTTATTTCTATTTCAGATAGAGGTTACTTTATCTCTATCTATTTCAGAAAGTTGTTATCTCTATTTCAGAAAGTTGCTACTTTATGTAGTAGTAGTGGTTATGGTGGTGATAGTAGTAGTAGTTGTTGTGGTGGTCTGTTGTAGTAGCAGTGGTGGTAGTAGTAGTAACAGAAGAAGAAGAAGAGGAAGAAGGGCATTTCTTCGTCTGAACAGTACAACATTATCGCCTGCAAAGATGGAAATGAGCCAGCAGTTTGCCACTGCTGCCTGCACTTATGACACTTAATACCACTGTCAACAACAATGCACACCAATCTGCTACCAATCTGTTTGCAGTTAATTCTAACCTGGTATGTCAGGATTATGAAACTGTGATCACAACCAATAAGCCAGACACCAAAGATACAGGAACAAGAAGCAGGTTAGTCTAAAGACCCCACAGGAAACAAACAATTTTGCAACAATTATTTAGAATAAATGAAACTCGAAAGGGGCGTTTCTTTTTAATTCTATGACCCAAAAAAAATGAAATAACAATATATTCATTTATCCTGAAAGAAAAGCTACATACAAAACAATGCACATGTTATATAATAAAACAATCTTAGAGCACAGAAAAGAGTGAAATATCAATATGACTGTCACTTTCTTCTCTGTTCGCACCCCCCCCCCCTTTTTTTCTCCTCAATCAAGTATCATCATCATGTGCCATGCCAATAAGCATAGTCAATCATGTTCCACTATCTCATACGATCACCAGAACCAAGGATTATGTCAATGTTCTTGTTCCCTGTGTGGATTTCGGTGCCCCATTGTGGGGGAAACAAGAATAGACTTACTGCCTACACAACAAGCATGTCATAAGAGTCAAGTAACTGGGGACATCCTTCGAAGTCTGAGCACATCTGCCCGAGAGGCAGGGAACCACAAGTACATGCGGCACTCAGGTTCTGGAACAAGACTAAAGTCCGGAGGTGGACAAACACCCAGAGCTTTCCGCTGGAGTTGACAGCCAGTGAACGTGAAGAAGAAGAAGAATGTTCTTGTCTCACCCTATCCATGTGGCCAAGCCTCCAGGTATCTACCTCTTTGCTTTCCTCTTGCCATCAGTCTTGCCAGTTATTACCAAGCCCTCGAGTCCTTCTCATAGCATGTCCTAAATTCACAGACTGTCTGCTGCTAATTCTTTTGATAAGTTTATGACTTTCATCTGTCTCGATGATGAATGCTTTGTTTGCTTTTGTATCCCTATATTCTATTGATGATGAATGCTTTGTTTGCTTTTGTATCCCTATATTCTATTGATGATTAATGCTTTGTTTGCTTTTGTATCCCTATATTCTATCGATGATGAATGCTTTGTTTGCTTTTGTATCCCTATATTCTATCGATGATGAATGCTTTGTTTGCTTTTGTATCCCTATATTCTATCGATGATGAATGCTTTGTTTGCTTTTGTATCCCTATATTTTATCGATGATGAATGCTTTGTTTGCCGTTCTACCCCTCCACATTCTATTCCATTTTCTCGATAACTACATCTCTGCCGTGAGATGTAAATGTTTTTTTCAGCTTGTCTACTTATTGTCCATGTCTCAAAGTATATGGGTTCTACAAAACACTTTAACACTCTTTGTCTCACTGCAAGCGACATCTTCTAATTGGTGAAAATCTATTGGATCTTGCAAAAGGCCACTTTTGCCAAAGCATTATTTAAATTCATTACGGGAAAACATTGTTTTGAATATCTTAAAGTGATTCTGTGGGACATAATTTTCATCTTCAAAATTAAGTACACACCTTTGTTATCACCTGCAGCTCACTCCATGTCTTTCCCAGCTTTTTCACTACTGGGAGCCACCATAGTGCAGTGGCTAGATGCTCGTCTGCGGATCCAAAGGTCAAGGATTTGAATCCAAATGGCGTTGGACTTGTTTTTTCAAAAAATGACCTTGGCTTTCAGGTTGACTGTTGATGGGTTTATAAAATATTCATCTAGCCCTATATGCCCAACACACCTAAAGGTGTGGAAAAGGGTCCTTTACTTTTATTTTACTCAGCCCTTTATCCTCCAGTAAAGCATAGCCTCAGTCAACACAGGCCAAGATGTCCTATCCTGTGGTATCCCATTCAGCTCACTCAACGCCCTTCCTAGCCATTTCGCCTCACTAATCAAGTATTCACTTCAAGTATTTTTTGGGTACACCTTGATCCCTTAAACTCCCCAGGTGGATTATGGGACCAAATAAAATGACCTCTGCCCCCTAATAAACATGTTTTAAGAGGTAATTACTAATTTTTTCTGTGTATAAGGTGCCCCTATGTATAAGATGACCTCTATGTTTAAGTTTTTAGCTCCAAATTAAGGAACAAATAAGTTTAACACATTCCCTGTATAAGATGACCCCCAATTTTAAACTGAAAAAAAAAAAAAAAAAAAAAAAAAAAACTGGGAAGCCTTATACACGAAAAATACGGTAAATAAGAGTTTGCTGAAACAGGATGTGTTGGGACAAAACGTGTAGATATCGCAGGCTAGCTGAAAACTGCAACACAATGTGCCAACCACCATTTTAAGGGTAAACACATAAGGAGAATCTTCCCTGAACCCTGTAGGTTTCAATAAAAGGACATTCTAGTCATGCTGTCGTCAGGTTTTCTCAGTGAGTGAGTTTTGACAGTTAAAAGTAAATAAAATGTAACATATCAACATTAATTTTACCAAAAATGATCCCTCTGTGGGTTTTGGGGTCCCACTGTGGGAGAAACAATAATGTCACTGCCTCCTTAACAAGCATGTTCTAAAAGTCAACAAATAAGGGGGTTTCCTTCAAAGTCAGAGTGCATCTGCCTGAGAGGTAAGGAGCCAACTGTCTGCCAGATCTATAAAATGGATGTGCATGCAAGTTCTGGAACTAAACTAAAGTCCACAGGTGGATGAACAACCAGAACTTTCCGCCAGAGTTTACAGCCAATGAATGTGAAGAAGAAGAACCCATAAACTCCTTATGTGAGCCGCCATTCCCCCCCCCCCCCCCACACCCCCCAACAAACATGTTGTAACAAGACTCTCTACTGCTGTATTTTTCTGCATATAAGATGACCCCCATTTTTTTAAAGCCCATAATTAAGAAAAACATATTTTAAACACATTCCATGTATAATGACAACCCTGATTTTAAACTGAAGGGGAAACACATTGTCTTATTTAAAAAAAAATTATACTTATTAGGAGTCTGCTAATACTAGATGTGTTGGGACGAAAAATGAAGATATCGCACCTTAGCTGAAAACTGCTACAGAATGTACCAAACCCATTGTAAGGGTAAACACGGAAAAAGAAGAAGATTCCTTAAACCATATAGGTTTCAATGCAAGAACATTCTAGTTACCTAGGTTGTCTCAGTGTGGGTTTCACATTATGTTGCCCCCTCCGTTCCCCAAAATCCAATCATGCCAGCAGCGAGAACGTACAACATGAAAGTAGAAACAACAAGAGGTAAGGTGCAACCAAGAACAATATGGATTTAAGGAGTCACTGATACTTTTAGACTCAACAAAATCACAGAATACCAGGTAACTGAGCTTGCCCTAGCTCAAATACCACTCATCAGCCTGTGATGCCCAAGGGCAAAAAGCAGAATACGGACCCCCCAAAAAAATTTAACATATCAACATTAATATTACCAAGAATAGATATACAACATGGTTTTAAAAAGGTCAAATAGTACTGCGAACAATGAAAACAGAAACAAGCCATGTGTGTCCATGTTTTGTTACCAAAACACAAAATTCTTGACGATTCTAATTCTGTACACAATTCATTTCTCATGGCTCCCTTATCTCTCTCCCAAATCAGAAGTAGCTAGACTTTGGTCTATGACTTGCGATACTCTATCCTCTCCACTTTCACCTCATCGTCTATCAGCTTGTAGATATACGACACAACTGTGGACTGCTGGATGTCAAGGATGACGAAAGATGGAATAACATTGCTGCGGAGAAAAATTTATTTTTAAATCAAAAACGTGTTTCATTTTATAACATGTCATTAGCATGTTACCTTCATCATCATCAGGTGTCTTGCGGACTGGCGTGGGCAATCATGCCTTCCCACAATCTACGATCTCCTGCAGCATGTATCAGTTCGTGTGCTGACACACCTCCATGTCGTGCAACAAGACTGTCAAGAATATTCTCTCATTGTCTTCCTCTATCCCTCCTTCCACAAATTTTTCCAGTGGTCACATGTTCCATTTTCCCTCTTCACATAATATGTTACCTTACAACTACTGAAAACACAATGAGATAAAACGGTAAATTAGATGAAGAAATGAAAATCCAAAGCAGTAAAGAAAACCAAGTACTGGGACAGGTAGCACCCCCCACAAGACAATCCTAATCAGCACAAAGAAACATCTTATACAAAGCATGTTCGTTCTAACACCATACTACTAGTGCCAGACCTGGTCACTCACAAGAAGCGAGAAAAGAAAATAAGTAACCATGGAAATGAGATTTCTTCTTCTGGATTCCAGATGTCTGAGAAGGGCTGGAGGAATGACCAGAAGAGATCAAATCAAGAATGAGGTCGTAAGAGAAAAAGTCGGCACAGAACCAATTCTAAATTACATACAACAAACAGCAAATCAAATGGCCTGCTAACTTAGACTTTGTGACATTGTAACATATAAGGTATACATGAAAAGAGGAGAAGGACATAGAGCACAAGGTAGACCAGGAACCATACAGAAAGATAACATTAGAGAAACTCTTCAATAGCACAATGGTAAAGACGAACAAAAACAAACAAGAAGCAGAACGTTATCTCCCTCGACAACCGAAGGGGCAAAAGAGGACACGATGAAGAAGATTATCATGTCACATAAAGATTAGCGTAGGTGGTCATTCTTCTTGCTTTCTTTTGTCGTCTCACTGATACTAGGTTGTAGCCTTGTGTCGTGGTCTTTTGAATTTTGTCTTGTGCTTCTAGGGTGGCTTAGGTGATGGATTTGTTCAAGATTTTGCAGGTTTCAGCTTCACTATTTATCAAGTTCTTTCTTGGTCTTCACCTTGCCTTCCTTTCAGATGTTCTGCTGTAAAAAGTCTCATATGCAGTTTGGTCTGGCTACACTCTCTCTAGATGTCCGAACCATTTCATTCTTTGTTCGTCAATATAATCCAAACATGGTCTTATTCCAACTTTCTCTCTAATACTGGTATTCGTAACCCTGTCCCTTCCTGTTGTTAGTGATCTTGCGGACAGCGCATTTCACATGTCGTTATTTTCTGTTCTGTTCCCCTATTCACTGTCCACGTTTGGCACTGACAACATAAAGTAGGGACAAAGATGCTATCAATCATTTGTCCTTTTGGTGAAAGGGAGACACTTGAGTATCTTAGAATTGGGGCTAACTGGTAGTTGACAGTATTTGTCTTGGACTATAAGAAGGATAAATGCAATGCAGGAGATAGCAAACTTTAGAGCAACTTAGCATCAGCTTGTGGAGGTTATGTTTCAATGAGAGATGCAAGACAGAAGAGCACAATCCACCTTTGTTTTATCAATAACCCTACCTGTCTAAAGCATAAAATGATCCTGTCGCTGAACCCGGATTAAGGAAGAACTTTCCTTCGTGTTCAAGAGCCTGGAACTTGTGGGTTTGCCCCGAGATGAGAATGTCCACATCCAGCTGGCGCTGTACCATGGCCAAGCTCTCTATATCACCCCAGGGCACCACCTGATGACCATGGCAGAGCCCGATACGAAACTGTCCAACAGTCACCACTTTCTGCTCTGGGTAGTTCATGTTCTGAAGAAAAGTATTACATTATTTAGATCAGTAGTTTAACCGAGGGGGGTGGGGGACACAATCATGTTGGGGAGGATAAATTCTGAAACTGCATTTTTACTTGTAATAATTTGTATTACTAACATTTTTGTCAGGTTCATTATAAATAAAAGGTCCTGTTCATGTTTCCAGGCCCAGGATTAGAGTACCTTCTCTTGCCATTAATGCCTTCTTAGGTCATGGACCTCTCCATTGTTGCAGGGGTGTTATAATATGGCTTGTTTTGGTTTTCGCTCAGCATATGTAATGTTTGCTGGAGGTTGTGTTGTTGTGAGTCTATTCCTGGCACTATAGGTGCCCGTGCACAAGCAAGAATTACTGCAGGGGGAAGCGCCACAAGCACGATGATTCTTGGCTATCAAAACTGGAATGTTTTTGTATTTCTATGTTCATCGGGGGTGGTTCCCCCCCCCCCCCCCCCTCTCTGAGAGATAAAGAAAGCAATTACAAGGAGCGTAGGAATATAAAAATATTGCTGTTTACATACTCCTCAACCGTCACGCAGGTAGCAGAATGTTAAAATTTAAAGCAAGCGAGCGATGAGAAGACAAGAAAAGAGGCAAGGTTAAACCGTTCACAATAAGGAAACATGACTCCCCCACAACATAGGAGTGGTCCAGCAACATAAGGAGGCATGAATGGCAAGGGAAGTTACTCTAATTCTAGGCATGGAAATGTGAACAGCATTAAGTAAAATATTTTTTGTAAACAAAAAGGATGGTTTTGTTTTCATGAGCAGTTTTTACAAGTACCTTTAAAAATCAAATTAATAGTTAAAGTTCTTGTTGATAGTGCTTGGGGCTTTCTTTTTAATCACATTTTTCTTAAAGTTCACATGAGGGGAGGGGGGTTGTGGGGGGGAGGGGGGGCTTGCCATAAATTCAAGGGGAACCACATAAAAAAGGCTGAAAATCACTGGTTTAAAAAACAATGATATACAATGTCAGCTGACAAAGATATGTCATGTTTACTGCATAAAAAAGGGCTGTCATAATGTAATGATTTTTGGTTAAAATTGCACTGAGACTGATTTTTTCCTGGAATCCACACAGGGTTTTAGCAATAACCACAAACTTCTCCTCACAACAAACCCTATACATGACATATGCGGTATTCCCCTAGCTCATCTACCTCATCAAAGTCGCCTCTCACAACATGAACATCACTGGCCAGGGTCTTGAGATAATCAAATGATTCCTTCGTGCACAGGTTGCCTGTACACAAGATGTGCTGTATTTTTCCTGGCACCAGCAGCTTCTTAAACCTGGCAGGCAGGGAGTTACAGCGATGTGGAATGTGCAGATCTCCGAGCACCAGAACCAACTGAAAATAAAAGAACAAAACAATATTCAATACAAACGTATCATCAAAGAGGCACTGAGATGGGAAATGCAGATCTTGAAACACTATCTAAGTTGAGTTGAGTCAAGAATAGACATCACAGCACTAGGCGCATTCCCATTCATGCTCCGTCCTCATTTTCAGCAGCCAGCGCAGAGTTCCAATACTGATGGTAAGGGTCAAAATCTGGTTATATGTCCATCTTGCCTTTCCTCTGAGTGTAGTGAGCCAGTCAGAGCCTCTGGTTACACCCAGGTGCCTCATTCTCCCCAGGCCATAATAATCTTGTTTCTCTACTGATTCCGTTGCTTGTTCACAAAGGGCCTTGACCACAAAACATCATTTGCAATTTTAGTCCTTTCAACAGATTCCCACTGATCAACATTCTACCAAAGAACCACATCAGCATGGCTTCGTACTGTTCTTGGTATGTTATGTGTAGTCCATTAGAGCACCTGTAAAAACGATTTATAAATGCCAGTACATTTTAGCATTTTCACAGAGTGTAAAAAATACCTCAATCAACTTCATCGCAGCAGCAGAGAATCTTTGGCTATTCTCCAAATAACGGCCACATGATACGGCAGCCAAAAACAGGGCCTTAGTCAGATGTAAATTGCGGACTTCCGGAGACTATACCACCACCGCCGAGAGTATCTCCCACGCCACTATGTGCGGATTGGGGCAAAACTAGATGGCTAGGACATGAGCAAAACTGCAGGAGATGCGGAAGCTGCTGCTCATGAGTCCCAGCCATCTAGTTTAGCCTCAATCCACACCGCATTGTAGCAGCATGGTACTCTCGGCGGTGGCGGTAGTAGCAGAAGTGCCCAATTTAAATCGCCAGAAGTCCACAATTTACATGTGACTGAGGCCCTGTTAAGGTGTTTTTGTGGCCGCCATAAAATGTGGTCGTTATTCCGAGGATAGCCGAAACTTCTTCATCTTTCATTACCTCTCCGAGTCCCAAGTAATGCATTATGCATTCATAGATTCCTACCCAGAAGCCCAATGAACGCAAGGTACGCCGATTTTACATCTCTCCTGACTACCACTTGAGCCTGTGATGCTAAACCCCCTAGGACTCAAAAGAGTTAAAGTCCAGTCCACCCTTTTATATTTTTTTTTTTTTTCCTCAGGATAGTTTGAATTTGACAGCCCATGAATGTAGCTGCACATTTTAATTTATCAACAGTTACTTCTCTTTCTAGCAATTAAAACATAAAGATATATGCATTTATTTTTATTTCAAAATGTATGCAATCATCATCCGAAATCAGTGATTTTCCTGATTTGGTTAGACACGCCCACTAACACGGCGCTCAAAGGAACACAGTATGTGTAAGATTATTTCAAGTTGTATTACGTATTTATCACAATAAATAATAATATTTAATGTTTGTATTACCATGTTGGACTAGAAGAGGAATGAAAACGCAGACAAAAACCTGCAGTTCGTAAAGTTATCCACTAAGTATATGAATAATCACCAGCGGAACCTGACTCTCGGAAATAGAACTCTTCTATCCATGGAGTACTGCAATGTTTTACATGGTGAATATAATAATTCGCAGTTCTAATTACAAGAAAATACAACACTTATTAAGTATAATTGTGTCAGAATGTCATTAAGTTATTGTCATAAGCTTACATTTTACTTTTTATATAAAATATTTACATTATATACACTTATAAATAGCTTGATCTTGTAGTTCTTGAAAATTAATTATATTGCGAAACATAAAAATTGACTGTTTTGGTTAAATGGCGGTGTCCACAAAATAAACTTTAACAAGATCATACTTTCTGTGATTTTTATTAACACTCCTGACAAATAAAACGATATTTCAATACGGTCATCTAATGTACAATCATAATAATGTGTTCAATGAAGTGCACCATTCCGGGTGTTAATCTAAAAGGTATTGTCTTGCTTACGTCGTAAATGAAATCCGTGAAATCGAGCCGACGAATCACACATTTTGGCACTTTCACTTTCCACTTTTTAAAAAAAAAAGTAGTTATTAGTTGTTCACCTATTTAATATCAGTCGTTCAGTGACAATCGCTTCTCACAATGAAGGTTTATTACACTACTACAGGGTTAGCATGAATCTGGGGAGTCAGACAGTGTGACAGCATGAGTGCTCCTCCACCTGAAATTTTGTTTGGAGCTGACATATTATTAAGCCAATTAAGGCTCTCCTATCAACCACGGCCGGTAGACAACAGTTGACGGCCGGTTAGTCGGAGTTCTGTCCCCTGGCTGCAGTGCAATTACGGACTGGAAAAGAGGGAACGAAACAAATGACATAATTACTGTGTGTTGGCGATAGACAGCGTGCAGTGACCTGCTGTCATCATACGGTTTGGGTTAGGGGTAGGGTTTAGCTTAGGGTTAGCTTTAGGGTTTGGGTTAGCGTTACGGTTAGTGTCGCCGCATCTCGTCTTCGCAGAAACTCAACGTAACAACCCAAACCCTAACCCTAAACCCTACCCCTAACCGTATGATGACAGTAGGGCACTGCACGCTGTCTATCGCCAACACACAGTAATTATGTCACTTGTTTCCTTCCCTCCAATCCACTCCGTACTGCGTCGCAAGAAGCGGTAATTGAACGCGGTCACTAATTTGAGTCGCAGCGCCGATTCTGCCAGGCATGTCGACCTCACTTTGTTTTTTGATTCGTGCCTTCTCCAGTCCGTAATTGCACTGCAGCCAGGGGACAGAACTCCGACTAACCGGCCATCTACTGTTGTCTACAGGCCGTAGTTGAAAAGAGAGCCCATATTAATATTAAAATAGTCGGCTCGCCTCTGAACTTCGTCCCCATATTATGGCGGCCAAACAATACCAAATTATGTCTGCCGAGGAACAAATCGCGGCAAAACTAGGATTGCCTCCGAATAACGGGCCAATATTATTATTATCAAGGGCAAACAAATTGTGGACTGTTTCTGCGACTCATGCCGCACCGCTGACAGTATCCCCTGCGTCTCTACGCGCGGTGTGGATGGGGGGGGGGGGGGGGTAAACTAGATGGCTGGGACTCATGAGCAAATAAATTGGAGGAAGTTGCAGGTGATGCAGTAGCCACTGCTCGTGAGTCTCAGCCATCTAGTTTAGTCCCCCATCCGCGCAGTGCCTAGCGGCGCAGGGGAAATGCTCTGCAGTGAGTTTAATCGCAAGAACACTATCCCTAACCTGCGCCGGAGCGTGTGGTCTCCTTGCCATGTCGATATTATCTTGTGTATTGTTGCGTTTCTCAAAATTGTCAACGGACAGTAATCCTAGTTTTGCCGCGATGTGTTCGTGGGAAGAAGTCCGCATTTTACAAATGACTGGGGCCCTGTTAGGGTATTTGTTTATATATATATATATATCGGGATGAAGTTCGGAGAAGAGCCAAATAGTCATATAGATGTTTTATGTTCAAGTATACCTGCTGCATTTATAGTATTTCATGAAAAAATTAATAATTAAAAATATATTCATATACTTATTTACCATTCAGCACATAATGATAACTATTATTGCGACTTGAAAGCGCTTAAGTCCCCTTCAGACTCCCCTACATCCTAGAAGTAGAAGATTAGTTAGGGGTTGAACCGCTGCCACCCAACCTTGTCTCTCCTTTTTTTTTTTTTTAATTTCTGCTGACAACTATATTCATTCCCAGTTTAATAAACAGATATGGACTGGCACTGATAGAAAGTTGAGAAATCGAAGCTTTAGTTACCATACCGGGAATTTACTCTGTCACCTCCAAAAATGATAGCCCCTCAGTGTAGGAACAAGTGCACCTTGACACATGTACAACTCGAAGAACGGATCTCTTGGGATATCAAATTAATATAGTAATTACTTGTAAAGACGGTTTTCCAGGTTCAGTCCCTGTCAGGGGCACAAATAAACAAGATTCCTTTCATCATCGTCATTTGCGGACTCCCGTGGATGATGATGATGCCTCTCCATAACCTGCAGTCTCCAGCAGCATTCACCAGCTCCTGCAGTCTCCAGCAGCATTCACTAGCTCCTGCAGTCTCCAGCAGCATTCATCAGCTCCTGCAGCCTCCAGCAGCATTCATCAGCTCCTGCAGTCTCCAGTAGCATTCATCAGCTCCTGCAGTCTCCAGTAGCATTCACCAGCTCCTGCAGTCTCCAGTAGCATTCACCAGCTCCTGCAGTCTCCATCAGCATTCACCAGCTCCTGCAGTCTCCAGTAGCATTCATCAACTCCTGCAGTCTCCAGTAGCATTCATCAACTCCTGCAGTCTCCAGCAGCATTCATCAGCTCCTGCAGTCTCCATCAGCATTCACCAGCTCCTGCAGTCTCCATCAGCATTCACTAGCTCCTGCAGTCTCCAGCAGCATTCACCAGTTCCTGCAGTCTCCAGCAGCATTCACTAGCTCCTGCAGTCTCCAGCAGCATTCACCAGCTCCTGCAGTCTCCAGCAGCATTCACCAGTTCCTGCAGTCTCCAGCAGCATTCACTAGCTCCTGCAGTCTCCAGCAGCATTCACCAGCTCCTGCAGTCTCCATCAGCATTCACCAGCTCCTGTGTTGACAAACCTCCATTCCATGAAAAAAAGGCTACTGGATATTTTTGCATTGTCTTCTTCTATCTCTCTTTCCACAGATCTTTCCAGTGGATTTCCTGTTGTCATATCATGGCCAAACATTATTACTGTCTCCTTCTAATGTTTGCAAAGGTTTCTTTACTATCCTTAATTATAATATTTGTTAACGGTATTATGTTTAATATCTAAGAAACATTTAATATAATACAATATTTGGGAAGCTACGTGATCTTGAGGCATGGCGTCTGCCTTGAGGTTCCAGGTTCAAGAGAGACATAAAATTGGTGCATCATGCGTTCATTGGGCTTCTAGGTAGAAACCTATGAACATATGATGCGTTCCTTGGGACTCAAAGAGTTAAGTCAAAAGTAGAATGGAGCACTTATGGGTTACTACCCTTGTGCCATGATGTTGATCCGTAGTCTAAACCATACACTAAACCACAATATTTGTTATCATTTTTATCAAATGGACATTGAAGTGAACAGAGAACTCAAACACTAATTTAATGGAGAGTGAGTAGAGGTTCTGAAACATATTCGACACTGAGGGGGAAAGCAGAGGTGGACTTTTAATCAAGTTGCAACTGGTACTGTTAGCATGTCGACCCTTCGTTAGCTAATTAGAAGTGAGACAGAGCACGTTTAGAAATATCCTGAGTGCAATGATTTAAATTTTTGATTTGTTCATTCATATTATTTAGATTAGTGGACGTGTGTTTACTACCTACAATTAAAATGCTACTATTTCCATTTTGCTGCAGTTTTTGGTCGGGCCATACAATCCTTGTCAAAAATTGGGGATGAGCTGTACTTTGAGCCACTTGAAGATGGGGTATGTTTACCACAGAACATTCAGTATTTGTCAAAGGCATATTTAATCTACACAACAGCATTGAGTATCTATTATCCCCCGTGTGGGTTCCGGGGCCCTATTATAGGGAAAACAAGAATAGACCAACTGCCTATCCAAAAGCATGTTGTAAGAGTCGACTAATTGGAAGCTTCCTTCGAATCGGAGTACATCTGCCTGAGAGGCAAGGAACCAACAGTCTGAATACAAATCTGTCAGATCTGTCAAACAGATGCACATGCAACACCCAGGTTCTGAAACAGGACTGCAGTCCAGAAGTGGACAAACAACCAGACCTTTTCACCATAATTTACAGCTGGTGAATGCAAAGAAGAAGAAGTATTTATTATCAGCATATACCAGAGATGGTGAATTGGATGAAGAAGGTAAAATCTGTTACAGAAGAGCAAAACAAGTACTGGGACAGCTTGCTTCTCTCTTACAGCATAAGACAAGTCTCAATCAGCTCAGAGAATTATCTTGTACAAGAAAATTCATCTCCATCTCCTGTGCTACAAATGCCAGAAATGGTCATTCTCAGCAGATTAGAAGAGAAAGTTAGTAACTTGACTGTGGAATTGTGGTGTCTGAGAAGGGCTGTAGGAGTGATCAGAATAGGTAAAATCAGGACTGATGTCACAAGAGGAAAGGTCATCACCTGAACAGTTCTACATTACATTCAAAGACAGTAGATACAATGGGTTGTCTCCTTAGTGAGGATGCCTTGAAATACCATACCACACCAGGCATTCACAAAAAGAAAAGATCATAGAAAAGGAGGAAAACCAAGTACAAGATTGAAAGAGACTCCGCTGATAAGGACTTTGGTTGTTGAATGTTGAATTGAAAATCGAGAATCGACATCACAGCACTTGGGGCACTCCCATAAATGCTCAGTTCCTATCTTCAGCAGCAAGCAAAGAGTTCCACTTCCGCTGGTACTAGTAACCGTCTGATTGTATATCTGTCTCATCATTCCTCTAAGTGTTGAGCGTCGGCCAGATCCCCTGTTAACTTCTTGCAGCGCCTTTTTCCTAGACTGTAATGATCTATCTGCGCCTCCACATTGTTCACTCGCTCGCAAAGGACCCTCACAATATCTAACTTGTTATACATCAATTCGCCACCAAGTGGTGCAGATGAAATGAAAGATAACATCAGAGAAGCTCTACAACACTATGATGTGTTCATAGTCGAGATGGCCAAAAGAGTAACAGCAGAACCTTTAAATCTCCTTTAACACCCAGGGTGGAGAAGAAGTGTTTGTTCAGGCTTACTTTACCCACTTTATAACATTCACTGTTAAATACACATTTAGTCTGTTTTACAAATTTCACTATTTATTAAAGCCATATTTTATCTGCTTTGCATCACTACTGAACATAAATTGCCTCGTGAAACAATAATTTATATTATGTCATTTATTTTATTTCTTCTTCTTTTTCTTCTTTAGTTCACTTGAAATAAATTATCTATATCTGCAATGTTGTCTCTAGTATGAACTTCACTTCTTTTGTAATTCACTCAGCGACCCGTAAAGTTGGACTTGCATCAATGTTTTTATTTCTAAACTAGAAATGCTTAAGTGTTCTTACTTTCTATGCTTTTCTTCATTTTGAAACAGTTATATCTGAGGGCGGTCAACATGTGTCGTTCAGCGTACGGCTGTTTCCAGTTCTTTCCAAATTTTTTCTCCAACTATATTGACAGTCTGCCAGATAAGAACAGGAATTCTGATGATGGTGAAGCTTTGCTCCGTTGCAAACTGGGAATGAAGGTATGGGCACTTAGAATTGAACATTAGCAATTATCATTAGCTGTTGATAAAAGCGTTAATTACCCAGATGTGTACCTGTGTTTGTGATTGTATGTATGGTTCTTAATTGGTTTTATGTTGTGTGTGCTCACCTTTCATATTATGCTTTCTGCTAAATTAATTAAAATATAGAAAATATAATTTCTGCTGCTACGTGAAGGATCAATGTGTAGAAGGGCCAAAAAAGCAGACCAGTGTGTCTAGTTTGTGACTCCTTTTGGTTGCAAAAGGAAAAACATGATCTCTGAACCCGCGGGAATTCACCCCCGCCCCCTTTTCCCATACATCCTTATACAGAACAGACACAGGTTACTACTGATTTTTAAAACACATGTTATTATCTACATATTAAGAAATACCTTTTGGAATGTGAAAGAAAAAAAAATACATAAAGGGAGTCATCAATAAAGATAAACAGAGTCAAGCATTAAGTGGATACATTTCCCTAGGCCTAACAGAAATTATGTATCAGGTGACTCATGCCATGACCTCATGACCTCTATCACTAAGGCTGTGGGGAACATTGGATGTCACTGTAATTTTAAAAAAGCTATTGAAAGCCACTCTCCCCCTTCCATATAATTGTTTTTTTTTTTCTTTTATGTAAACATTCATTTCCTGACCTCTTAAATGCTATGCAGGCCTAAAAACAGCCAGTGGCATTAGCCATGCTCCTCGTAAACACATCACTGTAAAATGGCTGGGCATGTGAAATTTTTGACGAATTGGACCCTACCAGAAGTGCTGAGTTTGTGGCTTCCCAGGGTGAAAGGGTTGAAAATAAAGTTTCTTCCTTCTCATTTTTCTTGACATGTTTTTAAACTCTTCAGGTTATAATGGTAATAGTTTTTTCAGTGACAACTCAATGTGAAAACCTTTTTCTTTCTGTTGTTGCTCAGTCTATTCTGACAGTGTTCAAGTCCCTGCCCACTATCGATAAAACAGTAGAGAAGTGCCGAATAGCTTTGGACCCAACAGAAGCTCGACTGGTTTTTCAGATGTACTGCAGGCATGGTAATACATTTTACATTTGTTTAATCGTTTCAGAACAAGAATCTTCTTCTTCGCAGTCACAATTGTAAACACCAGCGGAAAGTTCTGTGTGTTCATCTAACTCTGAACTTCAGTCTGATTCCAGAACCTGGGTGTTGACTGCACATCTGTTTCACAGATCTGGCTTATTTGTATGCAGACTCTTGGTTCCTTGCCTCTCAACAGATGTACTCAGACTTCAGAGGATGCCCTCAGTTAGTAGACTCCTATGACATGCTTGTTGGGGAGGCAGTGGACCTGGGACCCGCACAAGTGTGTTTATTATAGTTTATATTTCTATTTAAAATCTTTTTTTTTTAATGTATCTACCATCTTTCTCTAAAAATTAGACTTTACCTGAAAATAAGCCCTATATTGATTGTTCAGGATGCTCGTAATATAAACCCTACCCCAAATATAAGCCCCTGTTAAGATTGAATGTCTTTCGTTTGTCCGTTGAAACACACTGCAGACATATTGAATTATAAGTGGATGAATGTATTCATAAATTCAAATCAGTAAAGTTATTGGCTTTAATGATTGATTAAATGTATAAATATATATACTTGATTAAATGTATAAATATATATACTTGATTAAATGTATAAATATATATACTTGATTAAATGTATAAATATATATACTTGATTGAATGTATAAATATATATACTTGATTAAATGTATAAATATATATACTTGATTAAATGTATAAATATATATACTTGATTAAATGTATAAATATATATACTTGATTAAATGTATAAATATATATACTTGATTAAATGTATAAATATATATACTTGATTAAATGTATAAATATATATACTTGATTAAATGTATAAATATATATACTTGATTAAATGTAGATTTTTGCACCTGAATAAAAATACTTTATAACATTGAACCCTCATAATTAATAGACTTCCACTTCATGAAAAATAATTCATCTTTTGTTACAGGCATCATCAAGACTCACAAGCTGGCTTTTACAGAATGTGAAACCCTACAGGCAGTATTCTCAAAGGATCTGTGCCCCAACAAATTAACTGCTGTACCCAAGTATGTAATTTTATAATTAATGCCACTGTTTGTAAAGATTTAAAAAAAAAACGTTTGCCATCTCAGTAGTGAAAGTTGCCTTCAGTGTACTCACTATTAATTATGAGGGTTTAAAGTTATAACGATTAAGGTCATTCTGTAGTTTCACTATTTCCAGACTTTTCTCTTTCTTTGCGCTCATCGGTTGTAAGCTCCGGAGGACAGTTCTGATTATTCATCCACTTCTGGTCTTTAGACTTGTTCCAGAACTTGAGTTTTATATGCACATCCATTTTACAGGTCTGGTTGATTTGTATGCAGACTACTTCAGCTTTCAGACAGATGCAGTCGAACTTAGAAGGAACCCTTAATTAGTCAACTTTTACGACATGCTTGTAAGTAGAGCAGTGGGGTCTATTTTTTTTCCCTACAATAGAGCACTGGAACCCAAACAAGGAATTTTCATACTGGAACGCAAACATGGAATTTGCATACTGAAACACAAACAGGGAATTTGCATACTGAAACACAAACAGGGAATTTGCATACTGAAACACAAACAGGGAATTTGCATACTGAAACACAAACAGGGAATTTGCATACTGAAACACAAACAGGGAATTTGCATACTGAAACACAAACAGGGAATTTGCATACTGAAACACAAACAGGGAATTTCCATACTGAAACACAAACAGGGAATTTCCATACTGGAACACAAACAGGGAATTTGCATACTGAAACACAAACAGGGAATTTGCATACTGAAACACAAACAGGGAATTTGCATACTGAAACACAAACAGGGAATTTCCATACTGAAACACAAACAGGGAATTTCCATACTAGAACACAGACGGAATTTCCATACTGGAACCCAAACAGGGACTTTACATACTGGAACACAAACAGGGAATTTCCATACTGGAACACAAACATGGAATTTGTATACTGGGACACAAAGAGGGAATTTCCATACTGGAACCCAAACAGGGACTTTACATACTGGAACACAGACAGGGAATTTGCACACTGGAACACAAATAGGGAATTTGCATACTGGAACACAAACATGGAATTTGTATACTGGGACACAAAGAGGGAATTTCCATACTGGAACACAAACAGGGAATTTCCATACTGGAACACAGACAGGGCATTTCTAAACAATGCAGTAAGACTCACCAATGTAATGTAAATGCTGTACTCTCACCTGCAGATTGGAAGGGCGTGGGTTTGGGTCCTAATGGAACCGGAAGTTTTTCAAAAAATGACCTTACCTTGGCTCCCAGGTCGACCCAGCCTTGCGTGGGTACCATGTGCATGCAGGTCTGGGAAGTAAAGGCAGCCGGCATGATGCTGACCACATCATGCACCATGTGCTGATTCGGCTGTAAAATATAAGTCTAACCCTATATGCCCAGTACACCTGAAGGCGTGGAAAGGGTCCTTTACTTTTTACTTTTACAGATTGTTCTTTATTGGGTGCCTGGTCTAGGGCAGACATAGGTTATCTTGGCTGCACTCCATTGATATAACATAACATAACCCTTGACCCAATTAGGGTCGTGACGGTGTATTGATGGAAGCACTACTACACAAAAACCTACCGTTGAAATATGGTGTTGCTCAGACTATTATTTTCCTTGCATGGCTTTGAGGGAACATTGGGGGCAGATAGACCCACTGCCTCTTAACAATACAATACACTTTATGTTACTTGATTAATTCATAATATTTAACGGCCTCAAAGGTTCCCCCTCTGTTTATTTATATGAATGCCTCTTAGCAAGCATGTTATAAAAGGTGATTAATTAAGAGGTTGCTGAATTTGGGTATGTTGGGCGATATGACAGAAATATCACAGCCCAGCTGTAAATACCCAAACATATATTGCCAGCTGCTTTATTAATGGTGAATACAGAAGGGGAAGAAAAAGATTTTGTGTCCAGCTGTTTGGGTGGACAACTTTTGAAGGGAAAAGTTGAAGCGATGTGGCAAGAAACCGTCAGTAATATAAATAAGATCATGAGGTGGACAAACGGCAACCTGGATGTGTACAGCCAAGGGAAGAGATAGTGTTAAAGTTTTATTTCAGCCACCTCCAGAACCTAATTGATTCATCTTTTTCCTAACATTCACCGACTGTAAACTCCAGCAGAAAGTTCTGCTTGTTTGTCCACTTCTGAACCTTAGTCTTATTCCAGAAATCTCGAGTTGTGCGTGCACATCCGTTTTAAAGATTTGGCTTATTTTTATTCAGAATGTTGGTTCCAACTTCAAATGAAACCTCTAACAAGTCAACTCACTCTTACGACATGCTTGTTAAGGGGGCAATGAGTCATCCCCCCCTCCCCTCCCCCCACCACAACGGGACCTTTGAACCCACACAGGGAGAAGAGATCTATTTTAGCCAACCCTTTTCAGCTCATTGATTATTTTCATACTTCTGTATTTTATGAGTTTATTGTTTATGGAGGGCTCTTGTCTAATTCTTCTGGTTTTATTTACTTCTGGTTTAATTCTCCCCATGTGGGTTCCGGGGCCCTATTATAGGGAAAACAAGAATAGACCCACTGCCTACCCAAAAGCATGTCTTAAAAGTCAACTAATTGGGAGCTTCCTTTGAAGTCAGAGTGCATCTGCCTGAGAGGCAAGGAACCAACAGTCTGCACACAAATGAGTAAGATCTGTCAAACGGATGCACATGCAATACTCAGGTTCTGAAACCGGACTGCAGTCCAGAAGTGGATGAACAACCAGAACTTTCCACCGGAGTTTACAGCTGGTGAACGCAAAGAAGAAGAAGAAGATTTCTTGTTCATTGTTAAAACTTATTTGATTTGTATGCAGGCTGCTGTGTGATGCTGTGCTGAATTTCCAGAATAATCAGGAGGAGATCACTCTTATTATCAGACCAGATTTTATGGCCTTGAAGAATTATGTTGATGATGAAGCAGGTAACACTTCTAAAGCACCCTGTAACTTCACATAAACTTTGTGTGCTTAACTTCTAAATAACCTGTAACTTCACATAAACTTTGTGTGCTTAACTTCTAAATAACCTGTAACTTCACATAAACTTTATGTGCTTCTAAATGACCTGGAACTTCACATAAACTTTGAATGCTTACTTCTAAACTGCCTATAACTTCACAAAAACTTCATGTGCTTACTACCTGTAACCTCACATAAACTTTGTATGCTTACTTCTAAACTGCCTGTAACTTCACATACACTTTGTATACTTACTTCTAAACTGCCTGGATCTTCACAAAAACTTCATGTGCTTACTTCTAAATAACCTGGAACTTCACAAAAAACTTTGTGTGCTTACTTCTAAATAACCTGTAACTTCACATAAACTTCATGTGCTTCTAAATAACCTGGAACTTCACAAAAAACTTTGTGTGCTTACTTCTAAATAACCTGTAACTTCACATAAACTTCATGTGCTTACTTCTAAATAACCTGTAACTTCACATAAACTTCATGTGCTTACTTCTAAATAACCTGTAACTTCACATAAACTTCATGTGCTTAGTGGCATAACTCAATTACGTCCTAAACGGAAGTTAAGAGTGGAGGAGAAGAATAAATCTACCTTTTTTTTAAAAAATCTTTTAGTATCATTGACTAATAATTATTTTCTCTTGCTACTTGTTTTAGTTTCACCTAGTCTGCCATCACTGTGTATGTGTTATTCTTGTTTACATAGATGCCAATATGTATTTAATGTGCATTAGCATATGTTTTCATCATCTATGATCTTCAGATCCTCACAAGGTCATCCATACAGAGCTGACACTGTCCCCTGAAGAGTTTGAACAATACCAGGCAGGAGTGGATGCAGACGTGACCTTCTGTTTAAGGGAGCTTCGTGTGAGTGATAAAGGAAGACTAAAACTTAATTAGACATTTTCAGACAAAAGCTGACATAGACAGTACTGGACTAAAGCTCAGGCAGACAGAATTTGACTGCATCTAAAAAAAGACATAGACAGTACTGGACTAAAGCTCAGACAGACAGAATTTGACTGCATCTAAAAAAGACATAGACAGTACTGGACTAAAGCTCAGACAGACAGAATTTGACTGCATCTAAAAAAAGACATAGACAGTACTGGACTAAAGCTCAGGCAGAATTTGACTGCATCTAAAAAAGACATAGACAGTACTGGACTAAAGCTCAGACAGACAGAATTTGACTGCATCTAAAAAAGACATAGACAGTACTGGACTAAAGCTCAGACAGACAAAATTTGCATCTAAAAAAGACATAGACAGTAATGGACTAAAGCTCAGACAGAATTTGACTGCATCTAAATAAGACATAGACAGTACTGGACTAAAGCTCAGACAGAATTTGACTGCATCTAAAAAAGACATAGACAGTACTGGACTAAAGCTCAGACAGACAGAATTTGACTGCATCTAAAAAATACATAGACAGTACTGGACTAAAGCTCATACAGACAGAATTTGACTGCATCTAAAAAAGACATAGACAGTACTGGACTAAAGCTCAGACAGACAGAATTTGACTGCATCTAAAAAAGACATAGACAGTACTGGACTAAAGCTCAGACAGACAGAATTTGACTGCATCTAAAAAAGACATAGACAGTACTGGACTAAAGCTCAGACAGACAGAATTTGACTGCATCTAAAAAAGACATAGACAGTACTGGACTAAAGCTCAGACAGACAGAATTTGACTGCATCTAAAAAAGACATAGACATTACTGGACTAAAGCTCAGACAGAATTTGACTGCATCTAAAAAAGACATAGACAGTACTGGACTAAAGCTCAGACAGACAAAATTTGACTGCATCTAAAAAAAAAAAAAACAATACTGGTTGCGTATCCTTTACATCACATTGCAGAACCAACCCCAGTTGTTTGGTTTCACTAGGCAGTTTTATGTCCAGTAGTTGGCAGTTTCTTTATAAACACCAGTGGCTTTGTACCCTTTGCGGAAAATTTCCTGTCACCCACACACACACTCACACAAAGTTTTTTATGTTAAAAACAGTTTTGCCATTTTGTCACCCCCCATCAGTGATGACATCCGGTGAGGCCCGCACATCCCTTCCTACATCACTGAGCACACTATACCATTGTCTGAATCAGTGCAAAGGGGTCTGCTGTCAGATCACTTGCAGCTAGAGTTAAACTAGGTATTTTGGGACTATGAATTGTATTCGCAACATCTAAGCAACGGGCACCAGACAGACAGTATTAGACAAGCTAATAGACTATACAGACATTAGACTATGTTAGACTAAAGCTGACATAAACAGTATTAGATTGAAACTGAAATATTTTAGACTGCAGTTGAAATAGACTGTTGACTAAAAGTGAAATAGACAGTATTAAACAGTTTCTGTATTTGGTTAAGCAATGGAATTTCACTGTAATTGCCATCCTCCTGTTAAACAGATTTTGATGAAGTGTTGATGTTTTCTAGCCCTATATGCCTAATACGTCTGAAGGCGTGGGAAAAGGGTCCTTTAAATAACTTTTTTTTTTTATGAATCAGCATGCCTTGTGCCTTGAGGCCTACATGAGAAAACAGATTCCCTGCACTGATTGTATTCACATGCATTTGTATGCAGACTGTTGGTTCCTTGCCTCTCAGGCAGATGCTGTTATGATGCTAGGGAAGCAGTGGGTCTGAAGTACTAGAGAAGCTTCAGCGTTCCGGCGGCCCTTAAGAGCTATGCCGGCAGTAGCTTCACTGCTGTGTCTTCCACCTTTGGCTGATCAAGGCAGAGGAACAGACAAAGAGGGACATTCATCTTCTACCTTGCCTGTAGACTTGGAACTGTCCGAGACTTGTAACTGTCCGGAACTTGGAACTCTCAGAGGAAGGCAAACCTGAAAACATGGTGTGGGTTCTGGGGCCCAGTTTATTTATTGGCAAAGGGGGGGGGGGGGGTGCCCGCTGCACCCTAACAAACATGTCATAATGGTTGACTAATTAGGGTCAGAGTGCATCTGCCTGAGAGGTGAGAAACCAACAGTCTGCATGCAAATAAAGCCACATCTGTAAAATCAATATGCACAGAAAACTCAAGTTCTGGAACGAGACTCAAGTCCAGAAGTGGATGAATAACCAAAACTTTCTGCCAGAGTTTACAGCCAGTGAACGTGAAGAAGAAAAAGAAACATGAACATTGCTTGTTGAAATGGTGCAATGTAACTCATTAATGATAATGCCATGATGAAATTAATTCACTGGTGTCTGCACAGAGTAGAGGGAGTTAAATAATGGGATAGAATCTCTGACAAGGAGCTTTGCGAGAGACTTAAGCAAATTCCATGAACCCAGGTGGAGAGCTACCCGGTGAGAAAAAAAAAAAAAAAAAAAACGGCTGCTAAATACCAGATCGTGACTGGTGCCATCAGTATTGGAACTCTGCGCTGGTTGCTGAAGATGAGGACGGAGGACACATGGGAATGCCCCGAAAGCTGCGATGTCAGTTCTTGACTCAGCTCAAACAAATTCCATTGAATTAGGAGGTGAAGAAAAGTTGCTGGGTTTGGATTGAGAACAATATAGCTACAATATCTTTGCACTGGAACCCACAAGGGCACAGAAATAAAGGCAGACCCAAAAGATGCATGAAGAAGAAGGTAAAAAGATAGAGCAGACATGGGGGGTGAGCTGCATGTAATAGCAAAGGATAGGATGGGTTGGCATGAATTGATTGAGGGCCTAGGCTCCAATGGGGTATAAAGGGCGAAAGAAGATATAGACCAGCAGTTCTCAACCTGTGAATCGTGACCTCTTTGGGGGTCCAACGACCGTTTCACAGGGACGCCTAAAACCATTGGAAAATACATATTCACTAAAGCTGTGAAGTAGCAACGAAAATAATTGTATGGTTGGGGGTCACCACAACATGAGGAACTGTATGAAAGGGTCATGGGATAGGGAAGGTTTAGAACCACTGATATAGATGCAACATCAGAATGTGCTTTCTGTTAGTGACCTTGCAGCTTCTGTTTCTTTCATTGAAGGCTGTCCTGGCGTTTGCTGACATTACCAGTCTTCCACTGACGCTACAGTTTGAAACTGCTGGAAGGTACGTGTCGTATTATCACTTGACAACATTTGCCTGCAGTTATATTCAGCTATTAAGAGCAGACCACTTGAAGTAGTAAACATTAAATTGATGAAGGTAATTCCTTTAGCTTATGTTATCTTAAAGCAGTGGTTTTTAACCTGTTTTGGGAAGGGGGGCAGGTAATTAAGGTGGGGGGGTGGGGGGTGTGTCAGGAAATGTTGAAGTTTTAGTTTATTTGTACTTGTAATAATCTGTTATTCAATTTTTTTTTTAGTTTAATTATAAATAAAATTTTAATTTGTTTAAACTGTTTTTAAACCAAAAAACACCCAAGGATTTTTTTTTTTCCAGAACCAGTGTGTACATCCACCATTTAAAAAATAATAAGTTAACGGAATAACATGTGCATTTAATGACAGATTATTTATCCTGGAAGTTTTCTTTTCCTTCTCCTCTGTCTAATCAGTTTTTTTTTTTAAAGTTACGGAAAGGGTGGGTGGGGGAGCGCCTTGCCATTCATTTAAAGAGGTTAGGGGGAGCCGCCTAACTTTTGAATACCACTGCTTTGAAGGCATTCATAATTGCACTTTCACAGATGCTAGATAACGTGGGTCGCGTGGCTTAAGGTTATGACGTCCATCTCTGGCTTGAGCAGACTCAGTTCATCGTGTGAACTGGGTTGATTTTAACAATGATAGACTTGTTGAGATATAGCAAAATATGACAGGCAGTAAAGTGTGCAATCTTTTGTTTGTGCCTTTGTTTAAAATTCACAATGGAGAAACCTTGCTTTCATGTTTCTGATTTCTTGTTCACATTCCAAAATTCACTGCCATACGTCAGAACAGGTACCAGATAATCATCAACGCTGTAGGGACTGGGTTAGTGGATAATGATGAATCTCTGACACTTACACGATTGCGTGACATGAGAATAAAGCATTGTGAATCACATCTATGCTGCCTTCGAGCCCAAGATTGGAGATATTATAACCACCCTTTAATGGGAATAATTAGTAAAAGTACCTTGGAGTGGCTGTTGCATCAGAGGACTGTTCACCCATGAGAGTGCCCAGTATGCAGTGACGTCGATGGTGGTAACGTAAGGTTCCACATAACTCTGTTTCTCTTTCACCTATTAAGATCTTATTCTCTTTCTCCCTGCCAGAGGTTTTTCATATGAGAAGACTACATATGTCAATGAAAGTTTGGGTTTGATACATGTCCGTATAGCTCGATTTCCACTGGAGTGCCAAATGATCTGACCTGGAGTCTCTCTGCTGCATCTAGCGAGCATGTCTGTAGCACGTCTAGTGTTCACGTCCACATAGGCATGGCTGTGAGTGCCCAGTCTTGAATTTTCTGAACATATAAGCTGTGGAGCCTGTTAGTTAGGTTAGTTGCATATCCTTTACAGGACGTTGCAGAACCAACGCTAAGTTAGTTTTTCCAGGCAAATTTATGTCCAGTAGTTTGCCATTGCTTTCTGGACAGTCGGCTTCCTTGATACCACTGTTGAAACCAACGCAAGGCACATGGCCCGCAGCTGGGATCGAACCCGGCATTACGAAGCGTTCGCATCGACTTAGCCACAGAGCCGACGTTATTTCTAGGACACAGTCTAAATACAGTGGTCTGTTTCTTTCATCTGAAGAGGTTAATTGGGTCTTAGGAATTCTGTTCTGGGTGGAAAAAGGTTCCACCTAATGATTGCCTTGATTTAGGGTTAGTGTGTCCGGTATCTGGCTGTCCTGTAATGATGCTCATTTTAAATAAATGAGCAGACTGCTTAGCACAAATTGAGAGCAAAGAAGTAAATAAGAAATCTGTTAGGATGAGGGTTGATGAGATATGTTTGTTAAATGTGCGGTTCTATGCAGAACAGTGTTAAGGACCATGTTACATAGTGTGTGCATAAGTGTTTGGTTAGTCTGTTTCATCAGGTTCCAGCTGTGGATTTTAGATTAGCCACAGGGTGCAGATTTTTTGTTGAGATGGGAAATTGAGGATCCGGTGGATATGATGGAGGTGCCGTGTGGATAATCGTAATGAGGTGACTCCGGTAAAGCTATGAAAGTCTTAAAAAGAAAAAAAATACATAACGAAAACATAACATATATGTCAGCTTTACAGAATCAGTTACAGTATTTAACTGATTGTAAAATAACTACATTATGAAAAACAAACAATACAGAAGTGGTATTTTAGAGTCATTTCATTTTATTTTTTGTCTGTCTGCTGATGACGGCAGATTGCTGCAGTGTCCTTTGTTTGTGTGTTGTCATTGATTCTGTAAAGATGACATATACTTGACATTTACTCTCATGAGTATAACCCTAATGATATTTCTAGCTCAACTTTCTGACATTCATGCATTATCCGTGTCACTGAGTTAATTTAAATTAACACAGGTTTTTTTAAAAATCCCAGGCCCATAACTCTCTCCATAACGAGTGACCAATCATTTGAGGCCAACTTTGTCCTGGCAACTCTGGCAGAAGTAGAAGCATCTGAACCCTCTGCTGCAGCAGGAGCACAGGAATCCTCATTAAGGAAGAGTGGATCACATGAAAGGTGCATTTTTTTTTTTTCCTTATATTCTTTTTCTGCCTTTCATCTCCCAATGGTGCATAGGCCCGAGACCCACATATGCCAGACTCTTTGTAGGACATTTCCTGGTAGCCATTTTATCAAGGGTTGACCAGAGAACCGAACCAATTTGTTTTCCCCGAATTCTCCCAGTGTGTGTTTAAACCCACTACCTTCAGACAAGCGCCTCTGCCCACAGCTCCCAGCTAGCTTGTCTTTCTGCCTTGTGTGTGTCTGCATTGGGTGTGTATTTTTGCATGTTTATTTGAAGGAATGCATTTGCCATCCATACTATTGTATTTTTACAATTTTGATAAATAAATATAAAATGCTCGATATGTAAAATACAACTGCTCTGTGAAAGTGTTTTAAAGGGCTTTAACCCTACCAGACCGCTGGCCCGGTTTCCCGGGAATTTCATAACTGTTCTCCATACCGCTTGCCCTACTTTCCGGCTGTTTGCATAGTGCGTGAGAAAGATGCGTCACTGACTAAAAATAACCAACCAATCATCGTCAGTCCGCTTTGTTAGACATTGCAAATGGCTTCCCCGTGTGTGTGAATCAATTATGTGTGTTTTAACGTGAAAATTTTCGGAAAATTCAGAATGAAGCGAGCGGCTGATGAACCAAGCTCTAGGCTTTTCACAGTCCGACAGGTGATCGATACTTTGGTTTATTCAGACTCCGTGATATATATATATAGAAAATAGGCTTACTTTTTTTCTAGCACCAATATTCAATTGAAATTATCACAGATAATGAATATATATATATATATATATAATATTCAATTGAAATTATCACAGATAATGAATATATATATATATATATATATATATATATATATATATATATATATATATATATATATATATATATATATATTCATTATCTATGATAATTTCAATTGAATATTGGTGCTAGATAAAAAGTAAACCTATTTTCTACAATGTCTCTAAGTTTCATCATATTCTAGCCACTCGTTTGCATGTAACTAATATTTTTGTATATCATGTTAGTTTTTTCGCGGTAATGCCCAGGAGCTCAGGTTATAGGGACAGTTAGGTTCAGGGCCTTAGATCTGGTAGGGTTAATGTGTCCAATTAGTGACCCTTTGGAAATAAAGTTTGTTTGTTCATCATTCGTTCATTCCCGTATTAGGATGTAATCAGACCATAATTCATACAGCACATATGTACTTGCAGGTATAAGTTTATGTGGACCTTTTCTCTGGGGCATGCCAGTGTGTTTGGAAATGAACAGGTGGACAGATTGGCTGCCTTTGCACAACTTGGTGGCATATTGATGCATAAGGCAAACGTGGTTAGGGTCTTGTGGAAAAACGTGTACAATTTGGAGGAGCAAATGGATCACCTTGGTCTTGTAAGAGTGATGCAGCAAGCAGTTACGAGAGGATCTGGCTGATGCTCGATGCTCAGGAAAAAGGCAAGACAGGCGTATAATCGGAATGCTTTTAGGAATTGGAACTCTGCTCTGGCTGCTGAAGATATAGATGGAGCATTTATGGGTATGCCCTGAGTGCTGTGACATCAGTTCTTGAATCAGCTGAACTCTGTTATAAGTTTACAAACCAGCTGCAACATTCACTGGCTGTTATGTGGTGTTACTAGACAGTTTTTTTTTTTTTAATGCTTAGTAGTTTACGAGTTTTTTTTGTCTGCATCTGGTTCTTAGGATCTGTAAAACAGATGAGCACACAAAATTTAGTTTCTGGAATAAGGCCAAACTCCAGTAGTGGCTGAACAACCAGAACTTTCCACCAGAGTTTACAGCATGTGAATGCGAAGAAGAAGAAACCCCAGTATGACGGGTATGGGAAACTGCATCAGCAGTCCCTAAACCACACTTGTTGACATTGTCCATAGACTCTGACCTAATGTCCAGCAGAAAGTGGGTAGCTTCACTAATTTTTTTCGTTAGAAAAAAAAGGGGGAAGGGGGGGGGGGGGGGGGTTTGGTACCCACTACACAATATCTATTACCTTAGTGCAAAAAAAAATGATTCCTCAACACACACACACACAAAAGTGCTGGTGTTACCATTGTGTACCATGAGAAAAAAGAGCTCATTATTTCTGTGCTTTACCTGTTTCTGATGAAGCAGTTTACATTGGCTCCACTGTTGGGGTACCAGTATCTAGGTTTCACTCATATTGTTTTCTGTTTTAGGTTCAGAAACACAAGGAAACAAAATGGTAAAAGTTCAGTAAACAGGTAAGATATGACAGTAGGGATGGTGTTGTCCAAAAATAATGTAATGACACACACAAAAAAGAGGGGGGGGGGGGGGGCTTTCATAGTAAAGTCCACTTGTTTGTGCACGAAACAAGGAAGTAAAAAAAGTAAAGTAATGGTCCCTTCTCCACACCTTTGGGCTTATAGGGCTAGACCTATAGTTTTATAGAACAATCGGCACAAGATGGGTTGATGTGATCAGCATCACTCCGGCCACCTCTACTTCCCAGGACTGCACCCAGAACTCACTCAAGCCTGGGTCGACCTGGGAGTCGAGGTTATTTTTTTTTTTAAAGTCGGCTGCGCCAGGCTACCCTAATGAAACAAGTAACACTTAAAAGTATACAGAGAGTGCTTTAAATATGTTACTTTTTTATACGTTTCTGTGTGGTTCTCACTATCTCTCTCTTTCTCTCTCTTTTTCTTTCTCATTCTCTCTCTTTCTCTCTCTCATTCTTTCTCTCTCTCTTTCTCTTTCTCATTCTCTCTCACTCTCTTTCTCTCTCTCTCTCATTGTCTCTCTCTCTCTCTCATTCTTTCACTTATTCTCATTCTCTCTTATTCTCTCTCTCTCTCTTATTCTCTCTCTCTCTCTTATTCTCTCTCTCTCTCTCTCTCTCTCTCCCCCTCAACAGCTATATCAGTCCCATATTGTTTCCACCAGATACCGAATTAGAAGAGAGGGTGTGGACTAATGGCTGAAGAATCATAAATGTATTACCTTGCCATAAGAAATTATGAATAAGCATTGGATAAGCCATATTTTAAAAGTATATTGGGGGGGGCTGCGTGTCTCGAGGCATGGTGTCTGCCTAGATTGCTAGAGGTTCTGGGCTTCATCGCTGGTAAGGGCTGGGATTTTTTCACTTGGACTTCTAGTTATTCCCCTTGGTCTCTGTGTAGTGAGATCAAATGCCCGTGTGCATTGTTGTGCAGGTAAAAAATCTCTTCTCAGTTGGAAATCAAAAAGAGTAGCTCAACGGCACTGCCCAGGCAAAATTTTGAGTTAAATATCTACCCAAAGTATTTCAGGATCCTTGTCGATGCTACAGAACCTGTGCACTGTGCTGAGCTTCTTCGGACTCAGACTTGAGTTAGAAGAAGAACAGAGCACTTATGTGTTACTACCCGTGTGCCATGGCGTTGATCCGTTGTTTAAACCTTAAAGTATATTCTAACCAAATGTGAAAATAAAGAGGACACATTGCCCAGTGGTTAGGATTCAGGGTGCAGTCCATCACCAACTTTTGCTATTTGGGTTTCTTTTTCATAATTTTGTGCACTGCGGAAAACTGCAACATAGTTCCTCCACCAACTCACTCCATATCATTCTGTTCTTTGCCATTTTATACAGAATTGTGTCCTCTATGGTTTACCTACCCTGTCTATAATTCCTGTCTCTAAATGTTTTTAGATGTCCCTCTTTTTTTGCCCAGTGAGTTCCAGAAAAAGAAGGCATTCTAGTTATAATATTATTAGAGTTTGCATGGAGTCAGGCATGCTCCATGCAGAGTGGCAAGCTTCACTTCAGTGGTCCCGGGTAGAAAGCGTCCTTTGGATATTTTCTCCAGAATATGTTTGTGTGTTGGAAAATGAGCAGACAGATAAACTGGCTGGCTGTTCACCACTTGATGATGAATTTATGTATGACAAGCTAGATGTCGTTAGGGCCCTTTGGGAGGGAGTGAACAGTGAGAGGCACAAATACACCATTACGGTTCGATGAGAATGGTGCTGCAAGGAATTACCAGGGAATCTGGCCGACGCTGAACGCCCAAGGGAAAGGCTAAACGGATGTACAATCAGACGGTGACTGGTACCATCGGAATCAGAACTCTTCGCTTGCTGCTGAAGATGGGAACGGAGCGTATATAGGAGTGTCCGGAGTGCTGTAACGTTGGTTCTTAATTCAACGTTCAACATAGATTTTGCGGCATGTGTTCTATCCAGCAGCAGCATCTTTTCTGCACCTTTTGATTCACTTAAAGTTGATTAGTTCTCTCATCAAGCTCTGTGTTAGTGATTCTGTCATAGCAGTTTAGTTCTCTTTTTCTTTTAGAATCTTGGAATGTGAGCAAACAAATTAAGAACAGTTTGGAGGCCACTGAGATGTGGTTCTTGAGAAGAATGTTGCGAATACCTTGGACTGCCAGAATAACTAACAATGGTTGCCTGGAAAGGGCTATGGAAGTAGAACATTATATACAACAATGAAAAGGAGACAAACAAAGCTCTTTGGTCATGTGATGAGAAAAGGAGCACTGGAAAATCCTGTGACGACTGGAAAGATCTGGTAGAAGAGGCAGACCAAGAGAAATGATGGTGGATGGCTTAAGACAGGGGCATGGAAAAATATCATTAGTGGAAATGATCCAAACACAGAAGACCAAGGTCTGTGGAGATGCATGAATACCTACACCAGGTGGCACTGAATGGTGAATGTTGTTCCCAAATATTTAAACTCAGATGCCTGTTTAATGCCTTTGAATTCTACTGCTATACTGAGTTCTGTTTTTTTCTTAATATTGACATTACATTTGTCTTTTCAGTGTTGATTCTCATTGTTGTAGTTTCATGGCTGTATCTGCTATCAAGGCCTGGTCGTCAGCAAAGAGTAATATGTTGACTTTACTAATATTTCTTTCCTGGGCTTGGCATCCTTGCACATATAATCGATGTAGATGATTAGCAACAGTGGTGGTAAGTGGATTTACCCCACAGCCATTACTTTCTTCAGCGGGCGTCATGTTGACCACATCACCCATCACGTGCTGATCAGTTTATAAAAGATAAGTCTAGTGCCATATGCCAGGTAGGTCTGAAAGCACAGAAAAGGATCCTTTAGTTTACATTGCTTTCTTATCAATTTTTGATCCTCCTCTTTTTAAATTTCACAGAAATTCTTCAAACAACACTTATACAGAAAAACAGCAATCATCCAAGCCTGAACACTCACTACATCATTCTGCGACAGTGAGAGACAGGCCAGGAACATCCCATGCTGCCGATGATATGATGAATGACGACGAAGACTTTTCCGTCATGATGGATGTCACAGCCCCTGAGGAACCCTACACATCACAACCACCCACAACTGTACCAGAAAAAAACACACGGGGAACTGAACAACCAGTTCGAAAAAAAGTAATTTTTCGCCATGATACAGATGACGAGGACGACGAAGATGGCTGGCATTTAAATGCTAGAGCTGCTGAAAACTTTATAAATGCTGCTGGGTCGGTGTCTAGTGAAGACAGGCATGCAAAAATCCTAAGTAGCAAAGAGAAAGATGTTAACAGAGTAGCAACAGTGGTACAAGATCATAGTAAGCAGATTCAGACTAGTTCAGAAGCAGCACAAACAAGTTCAGGCAGCAGTAGCACAGGAGGTGTGCACAATGTGGGTAGAACATTTTTGTCTTTGAAGTCTGGCAGTGGTGATACAAGCCCGGTTGTTCCTATGCAGAACACTAACTTGGTAAGTAATTAATTAGTTTAATTTGTTTTTTAAATCTTAACATTAAACAGAACTACATATTGATCAGGTAAGACTGATTAATGAGTGCTAAAGAAACAGATTATAAACAGCATATTCATACCAACATCGTGCTACCAGTGCTAGATTTGGACATTACCCAAGGCTAACCTGCATAAAATTGACGCCTGTGAAATTAGATGCCTGAGAAAAGCTGCCAATTTAACCATCCGAGGCAAAGTTAGAAATGTTATTATCAGACAGACTATGCTTACAACATCATGCAGTAAATTCATTGAGAAACAAAAGATCATATGGTTTGATCATCTAGTAAGAATGTATCAACTACCAACTACCAATGCAGTAACTACACATTAAAAGATTTGATGTGACAGTAAGAGGTCACCTAAGGAGAAGATGGATTGATGACATTAAAGAGCTTCTACATCGACTGGAAATGACAACAGCCACTGCTGCCCATCAAGCAATGGATCACAGACTGTTCCTTCCAACAACGCTTAACTTCAGATCCTTTCATGTGTAGCTGCTGCATTGGTAGTTGTTCTGGCTGCATTCTTACTCAATGACCAAACCATTTGATCTTCTGTTCTCTGTGAACTTGCTGTATGTTGTAGTTCTTACAGTCTGTCTGATAATAACATTTCTAACTTTGTCTCGGATAGTTGAGCTGGCAGGTATAAGTATATCGGGTATACCTATAAATCTCTCAGCCGGCAGTAAAAAGAGTGAAGAGGAAAAAACAAGGAAATGGGGAGAGAATAAAGCAGAGACATAGAAGAGCAGGAGCCAGGAGATTTAGCCGAAAAAACAGAGCGGCTAGGGTTCAACCATGTAAGAGTGTGCTTTTGGAATTGTAATGGACTCTGAAAGCATGCTGAAAAAGTTGAAGACGAGATTGCTTCGAGCAGAGTGGCAAGCTTCCCTTGCAAGTTTACGGGTGGAGAGCATACTTTAGATCTTTTCTTCAGGTAATGCCGGTGTGGTGGGTAATGAACAGGCAGACAGATGGGCTAGATCTGCACCGCTGGGTGGTAAACTGATACATAACAATGCAGATTTGGTCAGGGCCCTTTGGGAACAAGTAGCTTAGTTAGAAGAGAAACTAGATTATTATGGGCTTGAGAGAATGATGCACCTGGGTGTGACCAGAGGGTTCGGCCGGCACACTACGCTCAGAGGAAAGGCAAGGCGGACATACAACCAGACTACGACCAGCACCATTAGTATTGGAACTCTGCGCTGGCTGCTGAGGATGGGGACAGAGCACTTATGGGAATGCCCTGAGTGCTGTGATGTCAATTCTCAACTCAACCTATAGATCTCCTGCAACAGTCTCTTTGTGTAGATGCTGATTGTTCCTCTTTTATGTCCTTTCTTTGTTGGTTGGTAGTTGTAGTCCACCAGGACATCACACAAGCGATAAACACTCAGTTACACAAAGTGCCACCGTGCAGATGAGGATCACCCATGGGGAGGTCTCAGAAACCCCTTTCAGCCATTAGGCCAATCTATGGCTAGGCCATATTTATGCCCCAGCTATATTCAGGGCCCCCAGCAGAAGCCAGGGCGGGGCTTCAAATAAAAAAAAATTTGCATCCCACATAGGAACGACTTTTTTTAAAACAAAGTTGACATAAAATATGTCTTTTCTTTCTGGATCCACACTTAAATCCAAATTCATCCAACTTCAAACATGTTTCATCTATCATTGCATCTTCCATCGGCTTTCATTAGTTTGTAGCAGAAGTGACAGTACGATAATGGCAAGTCTACTACTCAACGAGCAAGTTGTGAGAAGCATATTAGCTCTCAGCACTTTTTATGTTATTATAATTAAATATTTTCCTGAAGTTAATTTAAATCATACGGACACAGACCATACATTGCACAAGTTTATTGCCAGGCATATTTCGCTGGATCTCGTCAAGTGTGTTACTACCGAGTCACATCAACATATCATGAAGCGCAGAAACTGGATAAATTCTACCGAAACACAGATGATCTCTCTCAAGATACATTGTTCATGTTTACTATTGACTGCATTTTAGGACAGTTTGGGACGGAAGGTAGTTGCGGTCCTTGGGAGCCTGAAGATTGAGGGTGCATGGCTGCGTCAGTTGCCCTATAATTTGCCAGCCAGTTATAATACCCCCCCCCCCCCCCCCCCCCCCCCCCCCCCTCAGCAGAAAATATTTCCATCATCTTACTTAGGATTCCCTATGGCTTTGCTCATGCAAACAAGTTAAAGTAAAAATTATGAGATCATGTATTTTTCCCATGGCAACTGGTGGATGTGAGTCATGGACTCTCACTCAGTTCATGAAGAAAAACAGTGGAACTTTTGAAATGAAATACTACACACAGATTCTTAGAATGCCATGAAAGAAGAAGAAAATCACCAGCATCCTGCATTATCTGAGCATTGGGGAGAACTGGCTCATAAACAGCATCCTGTCCCGAAAGGTGAAGTATTTTTACCATTTTAAATGTTATGGCTTAGAAACGGGGGAGGAAAAGGGAGGGGGGGGGGGGGGGGGTTACAGTTTCTGGAGGCAGAGGTAGACCCTGCAAAGGTGGCTACAAAGCATTGAAGATGAATTTGCTATAAAAGCACATAGGGCTAGAGATAGACTGACTTTCAGCCATGACGAGAGTGACCTGCTGTAAAGCACCTGCTGATTGATGACTTAGGATTCGAACCTGGGTGTCCCAAATGAGAGCTTAGCATTCTGACAGCTTGGCCAGCTGCTTATCATGAATTTATTGATATTTCCAAGTGAACCACAGCGGTAACTTTAATCAGAAAGATGGACATAGGATGTGTTCAAGAAAGAGTTAGTGAATGTTTATTATTATTATGAATTGTTTCACAGCAGTCTGAGTCAGACGAATCGGATAATGAAGTTGAGGAGGAAATACCAGCCACACCTCCCATGAAAAAGGTAAGATCTTAGAAATTTCCAGGAGGTAGGTGAAACACACCCATCCCCACCTTGACTAAACATTACTTGGTAACCGTGTTGTGGTGCCCCACTGTAACTGTGCTGTATGGTCAAAGAGTTGATGGAGAGTTGGTTGATTATTGAAACATTTTTTGGAAGCTGCGGAGATGTGGTTTTATAGACAAATAATGAGAATAACCTTGAGAAGATAACAAGAGGATATCTTGATAGAAGTTAACTCATGAAGAGAACTGATTGCCCCCACATCAAAAAAGAGACGATCTACATTCTTTGGTCATGTGATGAGAAGGAGGAAACTAGAGTACATCGTGACAGGAGGAAAGTTAGAGGGGAGGAGGGGCAGGGGGAGCCCGAGAGAACAGATGCTGGATGGTCTGTCATCATGGCATAGAGAATTATCTGTGTCAGAGTTGATTGAAAGTACACGAGACAGAAGGTTGTGTGTAGACATGACTACCAACAAAAGCGGGGTTCAGGCGCAGTTGATGTGGAAAAAAAAAGTGGTGAAATATGGGGGTGACTGCAGTCAAGCTTATACCAAGGAATTTAAGTGAAATGTGACTATAAAGCTCAACAAAACGGGGAAGCAGTAAAACATCCACAAAACAACACAAATCGGCGGTTTTTCTTGAACATGAAATGAGCTACACAGCAGTAACCAAGAACCTGACTCCCATTTTTGTTTGTCACCGTACATGTATAGTTTCCGCACCGCTGGTTTTTTGCTTTGTTCATTTGGTTACACAAGGTTACGTGAGTGCTCTTTACATTTGTTAAAAGTTGTGACCACTTAGTTATTGGAATAGTTTTCTCTTGGTTACCGTTGTGTAGTTCATTTTCTGTTTGAGAAAGGCCGCGACTGAAACGTCGATTTGTGTTGTTTTGTACACTTCTTTCTGCTTCCCCGTTTTGTTTAGCTTTATAGTCACATTTCACTGTAATTCCTTGGTGTTAGCTTGGCTGCAGTCACCCCCATATTTCAGACTAGATCTGTTCACTTCTGATTGTGTCTAGTCCCGTGAATGCTGACATATTGCCGTGTCTGCAGTGACCCGTCTCAAAAAGTGTAGTTAAAATTCCACTGCTTCTAGTTGTGCCTTTGCAGTATTTAATAGGTCAGGATATGAATACAGTAACTAAAAATAGCATGGCGGGGGGGGGGGGGTGGGGGGGTGGGGGGGGGGGGGGGGGGGGGGGGGGGTTATGCCCTCAGTGGTTTGTTGAAGCCAAGTTCATATCAAATTTCCCATAAGCCTCAGTGACAGAGGTCACAGCATGTCACCTGATATATTCACACACATGAACATGTGTGCGCGCACCCACACACAAGAACATTGAGTATTCATCCCTAAACTGTGACAAAGTTATCTCTTTTAGAGTGTCGACGATAATCTTGGAGGGGGTGGGGGGGGGGGGCGCAGTTTTATGAGAAGACTGCTAACGAAAATGTAATTTGCATTTCAAACATGTTCTTCTGCGTTCACAATTCTTATTTGCCTATTTTGTTTCCATTACAGTTCCGATCTTTGTTTTTTGGGACTCAATCAAGTACGCAGTCAACACAGTCACAACAGAAGTCTGTCATATTGGCTCCTGACTCGGACGAAGAACACTGAAAAACCACACTTTGTATCAGTGGGAAAAACTGATTTTTTTTTGGTGCAGTATTGATAGGGATTTTAATTCACTACATCTTCCACTGAGGGCTAATTGATCTGTTAAATTAATGTTGAATTGAGAATTGAGATTGCAACATTCAGAACATTCCCATAAGCTCTCCGTCCCCATCTTCAGCAGCAAGCGCAGAGTTCCAGTTTTGACGGTCTGATGTGTATCCGCTTCATTTTTTGTGTGTATTGAGCGACGGCCGGATCCCTTGGTAGGACTTTTAGTCAAATTTTCAAAATGCCCTCCACACCAATGAAACCAGCACAGTTAGATAGCTGTAAACAATCTCTTTGCAACGGTATCTCATTTAGGCTTGTATGTCATTTCTGAGCTGAGATATGTAGGTTTTTGTGGAGATGAGATGTAAAAAACAGCTGTTGAAAACTTGCGTCTAAGAAACAAGAAGTTTTCTCTGCGCAACCAAACTGCGCACATTTCGTTTTGGCTTTCTTTACATTGGACTGTCATTGGACGAGATGGCAAACAATGAGACACAGCCACATAATAGCGATTGCCTGAAAAATGTCACTGTAAATCTAACAAGCCACTGATAAGAAAGAAATTTTATATACAAATGTAAAATTGGACGGAGAATTCAATCATAACTAGTATTATTAGTACGAGTAATGTTAAAGCCTAAAGCCAACCTTGAATAATTACCGCTATTTTTAATCAAACTGATGTAACCGAAAAACAGAGGACGTCCGGCTGTCGTAGACATGCGCTGTTAATCGGGTTCGTTCCCGCCGTTTTCAGCTATTTATAGCTGGTGAAAATCACACCAATCGCAAAATTTCATGAGAGATTAGGACCCATCCCGAAACCAGCCGACATTTCCCAAACAAGTTTCGAACGGTTTCCATGGTAACGGAAAATGCGAAAAGACCGCAAATTGCCGAACACCGTAGTCGCTACCCTTGGCCACTCCTCACGGCACAATTCTCCCCAGACCGTGATGATCTGTTTGGGTACTTTCTTATTAGCCAACCACAAACAGGGGAAATCCACAGGTCACTCAAATATTTCAGAGGGTGGTAGATTAAGCATATAGTTTTGGTTAGGGTAAGGTAAATATGCGAAAACCTTGGAAGAAACGGGTTAAAGCACAGAAAACACGGAAAACCCGCTCTTACCACCCTCTAAAATTGTGGACTGTCCCGTGACGTTATTTGTGGTTGGCTTAAGAGAAAGCACATCTGTTTGTGCCTCCGCACTGTTCACTCGCTGTAAAAAGAGCGTGTGTTCAGCTGATTCTCAAACGTTTGAGGTTTTAAACAACGGATCAGCATCATGGCACACAGGTGTAACCCATAATTGCTCTGTTCTTCTAACCTAAGTAATAGTCAGAAGAAGCTCAGCACAGTGCACAGGCGCTGTTGCAGTAGCAAGGATCCTGAAATACTTTGGGCGGATTTTTAACTCCAAATTTTGCCCAGGCAGCAGCGATAAGGATTTTTTACGCGCGCAACAATGCCCACGGGCTTCCGATCTCACTATCCAGAGACCTGGGGGAATTACTAGAATCCCAGGCTATAGTGAAAAAATCCCAGCACTTACCAGGGATTGAACCCGAAACCTCTAGCACTTGAGGTGGACACTATGCCTCAAGACCACACAGTTCCCCCCACTCCTTCTAAAATCTATAGGATCATGGAACCCTATACACTTTAAGGTGCAGGGAAAAAAGCCTTTTTATTTGTTATCTATTCATGTATTATGCAAACATTTTATTGGTTATTTGATGATGTATTTATTTTAAATAAACAAAATTGCTATTGCATTTGCTTTGTTATATAATGTATGAAGAATGCAACTCCTTTTCTCTGTTTTAAAACAGAAAGAGTAACAGAGATGGATGGTTGGAGAAGAAATTGAGGGATAGAATGAGAGACACAGAAAGGGTGATAAAGAGAGGATTAGAAGACAAGCAAAGAAGTTAATGGAGAGTGACAATGAGAACAGAAAGGAAGAAAATGTGAGCAAGAAGACAGTAATAATGTTCTTACAGTTAAAGATAGTTTCTGACACAGTGATTTTCTGTGAAGTGAAATTACATTACCCGAATATAATTTATGACAGGATGACATTCTAATGAAATACATTACCCAAATAAAATTTTTGACAGGAAGACAACCTGTAAAGTGAAATTACATTACCCAAATACAATTTATGACAGGATGACATGCTAATGAAATACATTACCCGAATATAATTTATGACAGAAAAACAACCTGTGAAGTGAAATATCATTACCCAAATATAATTTCTGACACTGTGACATCCTGTTAATAAATTAAACTATTCCTTTCGCTTCAAGAAGCAGAAAACTGGACATTTCCAGTTAGTGCCATGTGCCCAGCAAATATCGTTTTACCAACATTGCTACGGTGGTTTGAGAGAAGCTTAACTAACTGCAATGGTATTGTTTGCGTCTGCATAAACAAACAGAATGACTAAGAATGATTATGTTTGCTAAGAACTGCATTTAGATGGAGGTTTTCTTGTGAAATAAAATGGCTGTTTTATAAAAATTATTTAGGAAAGCCAAAAAAGGGCAGTCTAGATGTTTTGAAAGAGGCGAGTGCATCGAAGACAACTTATCACAAACATCAAAAAGAGATAGTCATCATTTGTTGTTCATGTTATGAGAAGAGGGAAACTGGAACTTGTGACCACTGGAAAGATTTATGGAAAGAGAGACAGAGAAAGACAGCGCGAGAAAATTCTTGACAGCATTTTTTTTAAAGGCCACGAACTGATAAACGCAGCTGCAGATTTGAAAGAGGCATGATCACTCAGGCCAGTTGGCAATGCACTTGTTCGTGATGACAGAAATTATTATGTCATAACTTCCCATTAGTAACTGGCGACCTAGTCATGCAGTGGAGACTGATTTATAATAAAAATATATCTTTAAGTGAGATGAAACCTTGTAATTCTCTACTGCCTTCGTGAACACTGATTTACTTCCCTTATTCTCTATGGGGGTAAATATTGTCTTTGTCTATAAATAGAATTGTTCGGATTTTGAGTGTGCACATATGAAATCTATGCAAAATGTGTTTTTTTCAAAGGTCTGGGAATTCCTGAAATATGAATCATTAGCTTTGATTTTTTTCTAGGTCACCAGGGTGAAGGGAGTAATTCTTCCATTGAAAGAAAAAAAATTGTTTACCCATACAAATAATAACTAGAATATTTCCATCAGTAAATTTCCAGAAATTTAATATGAAAGCAATTATTGACAAACTCCACTATGTGGAATTTTGGTGATTTAAAAAAAAAATTGAAAATCTAAAGCAACATAGCATATATACAAATTTTTACCTGTACACACACACAAAAAAATACAGTATATGCATACCATAAATTGGTCTGTCAAGAAACATCACATAGCTTTATTAATAAACATAATATTTATACTTTTTGATGAAGTTTTAGCTGCTGGGAGACTCTTCCAGGTCATAAACCGAGGGTTTCTTAGCAAAAGAGAAATTGGCAAGTGGACGAAGATGGCTGTTTACCTCTCTACCTATGTACCAGTCCTGACCTATGGGTGTGAGTCATGGGCAATGACAACAGCTCACAGAAGCCAGCTGCAGGCCTCAGAAATGAGATATCTGAGAAAGGCGGTCCAAGTGACAAGAAGGGACAAAGTCTGCAATCAGATAATATGTCAAGATCTTGATACCCAGCCCTTACAAACCCGAGTGGATCAGTCACAGTTACGACGGTTTGGACATGTATGCAGAATTGGTGAAAATTGGCCACCATGGCAGGCATTGGAGGCTAAGAACCAGGGAACCAGACCTCTGGGACGACCCAGGGTGCGCTGGGAAGACAACATCCGACAGTCCCTAACTGACAGAGGACTGGAATGGAACAAAGCCAGAAAGAAAACTGCTGATAGAGACGTCAGGCGATCTCTCTGGCAAACCTCTACAACCCAAGGTAGAAGAGGAGTGACTAAGTAAGTAAGTAAGATGTGGTTTTAGCCTTAATGTTGTAGGAGAGAAAGAAAAGTTTGTATGCATAATGAAGTTGTCTTCATTTATTAATATTAAAAGCAAGATCTTGTCCTAGGACAGAGCAGACAGAGGATAACAAAGCAGACACTGAAATAGGAAATACATGGAATGAGGATGTCCAAGAAAAATCCCAGGACGAATGGTGATGAGGGAGAGGGTGAATATGCTGGTCTGTAGTCCATCTCCTCGTGTGGGTTCCAGGGCCCTATTACAGGGAAAACAAGAATAGACCGACTGCCTACCCACAAGCATGTCGTAAGAGCCGACTAACTAGGAGCTTCCTTCGAAGTCGGAGTGCATCTGCCTGAGAGGCAAGGAACCAACAGTCTGCGTACAAAGGAGTCAGATCTGTAAAGCGGATGCACATGCAACACTCAGGTTCTGGAACAGGACTGCAGTCCAGAAGTGGATGAACAACCAGAAATTTCCGCAAGAGTTTGCAGCTGGTGAATAAGAAGAAGAAAGTAATCCACCTGTGATATCGAAAAGACCGTACAGGATAGATTGCAAAGGAGGAAAAGACTGCGTTACCTATGTGACACATAAATGGCATAACAGGATACATATGGCATAACATGATATAACCAGCCTTGAGTGGTTACCAGGTGCATTCCTGGGAAGTAAAGGCGGCTGGAGTGATGCTGACCACATCACCCACCGAGTGTTGACTGGTCAATGAAAATATAGGTCTGGGCTTATAGTCCCAATACGCCTAAAGACGTGGAAAAGGGTCCTTTACTTTACTATAATATAAATGGCATAAAGTAAAGGGACTCTTTTGTACACCTTCCGGTGTATTGGGAATATAGGGCTAGACCTACATTTTTATAGACCAATCGGCACTTGGTGGATGATGTGGTCAGCATCACCCTGGCTGCCTTTACTTCCCAGGAATGCACCTGGTACCCACTCAAGGCTGGGTCAGCCTTGGACGGCCAGAGTAACTAACAATGATTGAAAGAAGCTAATGAAAGTAGATCTCAACTTCTCTTGAATAATAAGAAGGAAACAAACACTGTTCTTTGGCCACGTAATGAGAAGAGAGACATTGGAAAGCATCGTAACAATTGAAAACAGTGAAAAGAGGGGTAGAGGCAGACCAAGAGAGATGATGCTGGATGGGCTCAAACGATTGCATAGAGGGATATCATCAAAGCTGTTCCAGGCAACCAGAGATCGTGATCTGTGGAGCTTCATGAGCGCCTATACCAAGGCTATTCAACTGGCGGCTCGCGGGGGATAAGCAAGTGGCCCGCGGATCACTGTCAGTTGTACTGTATTAACGATCTTTCTATGCTAAGGTTTAGCCTCTGGCCCGTGACGATCCTCCTTTTCCAAATTGTGGCTCCCTCTGTAAACTTAGTTGAATAGCCCTGGCCTATACTAACTGGCAAGACACATAACGACGATGATCATGACGGAGAATGGAGCTAGAAAGTTAAGTAAAAAGGAGGAACAGTAAACCAGTACAGAACTGGGCTTACAGAATTGTCAAAGATGATCAGTCGATTAACTAACGTTTACGATTTGCTGTGAGTAACCACGTCTAGCATCAGATGTCCCCTTCCAAATGTCTTGTCATAATTTATCACACTAAAAGTTTTTCAAAAGTGTCCGTACAATCTGCAAATTTACATCTGAAAATGTCACATGAATATATCCGACTGGTTGGTTACTCTTGCCACAATACAGGTGATGTCATCTGGTTTTCCACCTGTAACAGACAACAGAAAACAAGGTGCTCGTTATAAGATTAATGCATGTTATAATTTGCTAAAGTTAAATGTTGAATTAAGAATTGACATCAGAGCACTCGGGACACTCTCTTTTTTCAGCAGCAAGCGAAGAGTTAAAATTCCGACAGTACCAGTAACTGTATGATTGTATATCCGTCTCACACTTCCCCTGAGTGCCGAGCCTTGCCAGATCGCCTTGTAACTCTCCGCAGTGCCATTCTCCTCAGACTGTAATGATCTATCAGTGCCTCAGCACTGTTCACTCGCTCCCAAAGGGCCCTCACAACATCCAGCTTGTCATACATCAGTTCACCACCAACTAGTGCAGAACCGGTCAGTCTATCTACCTGATCATTTCCCAATACACCAGCAGCTTACTAATTTTGCTAATGTATGTTTTTCTAGCATTTAATCTTCACAAGATCCATAACCATACAATTCCTTCTTACCTACATAAAGAATCTATCCTTCTGTTAATTATCCATCTAGGTTAAGTTAAGTTAGTTACGTATCCTTTACAGCACACAGCAGAATCAACCTCAGCATGTTTTGGCTCTTTAAAGTTTTTTTTTAGGCAACTTTTACATTCAGTAGTTTGCCACTGCACGTATGTATCCACTCCGATACCTATTACAAACTGACCTGTACTGAAAAATGATCAGTGTCTGTGGATTAGGAGTTGTGAAGCACTTCATAATTCCATAGTGCAGGGTTCAGTACCAGCTGTGGGTCATCTGGCAGCAGACTACCTTGCACTGGTTTCAACAGTGGTACCAAGAGCTAACCGTTCAGAATAGCAGTGAAAAACTATTGAATGTACACTTGCTAACGACGCCATAAACAGCCAAAAAATGCTGCTGTTGGTTTCGTAATGTCCTGTGAAGGACATAAAACTAGCTGATGAATAGTAGTGAATTTTGGAAAGTCCTAACCTTTTGAAAAAAATATCTGTTCATTCACTCACCCACACACCTAGCTACTAATCACTGATCTTTCTTTCTTCATACACAGCTTTCTATCTTTGTGTGTGTGTACACGTGCGTACACATGTGCACATACTTGCGTATGTATTTATTCACCCATCCACCCACATACCCTCCTTATATATCTATCTACCCATTCAACCTTCCATCCACCCACATAACCTACTTATATATCTATTTACCCATTCAACCTTCCATCCACCCACATAACCTACTTATATATCTATTTACCCATTCAACCTTCCATCCACCCACATAACCTACTTATATATCTATCTACCAATTCAACCGTCTATCCACCCACATAACCTACTTATATATCTATCTACCCATTCAACCTTCCATCCACCCACATAACCTACTTATATATCTATCTACCAATTCAACCGTCTATCCACCCACATAACCTACTTATATATCTATCTACCCATTTAACCTTCTATCCACCCACATAACCTACTTATATATCTATTTACCCATTCAACCTTCCATCCACCCACATAACCTACTTATATATCTATTTACCCATTCAACCTTCCATCCACCCACATAACCTACTTATATATCTATTTACCCATTCAACCTTCCATCCACCCACATAACCTACTTATATATCTATCTACCAATTCAACCGTCTATCCACCCACATAACCTACTTATATATCTATCTACCCATTTAACCTTCTATCCACCCACATAACCTACTTATATATCTATTTACCCATTCAACCTTCCATCCACCCACATAACCTACTTATATATCTATTTACCCATTCAACCTTCCATCCACCCACATAACCTACTTATATATCTATTTACCCATTCAACCTTCCATCCACCCACATAATCTACTTATATATCTATCTACCCATTCAACCTTCCATCCATCCACATAACCTACTTATATATCTATCTACCCATTCAACCTTCCATCCATCCACATAACCTACTTATATATCGATCTACCAATTCAACCTTCCATCCACACAATAACCTACCAGATTTACCCAAATTATAAAACATATCCGGTCAAATCCCACTGGAGGTAACACCTCAGACCACTATCTTGACAAGCCATCTCACTAACTACCTCTACCACAACTTCAAACCCTACCAAAGAGACTCTAAAGTACTCACTCAAACAATGAGAACACAAACAATATATTTCATAATTTAAAAAATATCATCGCTATGAGCAGGTCCTTTGCAGAACATCACTCTCATCACAGTGTGCTTGAAAGTCTTACTTGCTCTAGCCAATTTTCCAGCCCTATGTGCTTTCACAGCTATTGTATCTTCAATGTCTTGTATGCCCGTTCGCACACATCTGCCTCATCCTGGACTTCCGGAAACTTCCCTTCATCACCGTTCTCTCCGGGCCACCATGATGTTTAACATGGCCAAAATAGCTCAGTTTTTGGGAGAGGGTGCTGTTTATGAGCCAATTCTCTTTGACTATCAGATTTGATAAATAAGGCACAATAAAATTTGTTTCTTCTGTTCGCTTCTTTGATTTCCAGCAACAGAAGAGTTCTTACTACAACACTGACTGTTTTTGGAGGTCGTCTTTAGTTCTATTCAGCTCTCTGTATAGGGTTGACTCACTGGGCCAGAATTCCCTTCTTGATGGGCTGTACAATGGACATTCTTGCACGACATGATCCAACATTGGTGCACAGGGCCCAAAAGAAGCATGGTAGTGAACCACTCAGACGAAACCTGTGCATATGCCTTTCGAGTTTTCATTCATTTATCGTTCTGCTGTTCCATTATATGCCACATAGGGCTCATAGTGTATTCCTCTATTCCATTCCATCTTGTGCAATAACTTTACTATCATGGATTGAATGTAGTCCAGCATATTCAGCTTAGGGTTTCTATTGGATATTTTCATTTCCTCAATCCCTCTATTTCCATTTCAGGGCCTGTAACTTAATCCCGTCCCAATATGGGACACCTTTTTTTGTGTGGTGAAAGTTATGAGTTAGATTATCTTCACAGCACTCCAGACACATCCATAGGTGATCAGATTTCCCTCTCAACATATTTATCAGCGCCGCGTGGTTACTAATGCCAGTCCTATGTTGGTTAACAAGACTTTGTGTGCAACCGTTGTGCTTCTCATGCTTGGCTGTCATCAGGGGCCCCAATTATAAACTAACGGTGGAAGAGGGTTTTTGGGACTTGCACCTGGAGGATTCTCATCCGAATGATGGCAATTTTTGTTACCAGTTTTTAACTGCTCTTCATGCGGTCCTGGTGGGGTTGAAGGTCGCTCACTCAGAGCCTGTTTGGTGATTCTCTGTTCATCTCTTCTCAGAAGGTGTCCATTATAGCGCTATCGGTGCTTTATTAATATCCTACCCCAGATGATGTCACAGGACAGTCCAATATTTTAGAGGGTGGTAAGACCAGGTTTTCCGACTTTCTGGTGCTTTTAACGACCCCAAAACATCTAGAACTGGCCCTAACCCCAACCTACGTCCCATGACAGAGTGCAGCCTAGGTCCCACAACTGCATGCAGCCTAGGTCACACGACTGCATGCAGCCTATCTACCACCCCCTGAAATAGTAGACTGTCCCGTGACCTGTGGATTTCCCCTGTTGGGGTAAGATATTAATAAAGCACTGGGCTATCTTCTCTGTTTTATAATTGTTGATACAACTGTTTGCCCATATATTTCTTCACTCTTGGATTCATCCCATTTATGTTCAACACTGTCCTCAAGCATTTGCTAATGAATTTAACTTTTGTTCCATGTTTTTAGTGGCTCTCCAAATTTCACTGGCATATGTTAAAAATGAAATAACATTAGAACTGAGAATAACTTGTCAAGTCTGTTATGGTTAAAATATAAAATCTGACCTCTCAAATTCAGACCCAGGCTGCAAGCGGAGATGGCAAAAGGAGACATATAATCCGGATCTAAGGAAAGCTGGTAGGCACATTGGGCTATGCTGGCTGCTGCGTGTTGGATCCTCTCTTCTTCCTTCTGTGACTGTAAATTTTTGTAAAAGATATACTTAAGAATACAGAGAGAATGGCAGATAACACAGAGACAAAAACTGCGAGTTGAAAGGGAGCAGATCACAACCCAGTCCAGAAGATGTCAATGTTATGTTATAACAATCGTCACTGCATACTGGGCATTCACACATGTGATCAGTCCTTTGATGCAGCAGCCACTCCAAGGTACCTCTACTTATTGTTCCCATGAGGAGTTTGTTATAATGTTTCCTATCTCCTCCCTCAAGGGCGGCACAAATATGCTTCACCATGCTTTACTCCCAGGTCATACAGTAATGTTAGTTACAGACACAAGCTCAGTCCGTACAGCGATGATATCTGCTCTGTCCATGCTTCAGTGCATAGCTTGCCAGCTGGTGCGCTCGCTTACTGCCTTAAGACAATGGAGAGATCATATTCAGGCAGTCTACAAACACTGGAAATAAGAAACCCAATCACATAGATAACTGGAGACAGATAACATCTGCAGCAGTGACCCTCACGGGCTTGGATACTGAAGAAGAAAATTAATGAAATTCTAAAGTATATTTATAGAAGAATTGTTTACCTTCCCTCTTTTGGATTACAGCCTGAAAGATTGACATGCAGTGACTGCAAGAGCCACTCATCTTCATCATGATCATGTGCCCTGCCCAGCGGTGCAGACACACGTGTCCCTCCACCGATGGTATTTTGAATCAATTCCACTAATGATATTCCATAGCTACAGACCATCAAGCATCGTCTCTCTTGATTTGCCTCTTCTACAGTTGATCTTTCCAGTCACCACAATGTTCTCCATTGGCTCTTTTCCCATCAGATGACCCACTGCCTTTTTCTTATAGTTGTATATAATGTTCAAATTTTATCAGCCATTTCCAGCAGCTGTTGTTAGATTGTCTGTCATTAGTATCCGCAGCATAAATAACAGCAATAAAGTTCAACTTGAGAGGTTCAACTTAAATTCACTGAGTCTTCCCATATGGCTCAATCTGTTTCAGCAGAATGGCTAGCCACCTGCCAAAAATGTAACACAAAGTAAGACCACTGTAGCTCCAGTGATGTTCCCCAGGGACCTCAGAAACAACAGCACATGAGTAAACTGAATGATGTGTCCATGAAACGAACCCACGACCTACACATCATGAGGCAAAGGACAGACTACTTTGCAAAGGAGATCATCCTCCTCCTCATCATCATCATAAACCACTTCTGCCATTAAGTGTCAGGGGAGGAATAATTTGCGATCCAGTGCACGTTGGCTGCCACTGGCTATTGTCATGCCATGAAGGCGTAGAGTGTCTTTAATGTTGTCGATCCATGTTCTCCGCGGCCATCATCTTGCTCTTGTAGCTGATCTTCTGAGATGTAGTGCTTGTGATGGTATTTGATCTTGCGGCATTCTAACAAGATTTCCAAACCACTTGATCTGCTGTTTCTCAATGAATTGCAAAGGAGATCCCTGAAACTAATTCCCATCCAAGCAGATCTCACGCTTCCCTGACGAGACCAGAATAACATTAATTTACGTTTAAAATAATGCACAAGGGTTAATTCTGGGGGGATGTCTTTTTTTGTTTTAGATACAAAAACCTATATTTATTCGTGTGCAAAATTCTACATTTATTCAAAAACAGTAATGTCATCTTCTTCTAGAACATCATCATTTCTCTCCAAACCATGAATTTGGGCCTCAATTTCCTGTGACTCTCTTTCCTGCAGAACCTCTGGCCCGTGTCACTTTTCACTTGATTATCTTAATTAGGGCTTTACCTTTGGAGTAAGGCTTATATTACAAACACCCGAAAATCAGGCTAAGTTCTATTTTTGGCACAGGTCTTATTTTCTGGGAAACACGGAAGGTCATAAGCAAAAATTATTAAGAAGGAAACATTAGAAAAAGGAAAAACTCACATGTAAATAACTAAGTGTTCGAACAATCATGTCTTCACTCATGTTGTCAAATAGCCCGTCTGTTGCCAGCATCAAGATGTCTCCGTCTTGCACTTTGAAAGATGAGCTTTCAGCCATCTCTGGGCTAGGAAAATGAAATGTAATCCAGTATCAACACTTCTGCTGTCATTATTTTCATACCCTTTCAACTCTTGTAACACTCAGAGATGCAGCAGTTTTCTTTTCTTTCTATTTGTTCAATTCTTCTTACCCGCACAGGACTGCAGGTTACACCAGCCTGGCACAGCCGTTACAGGTGCCTTAATTATAACTTACCTGGTGGCTAAACGGTGTGTCTGGGGTCTGCCTTGTTGGTTTTCTGTCCAGACATAATTTTTTTTTTTAAACATCTCAAGATGGTATGGTAAACTTGTAGGTAGCTGCTGAGAGAGGACAAACTGATTAATGTTTGTTTGATTATTTATGAAGATATCTAAGTGAAGTTGAGGTGATCCTGTACACAAGCCAAACTAGAAAAATGTCAGGCTCTTATTTATTCACTCACATTAACCTTCCTTTGTCTTGAAATCCAGGTTTAAACCCCGGTGAAGGCTGGGATTTTTTCATGTGGACTTCTAGTAATTTCCCCTGGTGTCTGGGTAGTAGGACCGGATGCCAGCGTGTATAGTTGCGCACATAAAAAATATCTTGGCAGTTGGAAATCGAAATGAGTAGCCTAACAGTGCTGCCTGGGTGTAGTGAGTCTCATTTTCTCCTAGATAAATTATGTATTAGTCGGAATGATGTCAGTAATAAATGTGAGTGGAATATTTTTGAGTCTAACTGGGACAGCACGTGAGTTGTAGAGAAAAGAGTGACAATCAAACTTCAGGTGAAGTATTATTATTCACGTGTAGAGAAATGCTGACAGTCAAACTTCATGTGAAGTATAATTATTCACGGGGGTCACACAAAAACTGCTGGCCAAATGGAATTCGTGGAAATTAAGGAACACGAAGAATTCAGGAGTACGAAGAGGGGTATAAGAAGGCTTTATAATGCTTTAGAAAGGGCTGGTAGTCAGTCTCATTTAGGCCTAGGAAATGAATACATGAAGTATGATGGAGTGTCTGCGGGATCCAGAAAGAGTGTTCAAGTCTGATGTGTCTGCAGAGTGTTTTCCCAACGCCTACCTGGCCATCAGTAGCGGCGAACGGAAGTCGTAGCCAGCTGAGAATGTTTATGTTTTGATCGGATGGAATCGTCGTTTTCATTAAATTGTTGGATGGAATGTGTATTATACGGTAAAGTTGACATGTTAGATAAGTGAGGATAGATATGAGTGACTATGTTGTCCAATAACATTTACTGGCTGCAATACCAGTTAGTGAACAAATAAACAACTGTGTAAGTGTAATTTGGATTGTTCGCCAGCGTCCATGTTTTCTCGTGTGTTGTCAGTCAGTAAATGAAAACGTACAATGACTAGAGCCAGAAGAAGACAATAGAACGTCAGTGCACTGGGCAAAATTTGGAGTTAAAAATCTACCCCCAAAAAAAGTATTTCAGGATCCTTGCTGGTGCAACGGAGTTCGTGAACTGCGCTGAGATTCTTCAGACTTAGGTTTGAGTCAGAAGTAGAACAGAACACTTATGGGTTTACACCTGTGTGCCATGATGTTGATCCATCAACTAAACTAAACTTCATTTTAACATATTTAATACAAGCCAATGACTCCTCTTCCACGCATTCCATCATTTATGCCGAACTCCATATTTTTTTTTTTACAAATCAGCATTCAAGTGACATGGTCAATATAATTTTAGCCATCTTCACTCTCCAGACTACTTTCTGGTTCTATTTTAGGCTGGGTACATTTTTTTTTTAAATCTCCACTCAAGAAAGTTTTGAATCTGTGAACACCAGACCTGACAGGCAAGTGTGCTAGCCGTTGGTTGTCTGCACTTGCAAATTCTGGCAGAAAGTCCTAGATGGTCAACTGTGTCTGGAGTCTGAGCTTATTTCAGGACTTGAGTGTCGCATGCTAATTCGTTTTCTAGATCTGTTAGTTTCTCGCATCTCAGGTAGATGCACTCTGTCTATTTTATCTATGTTGGCCAGGCTCTCAGCAGGGACCCTGTGTCTAGCATGACCATGGGGAGGTTTGTACTGTCAATATCATACTGGGCGCAGTCAGTTTCCAAACAAAAACTGCCTGAAGTAATTTCTTTTTAGTTTGGCTGATTCTAAGACCGCTTGTTTGTTATAAAATTGACACCATTGCTATGCAACTAGCAAAACACAGGAAACTACATGCAACTCTTCTCTGCGACACTTTAAGGCATAAGCTGTAGAATAAAAAAAGAGGAAGGTTGAAAACGAACACATTTTTTCAGCACTACTATAACAGTAACTTTATGGTGAGTACCAGTGGTTAGTACCCATTTTTTTAAATACAAAAATGCTTAGCCTATCACCACTGTCTATTGGGGATGCAAAGCCACAACAACCAGTATTTTCTTCTTCTTATTATTCTGCTTCTTCTTCTTTTGTCGTCTCAGTGATACCAGGTTGTAGCCCAGTGTCTGGTTTTCTGAATTTGTCTTGCACTTCTCGGGTGGCTTGGGTGATGGATTTGTTCATCTTTTTGCAGGTTTTATCTACAACATTTATCCATCTCTTTCTTGGTCTTCCTCTCGCCTTCCACCCAGATCTTCTACTGTAAGAAATCTCATATGCAGTCTAGTCTGGCTGCATTCTCACCAAATGGCTGAAACATTTCATTCTTTATTTCAACTTTCTCTCAAATGCTGGTGTTTGTAACCCTGTCTCGTCTAGTTTTATTAGTGACCTTGTGGGATCAGCACATTTCACATGTAGTTATTTTCTGTTGCAATTCCATATTCATTTGTCTCACATATAGTTATTTTCTGTTGCAATTCCATATTCATTTGTCTCACATGTAGTTATTTTCTGTTGCAATTCCATATTCATTTGTCTCACATGTAGTTATTTTCTGTTGCAATTCCATATTCATTTGTCTCACATGTAGTTATTTTCTGTTGCAATTCCATATTCATTTGTCTCACATGTAGTTATTTTCTGTTGCAATTCCATATTCATTTGTCTCACATGTAGTTATTTTCTGTTCCAATCCCATATTCATTTGTCTCACATGTAGTTATTTTCTGTTCCAATTCCATATTCATTTGTCTCATCATCATCATCATCAGTTCTCGTTGTGCCTAGTGGCACATGAGGTTTCAGAGAGGACTTTCTATGCTTTCCTGTCCTGTGCAATCTTCAGTGCAGTTTTCCACGTCAAAGATGCCGCACTCAGGTCACTTTCCATCGTTCTTCTCCATGTTGTTTTTGGGCGCCCCTGTTTTCTCTTTCCCTCTGGTGTCCATGTGAGAGCTGTTTTGGCAGGTATATCAGGATTCATTCTCATAACGTGGCCAAGCCATTTCCATCTTCTCTTGGTTATCATATTGTCTAAAGTTTCTTGGTTTGTGACTTGAAGTAGTTTAGTGTTTGAGATTGTACCTGGCCAAAAAATTTTGATAATTCTACGTAGACATGTGTGGTGGAAGGTAGACAGCTTGTGTGCATCCTTTTTAGTCATTCTCCAGCATTCCGCTCTATAAAGAAGAACTGGCAAAATGATTCATTTGTCTCACATGTAGTTATTTTCTGTTGCAGTTCCATATTCATTTGTCTCACATGTATTTATTTTCTGTTGCAGTTCCCTATTCATTTGTCTCACATGTAGTTATTTTCTGTTGCAGTTCCCTATTCATTTGTCTCACATGTAGTTATTTTCTGTTGCAGTTCCATATTCATTTGTCTTACATGTAGTTATTTTCTGTTGCAGTTCCCTATTCATTTGTCTCACATGTAGTTATTTTATGTTGCAGTCCCCTATTCATTTGTCTCACATGTAGTTATTTTCTGTTGCAGTTCCCTATTCATTTGTCTCACATGTAGTTATTTTCTGTTCCAGTTCCCTATTCATTTGTCTCACATGCAGTTATTTTCTGTTCCAGTTCCATATTCATTTGTCTTACATGTAGTTATTTTCTGTTCCAGTTCCATATTCATTTGTCTCACATGCAGTTATTTTCTGTTGCAGTTCCCTATTCATTTGTCTCACATGTAGTTATTTTCTGTTCCAGTTCCCTATTCATTTGTCTCACATGCAGTTATTTTCTGTTCCAGTTCCATATTCATTTGTCTTACATGTAGTTATTTTCTGTTCCAGTTCCATATTCATTTGTCTCACATGCAGTTATTTTCTGTTCCAGTTCCCTATTCATTTGTCTCACATGCAGTTATTTTCTGTTCCAGTTCCATATTCATTAGTCTACAATTTTAACACAGTACCTGTCATTCAGCCACTGTGCTTCCTGCATGGGTGGTGCCAGGGCCAGCTGATAGGGAGTGTTAAAGTAATGCTGCTGATCCGCTGAGCGATGCACTACTTCACTGTTCCGTACTACCAAGAAACCACTGTCCCCCAAGTTGGCAGAGTAGATAGTTTTCTCCTCTCTATGCAGGGAGACTACGCATGCAGTGCTGCTACCTGCAACACAGTATAAAAATATATAAATAAAAGGGAAAAGCTAACAAAACGAGGCCACAATTATAACCAATAAAGGTGTAACCAGCTACTGACGAGGAGATCAAAGCACCTATGGACCTGTACAGAGTGGTGTGATGGTATTCTTCACCAATCACGTGATGGGTGATACAGACGTGATCAGTCATTTTAGGCTTCTGAAGCTACTGAGATGGAGATCAAAGCACCTATGCACCTGCCTGTAGTGCTGTGATGATATTCTTCACTGGTCACTTGAGGGATGATGTGGTCAACATCATTGGTCAACATCATGTCGATTGCCCTTTGTTTCCCAGGACACTCCCTGGTATGTATGTTAGGCTCAGTTGACCTGGGAACTGAGATTAACTACAAAATCTTCAGCTATGGGGAGTCGCTGTGGTGAAGCCGCTAAACGCTTGCCTGCAGATTCGAAGGTCATTGGTGGAGCCCGACGTTTTTTAAAAATGACCTTGGCTCCCAGGTCTACCCAGCCTCGAGTGGGTACCGGGTGCAGTCATGAGAAGTAAAGGTGGCCGGCATGATGCTGACCACATCCCCCATCTTGTGCCGATTGGTCTATAAAAATATAGGTCTAGCCCTATATGCCCTATACGCCTAAAGGTGTGGAAAAGGGGTCTTTACTTTTTACTTCAGCTATGAATGGATGCATACAAGAATAGGCAGATACAATAAGAAGTGGTCAGATACAAAAATAGGTGGATACAAGAATGGGCGGATAAGAGAATGGGTGGATATAAGAATGGATGGATACAAGAATGGGCGGATAAGAGAATGGGTGATATAAGAATGGATGGATACAAGAATGGGCGGGTACAAGTGCTGACACTCCATGCCATGACAAAAAGCTGTCAAGAAATGTTCACATTTCCCACTTCTTCAAACATGACCACACAAAAAAACACTGTGTAATTCTAATGTTTGTAATAGGCTGTCTTTAGGCCTTGCCGAATTTCCAAACATCCAGGTTACCCAATTTGTGTCACCAATTATTTATGATCAAAAACATCTTACCTAATATTGGTAGTTTCTGTTCCAACATTTCACTGTAACTGGCAGCGATGATCTTGGCAGGTGACTGCGGCACAAAATGACCCTCTCTGACGAGACGTTCACAAACCTGCATCAGAGTACAGGGAAAAACCGAAGGGTCAATCCCATAGTTTCTCCATCCTCCAACCCCATCAGCCACTCCTGGTTGAGAAAGAGGGCAGGGGTGAAGTTAAACCATTTTAAAAGTACTTTTTAAATAACTGTGTAATCTATTGTTGGGAATATTTAAAGCTATATAAAAAAGGACCCTTTTGGCACTTGGTTGGTGATGTGGTCAGCACCACACCAATCACCTTTGCTTCCCAGGACTACACCTGGTACCCACTCAAGACTGGGTCGACCTCGGAGCCAAGGTCATTTCTAAAAAAAAAAAAAAACTGGCTCCACCAGGACCCGAATTTACAAACTTCCAATCTGTAGGCTAGAGTCTAGCCGCTGCAGCACAGTGATTAAAGCTATATCAGCTACTATTATTTTGTCTTACAACATATTACCACCTCATATGCAAACCTTTGTCCTTGTGATGTAGTGTTGATATATTTCCCTGTAGTTCTCTACAATTATCAAGTAGTACATCAGCAAAACTGCATTTTAAAAGAATAACGGCTCAAATAACAAAACATGCCAAAGACAGAGAAACACTCTGGATTGTTTATTAATATCCTACCCCAGATGATGTCACAGGACAGTCCAACATTTTAGAGGGTGGTAAGACTGGGTTTACCAGCTTTCTGATGCTTTTAACGACCCTAAAACACCTAGAACTGGTCCTAATCCGAACCCAACTATATCCCACAAAGAGAGTGCAGCCTAGGTCCCACGACTGCATGCAGCCTAGGTCCCACGACTGCATGTAGCCTAGGTCCCGCAAATGCATGCAGCCTGTCTACCACCCCCTGAAATATTAGACTGTCCCATTACCTGTGGATTTCCCTTGCTTGTGGTTGGATATTAATTAAGCAACACACTTTGTTATCAACTCTGTTCTTTCATGTTCCCATTTCTTCATCATCATCACACTCTTACTGACATTTATACATCACACAGGGGTCTCAGTCTACAACTTTATTCTATTCTATTCAGTGCAAACTTTTTGATGTCATGAATGGAATCCTTCTTCTTCTTCTTCATATTCACCGGCTGTAAACTCTGGCAGAAAGTTCTGGATGTTCGCCCACCTCTAGACTTTGGTCTTGTTTGCACATCTGAGTGTTGCATGCAGATCCATTTTACAGATCTGACTTATTTGTAGGCAGACTGTTGGTTCCTTGCCTCTCAGGCAGATGTACGAAAGGAGGCCCCTAATTAGTTAAATCTTGTGATGTGCTTGTTCGAGAGGCAGTGTCAGTGGGTCTATTCTTGTTTACCCACAACGGAGCCCCGAAACCCACAAGGGAAACAGTCCAGCACCATTGGCTTCTTTCATTCAACAACGTTCATCTTAAGGTTTCTCGTTCATCCCCATTTCCTTAAACTATTTGACTCCCTTTTCAGTGCCTTTTTGTTAAAACCCTGTAGCTAAATATATTGCCATATTTCTTGCAATCCATTAGTTCATGTTCAGTATTATCAGGTATGCGAGTGAAGTTCTATATAGTATATATACTGGGTGGCTATCCTCCGAATAACGGTCCTAAATTATCGAGGTGAAAAATATACCCTAACAGGGCCTCAGTCACGTGTCAATTTCTCACTCCAGTCGACTTAAATTGCGCACTTCCGGCGACTTCCTTCACCGCCAGGAGTATCCCCCACGACCCTCATGCGGCGTGGATTGGGGCTAAACTAGATGGCTGGGACTCATGAGCAGCAGCTACCGCAACTCCTGCAGCTTCCTTCATTTTATTTATTTGCTCGTGAGTCCTAGCCATCTAGTTTAGCCCCAATCTACGGCGGTGGCGGAAGTCACCAGAAGTTTGCGATTCGGCGGTGGCGTTATAGTCCCCGGAAGTGCGCAACTGACACGTGACTGAGGCCCTGTTAGGGTATATTTTCCGCCTCAATAATTTAGGACAGTTATTCATAGGATAGCCTACTGGGTTTTTACTTATGAAACTATCACATAATAACATTTTTGGCTCTCCTAGCAGATTTGGCCGGCAAGTAGGTCGGCTTCGGTCGGCGTAGTGGGAGTTCTGTCCCTTGGCCGCACTCACAACAACGAGCGGAAAAAGTTACGAATCAAATGACATACTTACCTATCATCATCCGGGTGCGTGTAGGGTTGCGTACGGTTGCGTCTAGGGTTACCTATCATCATACGGTTGCGCGTAGGGCTGCGTAGGATGTCTATCATCATCATACGGTTGCGTGTAGGGCTGCGTAGGGTGTCTATCATCGTCATACGGTTGCGTGTATGGTTGCTTAGGGTTTGGGTTAGCGGTAGGGTTAGGGGTTTGGGTTAGGGGTAGGGTTAGGGCTAGGGTTAGGGGTTAGGGTTAGGGGTTAAGGTTAGGGGTTAGGGTTAGGTGTTAGGGTTAGGGTTAGATGTGAAAATTTTCACGTAAGAGGTCGAAATACTGGCCGACAATCTGATGTTTGTGGGAGTGGTGCCACTGGAAGTGTGGCAAATATGACGGCAATAGCGCGCGGCTTATGCCTAATCGGTGGCGAATTGTCCGTGTCAGTAGCATCCACCGTCCGTCGACTGTTTGCGCGTGCATGTGACTGTGCGCGATTATAGGTAACTACGGCGTCACAATTGTCACATCTAACGCTACACCTAACCCTACCCCTAACCCTAACTCTATCTCTAACCCTAACGCTACACCTAACCCTAACCGTAACCCTAACGCTACCCCTATATCCTAACCCTACCCCTAACCCAAACCCTAATCCTACCACTAACCCTAACCCAACCCGTAACCTCGCAAATTTATCAGTCATTAAAGCTTACAGATCGGCAAAACACCCACAGACAGACACACAGAAAAAAAAACCCAGATTTTCCCACAGCATCAAAAGAAAAACCCAGATCTGGGGGACACAACCACGCATTGGCAGCCCTGATGTCGACCTCACTGTCGTGTTTGAGTCGTGACGTTTTCCGCTCGTTGTTGTGAGTGCGGCCAAGGGAAAGAACTCCCACTACGCCGACCTTCTTGCCGGCCAAATCTGCTAGGAGAGCCACATTTTTAAGAAAACATTACAAATATTAAAAATTACCTAAAACATCGGCAACTTTGCTCCTAGAGACAAAATAAGCATCGTCTCCAAAAGTCCACTTGTTCACCTGACTAGACTTTGTTACAGACTTGGCGTAGCCTGATATCCCAGAGACCAAATGAAGAGGATCCTTGGGTTTCTGACTGTCCAATGGACTTTTGATCTGAAACTCGCTGTGAAGTCCAGCAGCGATAGCACGAGCAACGATTCTGCTGTAATGTGTCACTGTTTGCATGTCAGTTTCACAATGAAGTAGCGATAAATAAAGTTATCTTTGTAAAATCCTTAGGCAGAAATGTGGAACTGTTGACTTTTTACTTCTAATAGTCATATGTTTATGTTGTCTTCGCCATCTTGTTTGTTTACTATGACGTCATAGTTACCTTTGACCCATTTTGGTAAACGAACAAACTGGAAAACACCTACTTTGGTTTTGAGAAGAATGCAAAGAATATCGTGGATGTTTAATAAAGAGTCGACATCACAACACCCCATGCATTCCCATATGCGCTCTGTCCCCCATCTACAGCAGCAAGCGCAGTGTTAAATTCATGAATATGGCTGGCACCAGTAATAATAGTAGTAAGTAACAAGTAAACAGTCTCAGGTCTGATCGTCTCGCCCCTCCCCTGAGTGTAAACAGTCAAACAAGACATTCTCTTCTGGTTACTTCTCTCCCAGGCACCATTCTAGAATATCATAGAATGCTAGAAAAACAAACTACACAGTCCTTCACAGAACAGAGGGAAAGCGTTAACTGACTATAGAAACTGGACGTAGAGAATCGTTTTGTTTACATGTTATCTGGTAATCTGGTAATTAGCAGAATGTGTTATGAAACAGACATAGTTTAGTTTTTAATTTACAAGTACTGCAACTTGAAACTTTCTTTTTCTTCGTCTTCGCATTCACCAGCTGTAAACTCTGGCGGAAAGTTCTGGTTGTTCGTCCACTTCTGGACTGCAGTCCTGTTCAAGAACTTCAGTATTGCATGTGCATTCGTTTGACAGATCTGTCTAATTTGTATGCAGACTGTTGGTTCCTTGCATCTCAGGTAGATGCACTTCAACTTTGAAGGGAGCTCCCAATTAGTCGACTCTTACTGAAATCTGACAACATAATCGGAACAGGTCAAATAGAAGACGTTTAGATAAACACACAGAAGTGCACGATGTACTTCAAAAGGATAATAAGTATCAATGAGAAACATATAAATGTCATATTACATTTGAACCACAAAACGGAATATCCCAATTAGTGCCAAGAAATATTGAATATAATATTGATATAAATATTAACATTACTACCACTACAACAATCATCGGCGACCGGGTCGCCCATTGGCTGGCCTAGTGAATTTAAAATATCAAGGGTCACTTTTCACACTAGAAGTTAGAATGGTTAAAGAAGTGAACACATGATGGGCTGAAGCAAACTAAGTACTGGGACAGTTTTTGGGTCTGTCTCGTATGATCAAATTAACATGGCAAGAATCCTTTTCAGTCCTTTTTTTTTTTTACGAACAATGCTTAGCCATCTTAAAGTGGCGCACATAACCTAGTCACAATTATAACCAAACGTGTCCCCCTGTTTGGGGGATGCTGTTTGACCGTGACAATTTTTATATTTGTTTCCCCTCGCAAACAAAGCCAAGCCACTACAACAATAACTACTGCTGCTACTAATAGTGTAGTCTATTAGTCAGTTTTACCCAATCAGGACATCACACTTAGCGATAAAGCTCGGTGACTCGAAGTGCCATCATTCGGATGAGGATCACAGTGAGGTTATTCTGGGGCCCCCGGCAAAAGCAAGAGTGCGGCTTCATAATAACGAAAATTTTCATCTCATAAGTGGACAACGAATATTGACTAGCCTATTCACTTCTGTTCAAATTTCATCGATCTGTGACGCTAACCCGATCACGTGACCTTATAGTGAAGCCAGGCCTAGTACTTGGTGGCCAAGATAACAGACATTATTATACGAATGTCGACTAGAGCACAATATAGCAAAACAACTTGGCCTAGAAAAACAATACTGAAAAATAAACTTCATTGCCATTGGGTGAACCTTAAATTCGTGCAAAAGAGAAGGGCGCCGAAATATAGTGGATTATGTCCCTTGAGCACCCCGCTCTAGAACATTGATTCTAAGACTGTGCGCCGCGGCGCCATGGGAAGCCGCGACCTCTTCACAGGAGCGCAACGAAATATTCGAAAATGCAAGAGTTTTTTAAAATCTCTTTTAGTCATACTTTTACTTGCTTTTAAATTGCTTAAGATACGCAAAATCACCACATGCGAGTTGAGATGCCCGAGAAAAGCAGCCACCCCAACCACCCGAGATCGAGTGAATAATGAAACTATTCGGCAAATTATGGGAACGACACTTTGTACTAGATTTATCGAGAAACAGCAGATCAAGTGGTTTGGCCATCTCGTTCGAATGCAGCAAGATCAATACCCTCAAATGCACTACATCTAATAAGAATAGCTATAGAAGCAAGAGGATGGGCGCTGAAAATATAGATCGACAACATTAAAGACACTCTACGCCTTCACGGCATGACAATAGACAGTGACAGCCAGCGTGAACTGGATCGCACAGTTTTTATCCCCACGGCGTTTAACGACAGTAGTGGTTTATGATGATGATGATGATGATAAATGGCTGACACTGCATCGTCTGCCTCTAACGGGAAGCGGTCAAAAAGTTTCAAAATTAAGTGTGAAGAAGTCGAGACACGTTTTTATAATTGTCTTTGAACTGTTTGGTCCTTGTCTGCGTCATCAAACACTGAAGGTGATGCCCTTGTCCGGCCTCTTCTCCACCTTCCGGGTGACTAATTGTAGGAGACCTGCGAAATGTCGGGTCACAGTTGTCAATACAAAGTTCATTATCTTGACCATCCTCAGACTCGTCCTCAGCCTCATTATCCTCATCCTCCTCATTATCCTCCACGCCCTCCTCCTTATCATCATCCACCTTCTCTTACTCATCATCATTCACCTCCTCTTCATCATCCTCATCCTCTTTCCTTCTTGGAGGCTACGTCATCATCAGCAAGTGCATTTTCGACTGGCCTAAGCGACCAAGCCTCTCCACAATCTGCGGTCTTCAACACCATACATCAGTTCGTGTGTTCACACCCCTCCATGCCATGACAAAATGCTGTCAAGAATCTTCTTACGTCGTCTTTCTCTGTCTCTCCTTCCATATATCTTTCCGGTGGTCACACCATGTTCCAGTTTCCTTCTTTTCATAACAACGAAAAACTGATGTTTTTGATAAGTTGTCTTCGAACCCCGACTTTTTCAAAACATCTAGTTTACTCGTTTTTCTCTGTCCATGGCACTTCTAAGGACGGGGGAATATAATTCCAAAATCCACCCACACCGGACTACGAGCTACTCCGTAAGTGTTTCGTGCTGTCTCCTATATGAAAGCGCTAAACTGTTCAACGGGCTTTAGAGGATTCCTTCCCGTTTGTTTCCCATCCGGGAGATGTGTATCCCAAAGACTGCAATAATAGAGGGGAGAATTTATGTTGTTGTTTGCGTTGCTGCTGCTGAAACTGCTAGCAATAAAGAGTAATATTATCACCCCGTTGTGCAGTTTTTACATCACATAGAGCCGACAGTCAAATTCTCCATTTAGTACTGCATTTAGTTCGGTTGTATTTATGCGCATTGATGCGCTAGCTGGTCACATTTTAGGTTGTCTGTAGCACTTTTTTGTAATCAGCGCGACTGCAGCCACACCCTCCCCCACCCCTCTCCCAATATACGTCATCACTTCAGATATTCACCACCACCTTCAGAGACAGTAAGACGCAGTGATACAGGGTTCCCCCAGGACGGCTACGCCACTGCTCGGTTAACTGGTTTATATAGGCACTGATAACCCAGTTCGACTTATTCACAGATCCACACTGCCGGCGTACACATCGGGTATGTTTTCATGTTTGTCTGCCAATACCTAGAAAGCAACATGTTTTAGCAGTCGATGTGGGTGAGGAAAGATGCAGTAAGAAGTAGAATGGACAAGTTTCACCATGATTTAAACTCTAAATTGGTAGATTGTTTGCGGTGAACTTGCAGCAGGCATGAAATTCATGGAAACAAAACAATGGAGTCCGGCGTCTGCAAACGTAAACCTTTAATTCGTGGAAAACTTCCTGGCTTTTGTCTGATTGATATACATAATTGAGTCCTTTTGTATCCTTTATTATGTCAAATACACTCTAGTTTGTTGGTTTCGCTGTAAATAGTGTTAATATTGTTATTTTTTTTTTGACAGAATATTTAATATCAGCGATGTAATGGTCCCCGCTGACTGGTCCCAGTGCGTGTTTGATATAATTTAATTCAGTACTAATAAAATTAAATATTCTTAGCAGGTAACTTAGCTGTTATAAATTATCATTTATGCGGTGCGAATTTCGTTTGTACATTTACAAAAAGACGTTTTCAAATCAAAGGCCTAGTTCAGTTAGAAAATAATATTTCATATCTTGATAAATCAACCAAGTTGTCTGTAAGAGATAGACAAAGTGGAAACCAGACTGTATATATAAATTATATTAATTAAATTAAATGATCGACGGAAGCGACACAAAAGGACACTCTCTTACTGTTTGTATTGTATTTCTAAACAAGGTGAGAAAGGTTTAAAATATCACGCAATACTAATCAGGAATGATCATGTAATAGTAATACTAATAGGTCCTTCCTTTGCTGCCAGAATATAACTGACAAGCTTCCCTTAGCACTGCCCAGAAAGCCTCAGTGATTCTGCCAGTTCACCTGCCTTATGTATTTTGTGCTCAGGATGTCCCCAAAATCTTGTGGCCAACATTGTTCTCTGAACTCACACATTTCCAACAATACATGGTGATGTTTATTGTTACTTGACATCACTTGGTTTAGCATGCTCCTGAATGAGGGTCTTTATTTCAGTATCAGTGACTGTTTGCATCCATTCTCTGCAGTAGTATCTGTGCATGATATGATGATGTTTATGGGTCAGTCCACCTCAATGTGATCTCATTCTGCTGCTGCATTCGCCCTTAAAATGGTGATTGGTATGCTGTGGTTACACCTAGGCTGCGGTTACCTCTAGGCTGTGGTTACACCTAGGCTGCGGTTACCTCTAGGCTGTGGTTACACTTAGGCTGTGGTTACATCTAGGCTGTGGTTACACCTAGGCTGTGGTTACATCTAGGCTGTGGTTACACCTAGGCTGCGGTTACCTCTAGGCTGTGGTTACACCTAGGCTGTGGTTACACCTAGGCTGTGGTTACACCTAGGCTGTGGTTACACCTAGGCTGTGGTTACACCTAGGCTGTGGTTACACCTAGGCTGGGGTTACACCTAGGCTGGGGTGACACCTAGGCTGGGGTTACACCTAGGCTGGGGTTACACCTAGGCTGTGGTTACACCTAGGCTGTGGTTACACCTAGGCTGTGGTTACACCTAGGCTGTGGTTACACCTAGGCTGTGGTTACACCTAGGCTGTGGTTACACCTAGGCTGTGGTTACCTAGGCTGTGGTTACACCTAGGCTGTGGTTACACCTATGAAGTGGTTACACCTAGGCTGTGGTTACACCTAGCCTGTGGTTGCACCTACGAAGTGGTTACACCTAGGCTGTGGTTACACCTAGGCTGTGGTTACACCTAGGCTGTGGTTACACCTACGAAGTGGTTACACCTAGGCTGTGGTTACACCTAGGCTGTGGTTTCACCTACGAAGTGGTTACACCTAGGCTGCGGTTACCTCTAGGCTGTGGTTACACCTAGGCTGTGGTTACACTTAGGCCGTGGTTACACCTAGGCTGTGGTTTCACCTAGGCTGTGATATTTCTGCCTGTCAGATCAGATCAGATCTCTAACTCTTTTTGGTACCAGAGGACAATTTAGATATAAATCGTGTGATATGTTCTGTAGTACTGAAAGAGTTAATTAGTCATCATATAAGATATGCCTGTTTACTTTTTCAGTTTATAAGCAATGAACTGTGTGTGACTGGATTTACTCATATGCACCAGTTAACATATTTTAAAGCTTGTCCATGTTGTTTAGTCAGGTCTTGTTAAAATACACAAAAACATATTTGTCTCCCACAAGCATGTTTAGTCCCTGTGGATGTAGTATAGCCACCATTATGTGGATTTTCCCCCAGTTGGTTTCGGGATCCTGTTATAGGGAAAACAAGAATAGACCAACTGCCTACCCAAAAGCATGATGTAAAAGTTGACTAATAGGGAGCTTCCTTCAGAGTCGGAGTGCATCTGCCTGAGAGGCAAGGAAACAACAGTCTACATACAAATTAGTCAGATCTGTCAAACAATGCACACTCAACACTAAAGTTTTGGAACAGGACTGCAGTCCAGAAGTGGACGAACAACCAGAACTTTCCACCAGAGTTTACAGCTGGTGAACGCTAAGAAGACGAAGAAGAAGATGTTGATTTTACAACTGACTCGCTGGGGCATCAACTTTGACCTTTTGGGATTAAAAGAATTAAGGGGTAGTCATCTGTTCCCCCTCCCCTTTTTTCCCAAAAGGGCCACAAAATCTGCAAGAAGTGTTAAGATGTTTTGGAATGGAAGTAGTTTTTCTTCTTCTTGTTTTATGAGATTTTAAGATTATTTTTTCTGTAATATGTAGGCTTCTTACATGCAGCAGATTTTCCCTGAATGTGTCTCATCTCTCTCTGTCAGTTCTCATATATAATTAATGTCTTCTTCTCTTTATCCAGTAATATCCCAGGTAGTTAGCATCCTTTGGATATTTTTTCTAATTAATTGCCGGTGTGTTGGAAAATGAGCAGGCAGATAGACTGGCCAGTTCTGCACCACTTGGTGATGAACTGATGTATGACAAGCTGGATGTTGTGAGAGGGCCCTTTGAAAGCGAGGGAGCAGTTCTGAAGAACAGATAGATCATTATGGTCTGAGAAGAATGGCACTGCGAGGAGTTACAAAGGGATCTGGCTGACACTTGACACTCAGGGGAAAAGCGAGACGGATAAACAATCAGACAGTTACTGGTACCATAGGAATTATAATTTGCAGCTGAAGATGGGGATGAAGTGCTTTTGGGAGTATCCAGAGTGCTATATGTTGATTCTCAATTCAACATTCTGTAAAATGTAGGCTTCTCACATGCAGCAGATTTTTCCTACATGAGTCTCATCTCTCTGTCAGCTCTCATTTGTTGTTTATGTCTTCTTCTCTTTATCCAGTTATATCACTGAAGCTCTGGCTGATGCTCTGTGCAAGTTAGTTGTCATTCTCTGAGCTTATTCTTAATGCCATTCTTTCTCACTTGCATGTTTTCCTCTTTGTGTGTGCTCTATGGTAGTTGGTGCCAGGGCATTCCTGTCAGTGGCCAAACCATGTTATCAGTTGCTCTTGTATGAATTTTGCGACAATGAAGATAATTTTGCTTAATTTTTTTTAATTTTCAGAAGTGTGCTTGAAGTTTGGAGATAATAAGTCAAAGAAATACAGATGGCTGAGGTATAGATTGAGATTTAATTCTGTCATGTTTTTTTTTTTCTGAATGTTGTGAGTTGTGAGTTCAGTTTTGAACTCCATTATTTTCCCCGTGGGGGTTCCTGGGCCCTGTTATAGGGAAAACAAGAATAGACCCACTGTCTACCCAAAAGCATGTCGTAAGAGTCAACTAATTGGGAGCTTCCTTCAAAGTCAGAGTGCATCTGCCTGAGAGGCAATTAACCAACAGTCTGCATACAAATTAGTCAAATCTGTCAAACAGGTGCACAAGCAACACCCAGGTTCTGGAACAGGACTGCAGTCCAGAAGTGGACGAACAACCAGAACTTTCCGCCAGAGGGTGACCACGAAGAAGATGAAGAAGAAGAAGAACTCCATTATTTAGTAGCCTATTACCGTAGTTTCAGAGATATTTCTTGGTTATTGCTGGGGAGACAAAGTTTGTGCTTTGCATGACACTCTTGGCTGGCAAATGGCTTGTGATATGAGGCAGAGCCATACCAGTTAAATCTAATGCCCAAAAAATGAGACCATCTTACAATAAGTTCTATCCTCATGCAATAAATTATAACCTCATTCAATAAATGATATCCTCATGCAGTAAATTATATCCTCATTCGATAAATTATATCCTCATGCAATAAATTATATTATCTTGCAGTAAATTATGTCGTCTTGGAACAAACTATATCGTCTGCAGTAAATCGTATTCTATTGCAATAAATTATATCTTCTTCTTATTCACTTCCTCTTTTACCGCTGTGGGTGTCGAGGGAGAAAAAGGTTCTGTTTCTAGCTCTTCTGGCCGCCTCGACCATAGGCACATTGTGTTGTTGTAGAGTTTCTCTGATGTTATCCTTCCATATTGTTCTTGGTCTACCTCGTGCTCTACATCCTTCTTCTCTTTCCATGTATGCATTGTATGGTATGGTGTCACAAGGCATTCTCTCTAAGTGGGCAAACCATTTCACTTGCTGTCTTTGTATGTCATCCAGAATTGGTTCTGTGCCGACTTGTTCTCTTATGATCTCATTCCTGATCTTATCTCTTATGGTCACTCCTACAGCCCTTCTCAGACATCTCATTTCCGTGGTTACTAATTTTCTTTTATGGTTTGTTAAATTATATCATCTTACAATAAATGATATCCTCTTGTGATAAATTATATTCTCATACATTAAATGATACCCCCATGCAGTAAATTATGTCCTTATCCCATAAATTATATTTTTTTGCCTTTAATATCCTCCCACCTTTTCTTATTTACGTACTTATTCTATCTTCTTCTACCTTTAAGTGTAGAGGTTCGCCAGAGAAATCGCCAGACCTCTCTCTCAGCAGTTTTTTCTTGCCTTTAACTTCATTTTTTGGGGATGGGTGAGGGGGGGGGGGGGGGGGTGGCATATTAATAAATTTGAATTCATTTAAGCACATAGTAAGAAAATGGCCACTTTTTCTTTATATGGTGCTGAGAAAATCTGAGGCAAAATGTACTTTTACTGGTAAAGAAAATAGTGGGAGATTAAAAAATAAAAAGTACCACTTCCCCGCCCCCAACCCCCTCCAAAGTAGGCCTATGATCATTTGAGACAAGTGGATAAAAAAAGGACATGTGAGCACAAATAAAACCAGACCACAATTATAACTAATGCTTCCTTCAGTAGGGTTGAACGAGGTCAAGTTTGTTTTTAATCCCACACCAAACTACGCAGGAACGACTGTTTGTTGAAAATTGCAGAAGAATACTGAGTGTTATGGACCTACATTATGAAGGAGATTTCTAAGAATATTGTAGATTGAGAAAAAAAAGAATGCTGATATAATGCGCATCTGAACATAAATGAAGAGTGGTTAGCAGCGTCATATTATGAAAACTTAAATAATTTTACCTCATTAACTCGTTCAGTACCAGGAGATTTTGTTAGAGATGCCTGTGTCATTTGTACCCACAGTGAAAGAGCATGGATCTATAACTTCAAAGAGGCATCTTTTACAGTGCTAAATTTTACAATAGCTGGCCTGGTTTCAGTAGTGTGCTGAGTCAAAATGTAAACTGTACAGTAACACACCATGCATCTTTGGAGATACTAGGGTAATTGTACAGTAACATACCATGCATCTTTGGAGATACTAGGGTAATTGTACAGTAACATACCATGCATCTATGGAGAAACTAGGGTAACTATACAGTAACAAATCATGCATCCATAGAGATACTAGGGTAACTGCAGTAACATACAATGCATCTATGGAGATACTTGGGTAACTGTACAGTAACACACCATGCATCTATGGAGGTACTAGGGTAACTGTAAAGTAACATACCATGCATCTGTGGAGAAACTAGGGTAACCGTGAGGTAACACACCATGCATCTGTGGAGAAACTAGGGTAACCGTACAGTAACACACCATGCATCTGTGGAGATGCTAGGGTAACTGTACAGTAACATACCATGCATCTGTGGAGATACTAGGGTAACTTACAGTAACTTACCTTGCATCTGTGGAGAAACTAGGGTAACTGTACAGTAACACACCATGCATCTATGGAGATACTGGGGTAACTGTACAGTAACACACCATGCATCTATGGAGATACTGGGGTAACTGTACAGTAACACACCATGCATCTATGGAGATACTAGGGTAACTTACAGTAACTTACCTTGCATCTGTGGAGAAACTAGGGTAACTGTACAGTAACACACCATGCATCTATGGAGATACTGGGGTAACTGTACAGTAACACACCATGCATCTATGGAGATACTGGGGTAACTGTACAGTAACACACCATGCATCTATGGAAATACTGGGGTAACTGTACAGTAACACACCATGCATCTATGGAGATACTGGGGTAACTGTACAGTAACACACCATGCATCTGTGGAGATACTAGAGTAACTGTATAGTAACATACCATGCATCTATGGAGATACCAAGGTAACTGTACAGTAACACACCATGCATCTGTGGAGATACTAGAGTAACTGTATAGTAACATACCATGCATCTATGGAGATACCAAGGTAACTGTACAGTAACACACCATGCATCTGTGGAGATACCAAGGTAACTGTACAGTAACACACCATGCATCTGTGGAGATGCCAGGGTAACTGTACAGTAACACACCATGCATCTTTGGAGAAACTAAGGTAACAGCTGAACACATATGGTGGTTTACTTGGGATAAAAATTTTGTTTAATTGAAACATCAAAGTAGCTTAGAAAGAACATTAGTGAAAAGCATAATAAATGAAAAAATAGGAAGAATTTGTTCAAGATAGATGGAAATATATAAACCCGAACGAAAAGTATATCAGCGAGCTTTACAATATAACAAACACGAACAAAACGTGAATGTTGCGGCTATGGAGTCTTCATCAGCACATACACAAATTAGACAATACTACACAAATACACAATATCACTCTCTGTATCTTGAAGCAGCCAGGTCGATATCTTGCCAGTACACTAACCAGGACATGTGGGAGAGGGAAAATAAATATCCCAGTGAAAGCCAGGTGCCGGAACCTAAGAATAAGATGAAACTGTGTAGGCAGTTCAGTCCCCTAGGATTCTAGATGAAGCTGTATTGGCAGTTTAGTCCACTGGGCGTCAGAGTTCAAGATAGATTTGGACACAGGATATAAAGATACCCTAACCGTGGAAATGCATGAACCAGGGTAACTGAGGAAGGACTGAGTCTTTCTGAAGACGGGTGATAAGAGTAGCATTGTGCAAGATACTTGACTAGTTATTATTAGGTCTTTTATTCTTTGCTTTGTGGCTTTGGAAGTCATGTCTGTCCACATCCTTCTGTATCGTTGACTCTTGTCATTTCTGATACAGGTGTTCTTCAATACTTTTATGCCAAACTGTCTAACATCCCCTTTTGGGTTCCGGGGACTCAAAAAAGGTAAACAAAGAATAGATTCCCAGCCCACTAACTCACATGCTGTCAGTCAGGACAAATTAGGGATTTGCTGAAACTAGATGTGTTCGGCTGAAAGGCGTAGATATTGTAGCCTGTCTATGTATAAACTGGGAGTCACTGTGGTGTAGCGGCAAGACGCTCGCCTGCGAATCCGAAGGTTGTGGGTTCAGGACCTGGCAGAGCTGGACTTTTTTTTTTTTTTAAATCACCTTGACTGCCAGGTCGACCCAGCATTGAGTGGCTACCAGGTGTGATCCTGGGAAGTAAATGCGGCCGGCGTGATGCTGACAACACCACCTGCTGATTGATCTATAAAATATAGATTTATCCCTATAGGCTCAGTACACATGAAGGCCTGGCAAAGGACCATTTACCTTTTACTATATATATGTTATATAATCTGCCATTAGTGTGTGTCAAAGAAGAAGAAACGGTTGGATATTTTCACTCATGGTGTCCCTCTGTCCCACTTAACCATCCAGTTTCCCCTTGTAACAACATACTCCGGTTTTTCCCATCTCATGGTTTTCTTGGAGAATGTAGAGGCATCTTCTGATGTGAGTAGTCTGTGAATACATACACAAACTAAACATTTTGGTTAGGTTCACGTTAATCTCCCCAAACAGAGTAGGTCACTTTCATTCTTTGTTTGGCTGGTCGACTTTTCTGAATGTTATGGGTGTGCCTCGCTCTCTTTTTTTGGTTTTGTTGTTGCTTTCTGTGTTGTCTTGCTTTTAAGTTTTAATTCTGAGAAAGAAAATGCCTGTAACATAGGTTGCAGCACTCTCCAGGGGGTTGTGTTAGGACCAGTTTTTCCATGTTTTTGGAGTGTAAAAAGCGCTGGCATACTGAAATATACAACACGCGATATTAATGTCATTGCCGAACTCCTCCATAAACTTGTGCCAAGGTGACAGGTTCAGAAACTACCAATCAGAAACGAGCTAGGGTGTATATGGGCGGGGCGTGTGGAGACCAACATTACTTTTACCATTATTTTATTTATTTTATACTGTAGTTTCAGCGGGAGTCATGTTACAAATATAACTTCATGACAGGGCAACAAGCTATGGGGTGGTCGATTCACTGGCAGTGTCGACCCAATCATGGAGAAGTTCAATGCCTCTATTCATTATGATAAGCGAATGTGGAAAGCAGACATTGAGGTGAGTTGTGCGTTTACTTTCAACTTAATTTGTTGCACAAACAGTTTCTATTATTTTACTGTGGGGGCATTTTTCCCGTGTGGATTCTTGGGAAGGGATGGGTGTGGACGGGAAATGAATTGACCTTCTCCCCACCCCCCGGCCAACAAGCATGTCATAAAAGTCTACTAATTAGGGGTGTTACCTTCGAAGTTGGGGACTTTTGCCTGCTGAAAAATAGATCTGCACACAAAAACTCAAGTTCTGGAACAAGACTAAAGATCAGAAGCAGGCGAACAAACATGACCTTCTTACTAGAGTTAACAGCAGGTGAACGTGGGGGAGAAGACTTCTGAGTGATGATGACTTTGCTGTTTTATTGTTGAATTTGTTTATTTTGCCTTGGGTTACTCGAATTGTGTGTCTCGTTTGTAATCTTATTATGTCAGTGTTATCTTGACTTACTGTGTTGTACAAATACAGTAGATTTTGGATCCAGTGTGCACACAAAACAAGAGAGATTAAGCAAGATAATGTATCCACTTTTGTAAGACAATGCTGCTGGAACTACATCAGCCATGCACTCAAAATGGATAAGACAGGACTCCCCTATCAAGCCCTCCTGTGGACACTGAAAGGGAAAAGAAAACGGGGAAGACCAAGAGAGACCCTGTGTAGAACCATCATCAGGGAATGCTCAGCATGGGCCTAACAAACATCCTTGACCTAAAACATGTGGCAGTGAACCACCAGACATGAAGAGCTATGACCTCTGCCCTGTGCGCCCCCCTAGGCTCAAGAGGAAAGACTAACTAACATTTACACTGTTGTGAAATGGATAAAGACCGCTCTTGTAGCTTCTGAACAGTGATATGAGAATCGTATGGTTGATTATACTGAGCCCCTGCTACATAATTTTCTCATTGACAGTAGTGGATACACACTTTTACAGAAGCCAAACTCCAATATGGGACAGCATCATCCAGGTAGCAACCTCTGGATGTTTCAGAAACTATCTGTTAGACTACCTCACAGCCATTAAGGAGGAAAATATGGGCTGTAGGACTTTTCACAAGAAGAGACAGGGTTACGAATACTAGCGAGTGAAGTTAAAAGATTTAGACGACATGGGGTGAGCTGTATGCGATAGGATAAGTTATGATACAAAGCTTGGTTTATGTTGGTTGAGGGTTATGCTGAATGGGGGAATAAAGGGAGAAGAAGAAGAAAATAAGATTTTGAAGATTAGTTTAAGGTTGACTATTGTGCTGAAGAACTGAATGGCTCAGGGTTAATGGTGGATAATGTGGAAAGTTGGGTGAAGGGGGCGACGCACACCTGGCACAACAACATTTGGATACTCTTGGCTTCTTCCTCAGCAGGCAGGCAATGTTAGGGTAACTGATTGCTTCATTCAGAGCAGTTATTTTTTATTTCCCCCCCCCCCCCCCCCCCCCCCCCCCCCCCCCCCCCCCCCCCCCCCCCCCCCCCCCCCCATTTAAATAAAATAGGTAGACCACATCACCCACCAAGCGCTGATTAGTCTGCACGTCTGGCAGCATTCTCTGGTGCATTTACATGTATTTTTGTTAACAATAGTTTATTTTTCTACCTTTTTTCCAGGGCAGTCAGGCTTATGTTTTAGCTTTGAAAAAGGCCAAACTGATATCTGAAGAAGAAAAAGAGGACATTTATGAGGGGCTTGAAAAGGTATCCATCTTTTGTTTGTTAATATCTATTAAGTAGCATCAGTAAGCATAATCTTTGGAGGCAGCTGTAATGGAATGTCTGATTTCTTGAAGAAGGGGCAAGGGTGGAACACCACAATTGTGGGCATAGAATAGAACAAATGAACAAACTTTATTTTTAAAGGGTTAAGAATTGGGAACACAGGCCCATCTAACATTCTGCCCTTCGAGGTCTCCCTCCATTCTTACATAATTTCATTCACACATCAAGTAATAAACATGATCAAAAGCATTAAAATATTCAGTACAAGCACTGGAATGTCTACATTTCTATTTACAACAAGCTGTAGTGGTTGTAAAAAATATAGGGAAAATGAGCGCTATTTCTAAAATATTTTTCTTTTTGTCTTCTATGGGGGCATGTAATCTATGTTATATGATTATATTCAAAAAGTTTTCGATTGTACATATGGGGACTAGTGGTATTTTTGATCTGTTGTGGAAGACAGTTCCAAAGCTGAGCTGCGGAGTACGCCAAACTTGTTTTGTATAGGTCAGTCCTAGGTTTAGTGATAGCAAGGACATCCCAGATATGAAATAGGGTGAGGCGGGAAATCTGGCAAGGGACCAGATGACTTTTTGGCATTAATGACAACAGAAGTCTGCAAAGGATCTGCTATCCAGTGAACATTAGTAACAGTAGATTTGAAAGTAATAGATTTAGTGATCTTCCACTTTTCATCTTTTGTTGAAGTATAATCCCCATAATAATTAGCAGCACTGTCCTTTGCCATCTCACGTAACTGTCTTCCTTGTCCTATTTGTATGTTGTTAATGTTTTCGTGAATTTATTATGTTTTTTAGGACAACTGTTTTCAAGAATTTGTGTTGTTTCATGTATTTGTTTTCTGTATAGGGCGATTGTTTTAGTGAATTTTTTGTGCTCTATAGGACAACTGTTTTCATGAAATTATTAGGTTATAATGGATGACTATTTTAATGAATTTGTGTTATATAGGGTGACTATTTTCATGAATTTGTTATGTTGTATAGGGTGACTGTTTTCATGAGTTTGTTGTGTTGTATAGGGTGACTGTTTTCATGAATTTGTTGTGTTGTATAGGGTGACTGTTTTCATGAGTTTGTTGTGTTGTATAGGGTGACTGTTTTCATGAATTTGCTATGTTGTAGTATGACTGTTTTCATGAATATGTTGTATTTAAAGAGGATGATGTTTTCATGAATTTATTGTATTGTATAGGGCGACTGTTTTCATGAATGTAATGTATTATATAGGGCGACTGTTTTCACGAATTTGTTGTGTTATATAGGGCGACTGTAGTGGTTACTACTGTTTTTAGTTTCCATCAAATGTTGGGCGGTGTATACCAACCCTGACATCCCACATTGCCACAACAACAGCTTCAGGCAGATGAGCACATTGTGGAGGATACTAGCTTTATCCTAGGAAGAGAACATGCAACCTGAACACCATGTTACGATAGGGCAGACCATGCTCTTCGCCTTGGCTGGCAAATGGTCCAAGAGGGAAGCTTTGGCAGGCAGACAGACATAGCACTGCTCTTCTTATCCAGCACCTTTGGCAGAGTGCTGTGTTCCAAACTTACTGGTGTTACCTTTCTTTCGGAGTAAACAAGGCAGGCCGGATGAGGGATCATGATGCATGGGCAACGCATGGTTTCTACAATATGGTCTAGGCTTTCTGCTATGGAGAGATAGAGACGTGCCTTCCTATAGCACAACATAACGCCATCACCTGAAGATATGGACAGGTACCAATAACAACAATGATGCTATTCTCCATGAAATATTGAGTCTCCTTTGTGTTACTGATCTTGTATTGAGTTCCAAGCAATGTCATATTGAAGTCGTAATGATGCGTAAACAACCTGAACCTTCCCTCTACTTATGTTTATGATATTTGAGTGATACTTACATAGTTCGTTAGTTAGTTAATCATAAGATTATCGTTACTGCACATTGGACAAGTCCTTAACACTTGGATCCCATCTTCAGTATATTCCTCAGCGTGTGGTGACTGATAACCCCAGTAATTCTGTGTTGGTTTATTATTCTTCTTTGGCCACCTGTATAGTGTTCATGTTTGGTAACACCTCAGTTGACCTGAAGTTCATGTAGTCTTTTGAGTGTTGCTGATTTAACATTGTCTCTTAAATCATCTTCTCGTCCTTTCTCTTTGAGAGCGTTGAGAATGTCGCCCTGGTCCATTCCTTTTCCTGTACCTACCGTGGCCCTGCCAACAAGATAATCCGCTTGTTTATTCCCTGTTACATACATGTGCATGTTGAATATGGAAGATGGACAAGCTGAGAAACATATGATGACAGCAGAAATTTTAATGTCAGAGAAGAATACAAAGATACACTGGATAAACGGAACCACATGTATTTCAGCCTGTGTTGATCTCGGGTTTGATCCCAGCTGCAGGTGATTTGACAGCAGACCGCCTTGCATTGGTTTCAGCAGGATTATTGAGAGCCAACCCTTCAAAAAGCAAAGAAAAATAAAATTGCCTGGTGAAATCATAAACAGACAAAAGCGTGCTGGGATAGTTTCTTCAATGTTGTGTAAAGTACATGCAACTTTCTTGACCTCAGAGCCATACTGGACAGAAAAGGTGGTGCTTTATTAATATCCTACCCCAAACAGGGAAAATCCCCAGTTCACTGGACAGTCTAATATTTCAAGGGGTGGTAGATAGGCTGCATGCAGTCGTGGGACCTAGGCTGCATGCATTTGTGGGACGTAGGTGGGTTGGGTTTAGAGTCAGTTCTATATATTTTGGAGTCGTTAAAAGCATCAGAAAGCTGGGTCTTACCACCCTCTAAATGTTTGACTGTCCTGTGACGTCATCTGGGGTAAGATATTAATAAAGATCTGAAAAGGTCCTTCTGCCATTGCTGTGGGGTTTGAACCTAAATCACTGTGTACGGCAGGTAAGGACACTAATTACCATATATTTCAATATGGCAGGTGAAACATGAGTGGGAGGCAAAGACTTTTGAGATTAGACCTGGAGATGAAGATATCCACACAGCCAATGAGAGGAGACTAAAGGTAAGCTACTCTTGTTGACATAATTGCATAGGAAGTCAATAAACATGTTACACATGGGAGGGGGCTGCGTGGTCTCAAGGCATGGCGTCTGCCTCGAGTGCTGGAGGTCCTGGGTTCAAGCCCCGGTGAAGGCTGAGATTTTTTCACGTTTACTCCTAGTAATTTACCCTGATATCTGGTTAGTAAGATTGGATGCTCGTGTGTGTTGCTGCGCACGTAAAATAAAAACACATTGGCAGTTGCAAATTGAAAAAGAGTAGCCTAATGGCACTGCCAGGGAGTTAAAAATCTACCCAGAATATTTTAAGGTTCTCGCCGGTGCTACGAAGTTCGTGCACTGCGCTGAGATTCTTCAGACCAGGGCTTGAGTCAGAAGTAGGACGGAGCACTTATGGGTTACCACCCTTGTGCCATGATGTTGATCCGTCGTCTAAACCTAAACCTAATATGTTGCAAATGGATACTTAAATAAATGGGATCCTTCTTTTTCTTTTCATTCTCCCTGCCAGTAGTTTTCAGATGAGAAGGCCATACGCCTCTAGGAAGTATGTGGTACGACACATGTCTTGCATTGTTCCATACAGCATAGTTGGGGTGACTCCAAGTGTTTGTAAAGCTGCCTGTATATTACCTCTCAAACGTCGTCTTGGTCTTCCTCATGGGCTATCACCATTAAACTGTCTTGTGTACACAGTTTTTACCTCTCTGACACTCGGCATTCTCCCATTATGCCCCCAGCCATTTCAGTCTATTTGTCCTTATGATGCCAGCAATCAGTGGTGATTTAAACAGATTATGAATTTTGTTGTTGCTTCTTACTCTCTATTTCCTGCTGTTTGCATCTTTGATGGGTCAGTCAAAATGTGTCTGTGAGTCAGTATCAAAAGGTGTCTATTCCATATTCCACCACCATTGATCTTATATTGTATTTCTTTCTTTGTGGATTTTAATCTGTATTTCGGGGAAATATTAAAAACATTAATTTCTTGTTGACAAAAAGACTAAAAGATTTTTCCCTATTTGATAGGAACTCATAGGACCGGTTGGAGGAAAGCTGCACACTGGACGAAGCCGCAATGACCAGGTGGCCACCGACATGCGCCTGTGGTTTCGGGACAAGACCGAAGTCCTGGTCAAACACATCACAGACTTGGTGCACGTTATGATTGACAGAGCAGAAGTGTATGTCAGTTTATTGTCTGTGTTCACACCTATATCATTTGTTGATCTTGGTGATCTGTTTATTCCCCCCCCCCCCCCCCCCCCCCCACTGTAGCTGTTTTCTCACTTTTCATCCCACCCCAGACAGGGACAGTTTTAGAAAAACAAACATAAAATCACATACGAGATGAGATGTGTAAGAAATGCGGTCAGAAAAACAAGAAGACACAGAAAAATCAACAAAGAACTATGGTCACCAGTCGCCGTGGCATAGCGGATAGATGCTTGCCTGCGGATCAGAAGGTTGTGGGTTCGTTCCCTGGCGGAGCCAGACTTTTTTCAAAAATGACCTTGGCTCCCAGGTCGACCCAGCCTTGAGTGGGTACCAGGTGCAGTCCTGGGAAGCAAGGTGGCCGGCGTGATGCTGACCACATCACCCATCTTGTGCCATTGGTCTTTAAAATATAGGTCTAGTCCTAAATACACAATACGCATGAAAGGCGTGGGAAATGATCCGTTTTTTGGGGGGTTTTTTGCGCGTGTATACTGAGTGAAAATACTCAGGAAAATCCCGGGTGGATTCATTAGACAAGAATGGATTGTATCACTAAGCACTTCCCAAATGGCTGTCCTAACTTGAATCTTTGGGCCATGTTGTGCCGGAGTTTAAGGCAACGAGCGTGCAGATTATCTTGCAGAAACTGTTGTTGCTATGGCTGGTCCGGTACAGAAGTGATTTATCAATGTCCTGTGCAGCACATACTGTGAACACTAATATGTAAAAGGGCTAATCGACATGGAGCTGCAGCCCTGGAGCTGCGAGAAATGAATATTTCACCAAGGCGACAGGTCGTTTGAATAATCAACACAGAACAGGATTCATCATTTGTTTGACAGTTGTGGAGCTTTTGAGGAGGAGATTGGATCACCAGTGTATCTGTTTGGAGTGCTGTGAGGATCATCCTGGCCAATCACTGTCCATGTGTTAATTTCTGTCCCACAGAGAGATTGATGTTCTGATGCCTGGTTACACCCATTTACAGAGAGCCCAGCCAATAAGATGGAGCCACTGGATTCTCAGGTTGGTAATGAAAGCCCTGTGTGTCTGTTCCATTCGTGTATATTTGAAAAGTGGTGAAAACAGGGGTGACTGCAATTTCCCCAATGGTTCTTTCCAAATTAGGGAACTTTTTACTTGTGAATCCCGCAACGTAATTTATGCCATAATCTGCAAAAGATGCAACAAGGCATACACTGGGGAAACTGGCAGGAAGCTAGCTGGTCGGTTCCGGGTACACCTCTCCGATATTGACAAGAAGGTAATTAAACCTGTCCCTATCCATTTTAACAGCTCTGACCATGGAGGCAGCGATAATATATCTGTTACAGTATTGAAATCTTGCTCTGGCGATCATATTGTGCGTCTCCCTTTAGAATATCACCTCATGCACATCTAGGTGTTTTTAGTCGAGGAGGCATCAATGTCCAACATACATACCGTCATCTAAACGGTTTTACTATTATCTCATTTTCAGTTTTATTTATTTTAATGCTTATTTTATTTTAATTTTATATTATTACTTTATTCTGTCTCTTACAGCACAATTTATGGACCATTATCATTTGTATTTCTATTACTGTTTTGTTCCTACTATTATCTATTTAAAATATTACATTTTATTTGTTGTGACTATTTTTCGAGCCTTCATTTATTTATTTTCACTCCCTCCATCCACATCATCTTTTTTTTTTTTTAGAGTTGCTCACCCTTATTGGTTAAAGTACTCTCCTCTTTGTTACCTTTGTGTCGTTCATTTCATGTCGATAAAGGCCCCGACGAAAAAGTCAATTTGTGTTGTTTTGCACGTTTTTCTGCCTCTCCATTTCATTAAGCTTTTTAGCCACAATTCACTGGAATTCCTACGTATATTTAACCTTGTTGCCATGAAAAAGCCAGTTTTCTGACTTGTATTTAAAAAAAATGATATATTTTTTGGGGGGCAGTGGCCAATATAAATGTAAAAAGTTTTGAGACTGGATGCAACTGCATATTGTGTCAACCTGGTGGATGTGATTAAACTTAACAAAGAAATATTGAGATATAATTTGGAATGAAAAAAATCTATTGTGGTGGTTATTGCAATGTCATAATAAACTTAGGAACATTTTTTTTCTCTCTGTGGCTGTGTCAGCTCTACCCCTGTTTTCTTGGTCAAAAGAAATAAAAAAACATTTTTCTTTATTCATTTTGTATTTAGTGATTACTTGCTTTAAAAAAAAAAAAAAACTTTGCGCAAAGTAATATGAATGTAAAGAATCCATTTTTTTTTGTCCATTGATATATTAATATCTTCTTCTTCTTCGCGTTCACCAGCTGTTCACTCCGGCGGAAGGTTCTGGTTGCTCATCCACTACTGAACTGCAGTCCTGCTCCAGAACCTGAGTGTTGCGTGTGCATCAGTTTTACAGATCTCATTCTCTTGAATATAGACTGTTGGTTCCTTGTCTCTCCGGCAGATGCACTCCGACTTCAAAGGAAGCTCCCCAATTAGTCGACTCTTACGACATGCTTTTGGGGAGGCAGTGGGTCTATTCTTGTTTTCCCCACAATGGGGCCCCGGAACCCACACGGGGGATATATTAATATATTCTTTGGGTGGTGTATTTTGCATATGTTTATTAATTTAATTATTGTTTGCTTCCTGTGTATGTTCCAGGTTTCCATGGGAAAAGAGAAGGGGGTGGGGGTGGGGGGGGGGGATAGTCCCTTTTGCTCAATGAAAAGCATGTCATAAAAGATGATTAATGAGGGTTTTGCTGAAATCCGATGTGTTAAAACAGAAGGTGCAGATATCATAGCTTAGCTGTAAACCTCAGATCAGTGTGCCCACCACGATCGTAGAAGAGGAAGAAATAATGTAGCTACAGTTCCTTTCCACCTGGCCTGGGTATGGAATAAAGTATGAATTTTTATTGTTAATTTTTCCTTGTGTGTGTGTATTTCTTTTTGTTTCAGTTGAAATAATTCACTATTTATTTTTCTCCTTCCAAGTTATGCTGTCATGTTGCAGCGAGATGTCGAGAGACTGACACAGATTAGAGAGAGAGCATCGACGTTAGTTCTTGGCAGGTAACGACAGTTTGTGTTATGTTTTCTAGTTCATTATGTTTTATCTAATTAATAAATCTAATGTAACAATTTTAACATATGGATGTGAATCCTGGACAATCGGTAGGCAGGCCAAACAATTTTTAGAGGCCTGAGAGATGTGGTGTTACAGAAGAATGCTTAGAATACCTTGGACAGCCAAAAAGAGCAACCAAGAGGTTTTAAAAGAGGCGGGAGCCCGAAGACAACATATCACTGACATCAGAAGGAGACAGTCATCATTTTTCGGCCATGTTATGAGAAGAGGGAAAATAGAACATGTTGTGACCACTGGAAAGATCTGTGGAAGGAGGGATAGAGGAAGACAACGAGAGAAGATGCTTGACAGTCTTGTTGCATGGCATGGAGGTGTGTCGGCACACGAACTGATACATGCTGCAGGAGATCGCGGATTATGGAGAGGTATGATCGCCCACGCCAGTCGGCAAGGCACCTGATGTAACAATATATAATTTGTTTGTAATATAAAACTGCATTTGACAGAATCTTGTGCAATAAATCCAGGTCACTGGAGTTTATGACAAGAATTCCTGCATGCTATATAGAACCATTTATAACATACAGCTGAAACAAGCCGGACAAGGCATGATTGCCCACACCAGTCAGCAAGGCACTTGATGATGATGACTATAGTATAATGTAATACATTGTGAAGATGCTTCCCGTGTGAGTTTCAGGGCTCCATTATGGTGGTCGGAGGATGGAGAGGGGGAATAGAACCACTGCCTCCCTAACAAACATGTTGTCAGAGTCAACTGATTAGGGATGCTTCCTTCAAAGTCAGAGTGCGTCTGCCTGAGAAGCAAGGAACCATAAAAATTAGCCAGATCAGTTAAATGAATGTGAGTGTAAAGCTCAAATTCTGGAACAAGCAAAAAAGTCCAGATGAACAAGCAGAACTTTCTGCCTGCATTTACAGCCGGTAAACGTGAAGAAAAAGAAGTGAAGATGCAGAAACAATGACTGCTAAAAAAATTGTATTACAGCTGTCTAAAGTGTTTTAACAGTACTTACATAAACACAGAAAAAGTACTATTCCTGTTTTTTTTTTTCACAGTGGCGCTTTGGCAGGAAATCCATTTGATATTGACAGGGAATTATTACGACAAGGTAAGTCTTACCAATAATCGTGGAAACAATAACTGTAATTAGATTTATTGAAGGGAAAAAAAAAATGCTGAAGTGGTTTAGCCACAATCAACCCTGCTTCACTGGTTGCAAGAGCTTACAACATGAGAGTAGAAACTTCAAGAGGATGACCAAAAAGAATGTGGATAGATGGAGTTAACAACTTGCTGAAAACTGAACAGTATCACTATGCAGCAAGCTAATGAGGGCGCACCATCCCGGAAGCTACCTGCAACACCTAACAGCATTAAGCAGAAAAAGACAATAGATATAAGTCTTCCATTACATATCATTTTGTTTTCTTTTCCTTTAGTTTTTGTGTGTGCGGATTACATTGTTGTTGTTTAGTTGACTGGTCTTTAGTGTATACTTGTTTCTTCATTCGTTGTTCTGTTATATATCATCACATAGGGCTTGCAGTCTGCCTCTCCATTCCGTTCTGTCCTGTGAAATCACTTCAGTGTGATGGATGGAATCAAGCCCAGCACCTTTGGCCTCTCTTGTCAGTGTTCACCTTGGGGTTTCTCTAGGATGTTCTTGACTCCTCACACAGGCCCGTCTTACATTCTGCCCTTCTGGCCTCACGCCATGCATACATTATTCAAGCACACATTGTTTTAGCAGATAATAATAATAATAACAGTATTAATAGGCATCATCAATAGAGGGCCCATTAGCCTTGATGAAAGATATTGTGCAGTTCAAATCTCCTTGTGTACCATACTGCTTTAACTTGGCTGAGATGGACAGACTAAATTGTTTCTGAGTCAGCAAGGCACAAGGTTTCTTTGTGTTTCCTATACTGAACAACTTTAACATGGGTTAATAAAGTGTGTTTTGCCCCATCCTTAGTCTAAAGATAAGTGTGAGTTATGTTTGTTTCGTCTGCTTAATGCTTCATAAATGTGTGTCTTCTCAGAGCTAGGGTTGAAGAGGATATCCTTAAACAGTCTTGACGCTGTCAGCGACCGAGATTTTGTAGGTGAGTTATTTTGTTTCTATTTGTTTTAAAAATTATTATTTGTGTGAGATGCAGTGGGAAATTGGCTGCAGAAATTAACATCAGATGCAGTAAAGCAAACCAAGAATTGTCACAGCTAGCGCCCCCCCCCCCTCCCCCGCCCCCCCGGGCCCCGTTTCCTCAATGCATACTAGGATCCTGATCAGCACCAGAAAACAAAATTTGTAACCATGGAAAGAGGAGATAACCCAACTTGTCTATGGGACGTCATTTAGCTTGGTTCTGGATATTTAACTGACAAGAATTGTGCCTTCCATGTTATTTACCACACCTTCCATGTTATTTACCACCCCTTCCATGTTATTAACCACACCTTCCATGTTATTTACCACACCTTCCTGTTATTTACCACACCTTCATGTTATTTACCACACCTTCATATTATTTACCACACATTTTTGTTATTTCCCACACCTTCCGTGTTATTTACCACACTTTGCATGTTATTTCCAACACCTTCCGTGTTATTTACCACACCTTTCATGTTATTTACTACAGCTTCATGTTTTTAACCACACCCTAATGATATTAACCACACATTCCAAGTTTTTTACCACACCTTTATTTATTTACCGCACCTTCATTTATTTACCAGACCTTCCTGTTATTTACCACACCTTCCTGTTATTTACCACACCTTTCATATTTAACCACACCTTTCATGTTATTTACCACACTTCGAACAGACAAATGCTGAGACTAGCTGAAGCATAAACAATAACTATGAACAATCTCCAATTATATAAACAGAAGGAGTTCGTTATAACTGTGATGTTACCCTGGTAAGTCATATGACTGTCACGAACTTTGGTTGATTAGACGAACAATGTGTCGAGAGACTATATGATTGTTGATTAGTGGAAATAGTTCAATTTTTGTGCACCATTATGTGTTGATGTAACTTTGTAGTAACACACTCGACGAAATACAGTAAAATTTGCCTGGCAAATTGCCAAATGTATTGTTTTTGTCTGCATTATTAAAATTCATTATGGGTAAACTTTTGTTTTTAAAAAAATTGCATAATATGGGATTTGTGGGTTTCAATTATAGCTGAATTCCTGTTCTGGGCTTCACTTGTTGGAGTTCATCTTAGTCGCTGGGCTGAAGATTTGATTCTGTACAGTACTAAAGAGTTTGGATTTGTCACACTGTCTGATGCATACAGGTAACATATCTCCTTGACCACAAGTTAAAACATATCTCATTGATTATATATATATTAGAATGTATCGTTTATCATAGAAAATTTCTCATGGATTACATGTTAGACCATGTCTCATTGATCATATTTTAAAACATTTATAATATTTTAGAATATATTTCAATTATCATATTTTAGAACATTTCTCCTTGATCACACATAAGAACATATCATGTTCATCATATGTTAGAGCACATCTCATTGATATTATCCTTATGATGTGTAGTGTATAGAGTTTGTATTTGTTATTAATTTGTTTTTATCTTCATTTCTGTCATGAGTTTATATTCATTGTTTCATTACAATTTCTTCTTCTAGTAGTTATGTCTATCCACAGCTTTCTGCCTCATGTACTTTCAGTCAATTCTGACACAGATCTTCCGTGCTATAATACCAAACTGTTCGACATCTTCTCTCTAGGTCTCCTCACCTTGGAATAGAAGAAGTTACTGTACAAGTGCTTCCTCTTGTGGGTTTCAGAGCCCCATTGTTGGGAAAACATGAATAGACCAACTGCCTGTCCAAAAGCATGTCGTAAGGGATGACAAATTGGGGGCTTCCTTTGAAGTCAGAGTGCATCTGCCTGACAGGCAAGGAACCAACAGTCTACATACTAATGAGTCAGAGCTGTAAAATGGATGTGCATGCAACAACACTCAGGTTCTGGAACCAGAACTTTCTGCTGGAGTTTACAGCCAGTGAAAAAGAAGAAGGAGAAGTAACAAGTACATGAGACTAGAAGAGTTATATATTTGTTATACTCTTTGTTAGTCACACATGTTAGCCTGATAGTGGATACAACATTGATGTTTTGGTCCTTCATACCTTCTAGGTGAGAAAACACTGAAATGACGTGATGCTCCCCATGCTGGCCTCAAGGTCTTTGGTTCCAGTCCCCAGTCAGATCTTTTAAAAAAAAAACAACTGGGCGGGGTACAGAATAGCGTGTAATCCAGTGTGGACGGGGTACAGAATAGCCTGTAATCCAGTGTGGATGGGGTACAGAATAGCCTGTAATCCAGTTTGGGTGGGGTACAGAATAACCTGTAATCCAGTGTGGGTGGGTACAGAATAACATGTAAAACAGTTTGGGTGGGGTACAGAATAACCTGTAATCCAGTGTGGGTGGGTACAGAATAGCCTGTAATCAAGTGTGGGTGGGTACAGAATAACATGTAATCCAGTGTGGGTGGGTACAGAATAACCTGTAATCCAGTGTGGACGGGGTACAGAATAGCCTGTAATCCAGTGTGGGTGGGTACAGAATAACCTGTAATCCAGTGTGGACAGGGTACAAAATAGCCTGTAATCCAGTTTGGGTGGGGTACAGAATAACCTGTAATTCAGTGTGGGTGGGGTACAGAATAGCCTGTAATCCAGTGTGGGTGGGTACAGAATATCCTGTAATCCGGTGTGGGTGGGTACAGAATAACCTGTAATCAAGTGTGGGTGGGTACAGAATAGCCTGTAATCAAGTGTGGGTGGGTACAGAATAGCCTGTAATCCAGTGTGGATGGATACAAAATAACCTGTAATCCAGTGTGTTTGGGTACATAATAACCTGTAATCCAGTGTGGATGGGTACAGAATAGCCTGCAATCCAGTGTGAGTGGGTACAGAATAACCTGTAATCCAGTGTGGGTGGGTACAGAATAACTTGTAATCCAGTATGGGTGGGTACAGAATAACCTGTAATCAAGTGTGGGTGGGTACAGAATAGCCTGTAATCCAGTGTGGGTGGGTACAGAATAGCCTGTAATCCAGTGTGGATGGATACAAAATAACCTGTAATCCAGTGTGTTTGGGTACAGAATAACCTGTAATCCAGTGTGGTTGGGTACATAATAACCTGTAATCCAGAATGGATGGGTGCAGAATAAGCTGTAATCCAGTGTGGGTGGGGTACAGAATAACCTGTAATCCAATGTGGGTGTGGTACAGAATCCAATGTGGATGGGTTCTAATATGCCTGGCATCTGCTCCCAGATCACCATGTTTTATCTAGAAACACCCAAATCTGGATTTCTTTGTTGTTTTAGTACTGGAAGCAGCCTGATGCCACAGAAGAAAAACAGTGACAGCCTGGAGTTGATTCGAGGGAGATCTGGTCGACTTTTTGGCAATGTGAGTAGGAGGACCTTTTGTTGTTTACTGAGGCCTTTGTGCTTACCGCCATATCATCATCCTGACTTATTTATTTCTCTGTGTTATTTGCGGAAGAAAAAAATTGTGGCATCTGACTAGTGTAACCGGCAGTGAAGAATGGTTCAGAGAAATCTTTGCATTGATTTGGACAACAGCATGAGCTGTTCAGGAAGCAGCGGAAAACTTATGTTTTGCACATGTATTTACCACTTTTTTGAAGGCACAGTGTAGGACATATGCAGTATGTATGATGATGTAGACCAAAAGGCTGGTGCAAAACATTTAGAGTATGAAGACTTAAAGAAACCACTTGGGAAGGTGTTAACCCTGTCAGCCTGGGAAGACTAAATCTAGCCCCTTCCGCTTGAGACAGTCCTGTAAATGCTGATGTATCACCATATGTACACTGAACTGAAAAGCGTACTTAAATTATGTTAACTTTGTATGTTCCAGCAGTGTTTAATAGGCCAGGAAATTACTATAGTAACTAAAGATAGCATTTAGATGGGTTTCCTTATGTCTTTTTGAGAGGAAAGTTTATGTCACATTTTACCCATGAACCTCATTGATAGAGGTCAAGGGTCACACATGAGTCACCTAATTTTTAAAAACATTTTAGAATGAGGAAAGTATTCCATTTAATGCTTAACTCTGTTCATGTTTATTGATTACCCTTTGTGTGTCTCCATATAGTTGACCAATGTAGATAAATAAAAATTGTTACCACATTTATGGCTGAGTTTTTTTTTTAAAAAGAATTTTTTTTAAAGGAATTTCCACAGGTTCATGACCCCTTATTGTCTTTTTCGGAGTGTAAGGGCTGCAAATGAGTTATTAGTTACTGCAGTGATTCCCACTAGGTTTTGAAATGATGACCCTCTTATTCAGAGGTCTGCTACGGACCCCATACTAAAGATAGCATTTAGATGGGTTTCCTTATGTCTTTTTGAGAGGTAAGTTTATGTCACATTTTACCCATGAACCTCATTGATAGAGGTCAAGGGTCACACATGAGTCACCTAATTTTTAAAAACATTTTAGAATGAGGAAAGTATTCCATTTAATGCTTAACTCTGTTCATGTTTATTGATTACCCTTTGTGTGTCTCCATATAGTTGACCAATGTAGATAAATAAAAATTGTTACCACATTTATGGCTGAGTTTTTTTTTAAAAAGAATTTTTTTTAAAGGAATTTCCACAGGTTCATGACCCCTTATTGTCTTTTTCGGAGTGTAAGGGCTGCAAATGAGTTATTAGTTACTGCAGTGATTCCCACTAGGTTTTGAAATGATGACCCTCTTATTCAGAGGTCTGCTACGGACCCCATACTAAAGATAGCATTTAGATGGGTTTCCTTATGTCTTTTTGAGAGGTAAGTTTATGTCACATTTTACCCATGAACCTCATTGATAGAGGTCAAGGGTCACACATGAGTCACCTAATTTTTAAAAACATTTTAGAATGAGGAAAGTATTCCATTTAATGCTTAACTCTGTTCATGTTTATTGATTACCCTTTGTGTGTCTCCATATAGTTGACCAATGTAGATAAATAAAAATTGTTACCACATTTATGGCTGAGTTTTTTTTTAAAAAGAATTTTTTTTAAAGGAATTTCCACAGGTTCATGACCCCTTATTGTCTTTTTCGGAGTGTAAGGGCTGCAAATGAGTTATTAGTTACTGCAGTGATTCCCACTAGGTTTTGAAATGATGACCCTCTTATTCAGAGGTCTGCTACGGACCCCATACATTTTAATAGTCATATTGGAGAACATGGCCAGCGTGATGCTGACCATATCACTCATCTTGTGCCGATTAGTCTATAAAAATATAGGTCTAGCCCTATATGCCCTATATGCCTAAAGGCGTGGAAAAGGGTCCTTTACTTTTTACTTTTACTTATTGAAGAACATTCAGGGTCTTCTAGACTTGGGATCAAGTTCCGCTTTGACTAACTGGTCATAAGTAGAACTGGTCGAAAGTTGAATTTATATTTTTTCAACACTATTTTTATTCAGGTGGGTTATAGAAATTGTAGATAAAACGCAAAAATGCAATTTGTATACATATAATAATTATTGTGCGGTGTCCGTGGCTTAGGCGCTGCTAGTCTTGACTCGTAATTCCAGCGATCGAAACCCACTGCTGGCTGCCTGGGTTTCTATCATGGTGTGGAACGTCGCAGGTTGACCCAGCCTATAATGGGTATCAGGATGACTGTCCTGAGGAAGTAAAGACGTCCGGCGTAATGCTGACCACATTACCCACCTAGTGTCGATTGGTCTGAAAAGATATGGGATGCTCTTCCCCTATCTTGATGAGCCTGATGCGTAAAAAGGGATCTTTACTTAAAAAAAAAAATTGTTTTTAGATAATGTGAAAAACACATATGTACTCTGTTGCACCAGTTCTGGGAACTTTTTGATTCTACCAATGTAATCTCTCTTTATTTACTGTATTGATTTTTTGTGGTCTAAGTCAAATAGACAAAAGTTGAGGAGAAAGTGTGTTATAATGTACAAATATTATTTTTGCACACACAAAAAAAAAAATTTGAAAAAAAAAAAGAGATTGCATTTTAAAGTTGAGATTTCTGTTTAAGTGTAAATGATATCACAGTCTTCTTCTTCTTCACATTCACCAGCTGTAAACTCTGGCGCAAAGTTCTGGTTGTTCGTCCACTTCTGTTCCAGAACCTGAGTGTTGTGTATGCATCCGTTTTACATATCTGACTGATCTGTATGCAGACTGTTGGTTCATTGCCTCTCAGGCAGATGCACCCTGACTTTGAAGGAACCTTACAACATGCTTTTTGGTAGGCAGTGGGTCTGTTCTTGTTTTCCCTATAATAGGGTCCCGGAACCCACACTGGGAGATATCACAGTGACCCCTTAAAAATGTGTTTTTAAGACCACTGCGGGACAGTGGACCACCAAATGAGGAATACTAATTTACTGTCCCTTTTGTCAACAGTGCTCTGCTTTCATGATGACATTAAAAGGAATTCCTAGCACTTATAACAAAGATCTTCAGGTAGGTCATGCTTTCTTTCTTTCTTTCTGATTTTTCTCTGTTCTTCCTGTCTTTGCTCCTTCCTTTTTGACTTAATGTCCTTTTAGCTAGCAGTTTCTATCTTAATTACTATCTTTTTTACCTTTTCTTCTTTTAGCCAGTTCTTTCTTTCTTTCTTTTTCTTTCTTTCTTTCTTTCTTTCTTTCTTTCTTTCTTTCTTTCTTTCTTTCTTTCTTTCTTTCTTTCTTTCTTTCTTTCTTTCTTTCTTTCTTTCTTTCTTTCTTTCTTTCTTTCTTTCTTTTTCTTTCTTTCTTTCTTTCTTTCTTTCTTTCTTGATTTTCTTTCTTTCTTTCTTTCTTTCTTTCTTTCTTTCTTTCTTTCTTTCTTTCTTTCTTTCTTTCTTTCTTTCTTTCTTTCTTTCTTTCTTTCTTTCTTTCTTTCTTTCTTTCTTTCTTTCTTTCTTTCTTTCTTTCTTTCTTTCTTTCTTTCATTCTTTCTTTCTTTTCTTCCTTCCTTCCTTTCTTCCTTCCTTCCTTCCTTCCTTACTTCCTGCGCTATTTAGCCATATTTCTAACTTCCTTTCCTTTCTTGCATTAATTCATTTTTATGTTTCTTTCTTGATCATTGTTCTTAGTCTGTCTGGTCTCCTTTATTAATTGTAATCTTGTGTGGGCATGCAGAATACTGTGGAGTGAATGGTTTCATGTGCTGTGTGTGACATTCACTGTTTGACTCATTTTCAAATGAGTATTTAACATGTTTGTTTTATTTCATCAGGAGGATAAAGAAGCCATGTTTGATACATTTGACACACTGAGTGCCATTTTACAAATAGCAACTGGGGTGCTGTCAACATTGAAGGTATGTTATGTTTGTTGTCTTTGCCATGGTTACCTAAGACAAGGCAGATGGTAACAAATAATATCATTACATACTCAGATAGGGAAATTCCAGTGGAGGAGCGGCTAGACGCTCGCAGCGGATCGGAAGGTGGTGGGTTTGCTACCTGGCGGAGCGGGACTTTTTTCAAAAACGACCCTTGCTCTCAGGTTGACCCAGCCTTGAGTGAGTACCGAATGCAGTCCCGGGAGGTAGAGGCGGCAGGTGTGATGCTAACCACATCCCCCATCTTGTGCCGATTGGCCTATAAAAATCTATGTCTATCCCTATAAGCCCTATACGCCTAAAGGCGGGGAAAAGGGTCCTTTACTTTTTACTTAATTACTTATACTCAGATGTGTTGTCTGTTGTGTCATGTTATGAGAAGGAAAGACTCTACACTAAGAGTAAAGGCCAGGACATGTAACCCACACGCTGAAGAATTGTTTCTGACATTGTCTTCTTGTCTTCGATCCTTCTGTCAGAAAACATGCGTCAGGAGGCCAGGAGCCTCTATGAAGGCTATGGTACAGACCAGATCTTCCAGTGTACCACACTTGACTTATCTTGACTGTGATGGGCATAAGCCAGATAGGCTCACTTGTCAGCAGTGTACAGTTTGGAGTCGTGGAGAATCTGCTTAGCATTTTCTGGTGCTTAGTCACAGGGACACATCTCCATGTTTGCTAGACCCAAACATTTGATATTAAATTTAAGTAATTTTTTTCAACATACAACTTTTTAACCCTTTGGAGACGACATGGCCGAAATATTGGCCCAATACAAAGTAGCTAAAAAGACAACTGGGCCGATCGGTTGGCCCTATATAATAGAAGCCTTGATATTGGCTGGCAGGTTTTCATACCAGCCAATCAGACTGCATCTCGCATTTCTTGCTTATTTGGGCTGTTCATTGAGAAAGTTTGATGTGTTCTGTAATTTCACATTAATTTTTTCTGGGGTTACCTGTGCCCAAAAAAGTGAAAAAGACTGTTGCATCATAGCAACCGAAAGATGACTGGAGGCAGGAAAATGAGTAGAACCATGTGCCAGAAGTGTCTGAAGGGCCTCCAAGGGACTTACTTCCCAAACTACAGGTGTTAGGACTTATTCAAGTTTCGTCCATTAAAAAATTCACCCAAATTTTTCAGGTTAGTTATGTTTTTTCCCAAGTTTTATAAAGAAAATTGCTTGCACAAATTCTGCAAATCAGAATAGTTAATTTGAATAACTGTTGAGATTTCCCTTTGATTCAAAAATGTTTTGTTACTTCATTCAATTTACTACATGAATATTAATTTTTTCTTATATGTTAATTAGAGGCTTTTTTTTAAAATGTATTCCCTCCTGAAGGCTCTGTCTTCTTGGCACCGAAACTCCAAAAAAGCTAAGTCTCAGAAGGGTTAAACAGGCTATTGGCTTTGCCAGGACTGCAGTATGTTTCATTTCAGGGCAGCATTGGGTGTTTTATGTGGTAGAAAAAACATTGTACCATCTCCACAATGGAGGTTGGCTGCAATATATCCCCTGCTAACTGTGAGAATATTGCATGGTGAGACCCTTGGCTGCCAGTTCTGTCAAAGGTATGTGAGATCTTGGCTGTGACAACAGCTGACATAGGTATGTGAGATCTTGGCTGTGACAACAGCTGACATAGGTATGTGAGATCTTGGCTGTGACAACAGCTGACATAGGTATGTGAGATCTTGGCTGTGACAACAGCTGACATAGGTATGTGAGATCTTGGCTGTGACAACAGCTGACATATGTATGTGAGATCTTGGCTGTGACAACAGCTGACATAGGTATGTGAGATCTTGGCTGTGACAACAGCTGACATAGGTATGTGAGATCTTGGCTGTGACAACAGCTGACAAAGGTATGTGGGATCTTGGATGTGACAACAGTTGACATAGGTATGTGAGATCTTGGCTGTGACAACAGCTGACATAGGTATGTGAGATCTTGGCTGTGACAACAGCTGACATAGGTATGTGAGATCTTGGCTGTGACAACAGCTGACATAGGTGTGTGAGATCTTGGCTGTGACAGCAGCTGACATAGGTATGTGAGATCTTGGCTGTGACAACAGCTGACATAGGTATGTGAGATCTTGGCTGTGACAACAGCTGACATAGGTATGTGAGATCTTGGCTGTGACAACAGCTGACATAGGTATGTGAGATCTTGGCTGTGACAACAGCTGACAAAGGTATGTGAGATCATGGCTGTGACAACAGCTGACATAGGTATGTGAGATCTTGGCTGTGACAACAGCTGACATAGGTATGTGAGATCTTGGCTGTGACAACAGCTGACATAGGTATGTGAGATCTTGGCTGTGACAACAGCTGACATAGGTATGTGAGATCTTGGCTGTGACAACAGCTGACATAGGAATTCTTCAAGCCTCAGAAATGAAGTAACCAAAAAAAAAAAAAGTGGTCCAAGTGACAAGAAGAATCAAAGTTTAGAAACAGACAGTTCGTCATAATCTTGAAATCTTACAAACTTGAGTGGATCACTCACAGTTACGATGGTTTAGACATGTATGCAGAATGGTAAAGAATCAGCCACCATTTCAGGCATAGAAGGCCGAGAACCAGATCTCCCTGACTGACAGAAGATGAATGGAACGAAGCCTAAAAAGAAAACTGCTGATAGCATAGTCTGGCCATCTCTCTGGCAAACTTCTGCGCCACACAGTAGAAGAGGAGCAACTAAGTAATTAAGATAGGCCCTAGTCTCTTGTGCGTTGTGACTGTCATACCAGTCTGAAACCCACAAGAATGGTCTTTTTCGAAACAAGTTATAAATGCAGTTGCGTGACTAAGGCACTGAAGTCTGATCCAGCTTGTATTTCATATTTCAGATTCACCCAGATACCATGAAGAGTGCTTTGAGTCCAGATATGCTGGCAACTGATATTGCTTACTATCTTGTCCGAAAAGGGGTGTGTAGTTTTCACACATTTGATTATACTTCAGCATAATACGGGTACCTGTTCTATGTCTGCACGTGATCACTTGTTGTCTGCTGTCTTCTTCTTCTTCTTCTCCTCCAGTGTTTAACATCATCATCATTATCACATGCCGTGCTGATAAGCCTAGGTCGTCATGTTCCACCATCTCACACGATTATCAGAATCAAGGATCGGGTCTGTGTTCTTGTCCTGCCCTATCCATATGGCTAAGCCATCCAGGTGTTTGTCTACCTTCCCTTTGCTCTTCTTTTGTCAGTCTTGTCAGATGTTACCAAGTTCTTGAGCCCGTTCCTTCTCAAAACATGTACAAAAAACAAACAAAAAAACCATTGTGTGTGCTCTGTCTGTCTTTGGATATTTTTTTCCAGTATATGACGGTGTATTAAGAAATGAACAGACAGTTAGACTGGATGGTTCTGCAGAACATTGTGTTGAATTGATGCATAACAAGCTAGATGCTTTAAGGGTCATTTGGGGGCGAGTCAGCAGTGAGGAAGCACCGATGGATCATCATAGTCTGTAGAGAATGGTACTGCCACTGTGACCAGGGGATCTGGTCGACGATCAGCACTCAAGGGACGAAAGGTGAGACTGATATACAGTCTGACTGCTATTGGTACTGTTGAATTAGAACTCAGCTCTTGCTGCTGAAGATAGGAACATGCAGGGGCAATTCAGCTAAGTTGACCCAGGGGTCAAAATGTTGGAAAATAAGGGTCGTCGTGGGCCAGTGGCTCGAGCCCCAGCATAGAAAGATCATTAATGTAATGTAATACAATCAGCAGGGGATCCATGGGCCATTTGCAAGGCATCTGCAGGCCAGATTTGACCTGCGGGGCCGTCAGTTGAATAGCCCTGGTCCAATTCATTGTATAAGTTGATCTTCATTTATCTTAGGCTATTCTTGATGCTGTTGTTTGATCTTTTACATGGTCTTCCCCATTCTCAGTGTTCATTATATTTCTTTAGTGTGGCTGTCTGTGGCAGTTGGTACCACTGAATTCTCACTACATGACCAAACCATCTGATCTGTGGCTCTTTGTAGAACTGTATGACTGATTTAAATGCTGGTTTTAATTTTTTACATTTTTTAAAATTAATTTTAGATGTTTTCCTTTAAATGGCAGCTTTTCTCAAACATCTTGTCTTTGTTCATTTGATTTGGTACTCATTAGTTGTAGTAAAGGCATGGAGGAGTCGGAGACAATAAACAGCCTGTTGGAAATGGGCATTAAACGAGAACAACTATGCAGGAGCAGATCTTGGGGCAAAGAAAGAACATGTGCCAATCATTTCTTGGATCTGGTAATCTTAGTTTCAGCTTCATAGCAAACGGGGCACCCCATAGTTACTCCACTCCTGTGCCAACGAAAAACAAACAGAATGTTTATCACTGTCCCTTCTGGAGGATTGACAGACTGCTGTCTCAGCATATGCACTAGCAAACACATGCATTAAAATCATACGGTAGCCATCCAAAGTGCTAACACAAACAGTACGGCATAAGAAATGCAGTTCATCATGGATTGTAGAAGTCACCAACAGATCAGCTGTTGCACACACGATCAATTTTATTAACATAATGGCCCCACCAATATTGCGACAACAGGCATCGTGTCATTTTCTGAATCTACAATTCGGACCACCACGTTGGTCACAGTGGAAAAACAAACCAAATGAAATTCACAGCTCACAGTGTCACGCCATGCACTTAACTCAGAAGCTGGGCGACGAAACTATCCTTTCAGTCTAGAAATGGAGCAAAAATGCACCGGCCACCGTCTGGCAGAAGCAAAAAAATGTGCCACGGCTCACAACAGTGACCTTGCCTAGCGTCCATTTTGACCGGAATTTTCTATGGATACATTGAGCATGAAGACACTGAGATGGCTGTTACTTCGAAGAACAGAACACGAATGGGTTGGACTGATGTGCCAGGATGTTGATGCAGACAACAAGTAAAAGGAAAGGCATGAATGAATACAATTAATCAGTATGTTTTGAAGGAGATCAAAATATATGAAACGATAAAACCAGTTTTGTTATATGGCTCTGAAACTTGGAGCACAACTAAATGAGATGAAGCCTTATTACAGGTTTTTGAAAACAGAGTCTTACGACGAATCTTTGGACCCATCAAAGATGCAAACAGCAGGGAATGGAGAGTGAGAAGCAACAACAAAATTCATAATCTGTTTAAATCACCATTGATAACGTCCAGACCTGCAAACACCTAATGTCACCAACTGGAAAGAGAAGGCCAACCAGAGAGATGAGTGGAGGCGGGTGATATCTGCAGCATTGAACCTCAAGGGCTTAGAATGCTGAAGACCAACCAGAGAGATGAGTGGAGGTGGGTGATATCTGCAGCAATGAACTTCAAGGGCTTGGAATGCTGAAGAAGACCAACCAGAGAGATGAGTGGAGGCGGGTGATATCTGCAGCAATGAACCTCAAGCCCTCGGAATGCTGAAGAAGACCAGATGAGTGGAGGCGGGTGATATCTGCAGCAATAAACCTCAAGGGCTTATGTGTCCATTAGGTATAGATACAGATGATTGTATTCTTTATGCAAAGAAGTTATTGTCTAACCCAGTAAGTTTGCTCTTGAATCACACAGCTACCTTTCCGAGAAGCCCATGGCATGGCAGGTTTGTGTGTGGCACTTGCAGAAAAACAGAATATTCCTGTGTCTAACCTGTCGCTGAAAGATTTCCATTCTGTTAGGTAAGTTCACTTGTTGTATCATTATAAGTGTATGTAGACTGTAGAGAGCTTACCAGTCCACCCACACCGGACTACTGGTTACTTTGTAACCGTTTTGTGGTGCCCTGATATATGTGCTGTATGATGTACGGGAATCTCCATTGTGTAGCGGCTAAACGCTTGCCTGGGGATCAGAAGTTTGTGGATTCAGTCGGGTCCTGGCGGAACCTGGACTTTTTTTTAAAAATGGTGTTGTCTTCTAGGGGACCAAGCCTTAATTAAATGAGTGCTATTTAAATTCCTGGGAAGTCAAAGCACCCAGCATGATGTTGACCTCATCGCCCACCGATTGGTCTAAAAACAAAATGCGCCTGGCCCAGTACAGATAAAGGCATGCCCAAAAAAAAAAAAAATTTATGGCTGTACGGTTGAATGGAGTTTTCAGTATTTGTACCTGTTTCTTCTTCTTCTTCATGTTCACCAGCTGTAAACTCTGGCGGAAAGTTCTGGTTGTTCAACCACTTCTGGAACCAGAACCTGAGTTGCCTGTGCATACATTTTACAGATCTGACTTATTCGTATGCAGACTACTGGTTCCTTGCCTCTCAGGTAGATGCACTTCGACTTCAAAGGAAGCGCCAGTGGGTTCATTCTTGTTTTTTCTATAATAGGGGCCCGACACCAACACGACAGCAATGTACCATTTTAATTCTCATTCTTTAGATGTTAATCCTACAGACTGAAGGGGGGGGGGGGGGGGGGGGGGGGTTTTAAATTAAAAAAAATTATGTCAGGTAGTCTCACTTTTTATATTATTGTGTTTATAGATTGTCAGTTTTCCATGTCAGATTGCAATTCTGTCAAAATATCGTCATATCATCATCATGTGCTATGCCGGTAAGCATAGGCTGTCATATTTCACCATCTCACTTGATCACCAGAATAAAAAATCAGTTCAATGTTTTTGTCTCGCGCCCATCCATCTGACCAGCCATCGATGTAATTTATCTCTGCCTTCCTCTTGCTTTCTTTCCGTCGATCTTATCAGTTGCTGTTTTTTTAGTTCATTCCTTCTCATAAATCCAAAAAATGTTGACTGTCTGTGTCTAACTGTTGTAATAAGTCTATGATTTTCATTTGTCCGGATGAGGACTGCTTCATTTGTTTTTCTATCCTTCCATGACATTGTTTGCATTCTTCTCAAAAACCGCATCTCTGTCATGAGTAAATGTTTTTTGAGCTTGTCTGCCAATTGTCCGTGTTTGGCACGTACTCGACACTCTTTTCTGTCAAGTATACACCCTTCAGATGACCTTCTTTAAGATTTCAAGAACAGTCATGATTACGCAGGTTACATATCTTACCATTTACTTGCAGTGGAAATGTGTTTTTTGAGAATAGTAAAATGAGTTGTGTCAGGAATTGACATCAGAGCACTCGAGGCATTCCTATGCATGCTCCATCCTCATCTTCAGCAGCTTGCGCAAAGTTCCAATACCGATGGTACCGGTCACCATCTGGTTATATGTTCGTCTTGCCTTTCATCTGAGTGTAGTGAGCCGGCCAGACCCTCTGGTTACACTCAGGTGCCTCATTCTCTCCAGGCCATAATAATCTTGTTTCTCTACTGATTCTGTTGCTTGTTCCCAAAGGGCCTTGACCACATCTGCCTTGTCATGTATCAATTCACCACAAAATGGTGCAAATCTAGCCAATCTGCCTGTTCATTACCCACTATGCAGGCATGGCCTGAAGGAAAGATCCAAAGTATGCTCACTACCCATGACCTTCCCAGTGAAGCTTGCCACTCTGCTAAAAGCAACCCTGTCTTGAGAATAGTAGAAAAAAAACCAAAACAAGGCAGTCCTTGAGGAAGATTCTTGTCACTAGCTGGGTTTGTGATTTTTCAAACATGTTAAGGGAAGGAATAGACTCAAGAACTTAGTAATGATTGGCAAAAAGGGTGGAAAGAGAGCTATGGGTAGGAAAATAGATAAATAATAGTGCAACTTAGCCATGTGGATAGAGTGACACAAGAACATTGACCTGACCTGATCCGTGATGATGGTGAATGCAAAACGTGAAAGTCTACTTTTATCAGCATGGCACTTGATGATGATGCTTTGAATCATTCTGAGTGTCTGTAGAGTAGTTACTAAGTCAATATTTGTAGTTTATAGGTACGAGTGGGTTTCAAATGGAAACCCTTTAACTCTTTGAGTCCCAGGGGATTTAGCATCACAGGCCCAGGGGGTAGTAAAGAAAGTAATAAAATCAGCGCATCATGCGTTTATTGGGCTTCTAGGTAGGGGCCTATGAACGTATGATGCGTTCCTTGGGACTCTAAGAGTTAAGTGATAGAAATTACAGTGATAATGCAATTAATTCTCTTCAAAAATTGTCTGTCTTTTAACCTGTTCGTGAGCGGTGTGCTTGACCTGGTCTTGAAAAGTCTGTCACAGAAGTCAAACCATTTTGAAATTGTCTACCCAACTCATACACTTGCTGGACTGGCAGGTTATGTATCTACTGGACCTTCTTCATTTACTGATGAATTTCTACAGATTTCACCCTTTCAGTGATTGAAAAAGCAGTTTGTGATCAAAGAATAACAAATGAAGTGGTTTGGACGCCTAACAAGAATGCCCAGGTACTATCTGCCACAGCGAGCCATACTAAAATGTTACAACGGGTATAGAGCGAGTGGAAGACCTCGGAAAATATGGAGTGATGGCATTAAGAACAGCCTTACAGAAATGAACATCAGCCCTTCTAGTGCTCTTGACAGAGCTCATCAACGAATTTTACATCTCCCCCCGACACTTCGATGAGGTAAAAGGTGGAAGAGAAGAAGAAGAAGAATGATCTAAACAACCGATGACAGAACACTGCTCCTCTTTGGTGTATGTCAAAGGTGGGACAGTGATCTTTAAACTGTCATTATGATGTCACCGTGTTTACCTGCACCGTGATGTCACTTCCTTAATACTCTTGATGTCCTCAACATCAATGTTTATAGTTGATGACAATGGCTTAATTACTGTAATTTCTATTGTACCTTTAGTTTGAATGTGTTGATATTGTTTGCATTCACCGGCTGTAAACCACGGCTGAAAGTTTTGGTTGTTCGTCCATTTATGGACTCAGGCCTTGTTCCAGGACCTGAATTTTGATGTGTGCATCCGTTTTACAGATCTTGCCTATTTGTATGCAGACTGTTGGTTCCGTGCTTCACAGGTAGATGCACTCTGAAGAAAGCCACCAATTAGTCGACTCTTACGTGATGCTTGTTAGGGAGGCAGTGGGTCTGTTCTTGTGTTCCCCACAATAGAAGCCTGGGTTTTTGATTCGCGTAACACTACTGAACTAACACAGTGTCTATGACTTTGTCTGTTTACACAGTCCTCTCTTTGAAGAAGACGTGACCAAAGTCTGGGACTACCAGAATTCCGTCGAACAGTACACAGCTCCAGGGGGAACGGCCAAATCCAGTGTCCAGCAGCAGATCATAAGTCTCCGAACCTCGTTGGGCATCGCCACAAAGTTGACGTAAAAACAAGTGGCCTAACAGTTCCCATCACACTTTTTTGTGCCATTTGTGGCCGGGCGTGGTTTTCAATTTTTTTAATGATTAACAGTGTTGATTATTCCCTAAGTGATAAATGCCTTGTTTTGCTGTAATGTGATCGCATATGTTCTTTTATTTTTTTGTTTTGTTACATGTATTCATTAATTTAATGAGTTTTTGTGTGTGGGTGGTTTGTGTTGGTTCTTCCAGAAGGATTACCCTAGTAAAAATCCTTCATTAAGTGAACATTTGGTGTTGTAGGCAGGAATTTAAAAGTTCTGTAATGCACATTTGATGGTATTTGCACTAGCCTTGCCGTGTGTATTTGCTTTGTAAAGTCTTTGGGCTTGAGGTTCTAGTGCTGCATTCTTGATCACTGGGAGAGCTGCTTCTTGGTCCTACCCTGCCCTATAAAGTACTCTATGGAGACAGTTTCAGTACATACTGCTATAGGTAAATCTCACATGCTGTGTTGTTTTGCCATTAGCTGTTTATTAGTTTCTCTTTGTGTTATTCCCGAATGGATTAATGCAGTGTTTCCAAAACGTTTCTTAGACGCAGCGCTTGTTTTCAATTAAAATTTTTCCACGGCACCCTAACCTAAGTAAAAGTATGACTATTTGTATGTAAGAGATTACCCAAAAAAAAAAACACTTGTGTGTCTTTGAATATTTTGCGGTGCCCCTGTGAAGAGGTCGCAGGCCTCGGGAGCTAACAGTTTGGGAATCACTGGATTAATGGGTTGTGAGTTAAGAATGACATCATAGAACTCGGGACATTACCATAAGACCCTCCTTCTCCCCCCCCCCTCCCCCCCCCCCAATCTTCAGAAGCAAGAGAAGAGTTTGAATTCTGATAGTACAAGCAACAGTCTGATTGAATGTCTGTGTCTAGTACCTTCTCTGAGTATTGGCCAGATGACCCTGGTCACTCCTCATTGTATCAGTAAGGGATTGATGAATAGTATTGCTGCGTGTAATCTCACTTGCTGTTTTCTGCCATAGCTGTTCATTAATGTTGTACAAATTGTTGCTTGTTTGTTGTTGTTTTTCCTGAATGCTTACCAATGCTGTGATGTTATCTGAGAGGCTGATTCTCATTTTTTTTTTTTTTTTGCTGTATTTGTTCATTAATTGTATTCTTTTCTGTTTAGCATTATTGTTTTCTTCTTTATTATTCCATTATTGAGGTGGCGTAATGGTTAGTTGCCTAGACTGCCGAGACCGTGGTCTGATTTTCAAGCACCAGAAGTGGCCAAAATTTGTTGACCTGGTCCATGTATTCAAATGGCCACTGAAACAGGAATTTAAAAAAAAAAACACAAATGTGGACCCTTGAATGTAAAATGAGTGCCGTGCAAATGTTGTGCAAAGTAAAGGCGTTGGGTGCTTTATCAATATCCTACCCCAAACAGGGGAAATCAACAGGTCACGGGACAGTCTAATATTTCAGGGGGTTGTAGATAGGCTGCACTCAGTTGTGGGACCTAGGTAGATTAGGGTTAGGGCCAGTTCTAGATGTATTAGGGTCATTAAAATATAAGAAAGTCGGGAAACTCGGTCTTACCACCCTCTAAAATGTTGGATTGTCCTGTGACGTCATCTGGGGTCAGATATTAATAAAGAACCGACAGTTGATATGAAAACGACCACATTACCCATTAACAGAAAGGGTTAGAACTAGTTCTGTGGTCACATGTTAAAATGTAGGACATTGGAGACCAGTGATCTTACATACCTTGTGGCGTTGGTAGTCATATTTGTCCACAACCTTCCGTCTCGTGTACTTTTTCTAACACAGATGATCTAAGATACCTTGTGAAATTGGTAGTCATATTTGTCCAAAACCTTTCGTTTCATGCACTTTCACTTCTAACACAGATGATCTTCCATACCTTGTGGCGTTGGTAGTCATATTTGTCCAAAACCTTCCGTCTCATGTACTTTCACTTCTAGCCTGGATGGTCTTCCATACCTTGTGGCGCTGGTAGTCATATTTGTCCAAAACCTTCCGTCTCATGTACTTTCACTTCTAGCTCGGATGGTCTTCCATACCTTGTGGCGCTGGTAGTCATATTTGTCCACAACCTTCCATCTCGTGTACTTTCACTTACAACACAGACGATAGCTACCTTGTGAAATTGGTAGTTATATTTGTCCACAACCTTCCGCCTCGTGTACTTTCACTTACAACACAGATGATCTAAGATACCTTGTGAAACTGGTAGTTATATTTGTCCACAACCTTCCGCCTCGTGTACTTTCACTTACAACACAGATGATCTAAGATACCTTGTGAAACTGATAGTTATATTTGTCCACAACCTTCCGCCTCGTGTACTTTCACTTACAACACAGATGATCTAAGATACCTTGTGAAACTGGTAGTTATATTTGTCCACAACCTTCCGCCTCGTGTACTTTCACTTACAACACAGATGATCAAAGATACCTTGTGAAATCGGTAGTTATATTTGTCCACAACCTTCCGCCTCGTGTACTTTCACTTACAACACAGATGATCTTCTGTGCCATAATGTCAGACTGTCAAGCATCATCTCTTTCAGTCTCCCTTTACCTCTTACCCCCTCCACCTTTCTCACCGTCACCGGTTTTCTCCTCCGATCAGAGAATGTAGATTTGTCTTCCTCTGATATAGGCAGGCAGTTCACCCTGTGAGTGTTTCTTCCAGGACATCTTCATTACATTTTTATCAATCCAGGGTGGTCTTATCATTTCTCTGTAATCATTTCCACTCTACTGTGAAGTTCCTGGAAATGAAAGAGCTGATAAACTAGCTAAGGAAGGTGCAAATGAAGAACAATCTGATGTTCCAGTCTCTTATCAACAAAAGAAGAGAATGATCAAATTATCAGAAAGCCACCAAAACCAGCACAAATTGATTACCTATTTTTGGACAGACCAGAGCAAGTTATTATTCTACGCCTTAGAACATGACACAATCGACTTTGCAGCCACATATACACACAATTTTAAATTAGGGAATCAGCCATGTGTTCATATGGATTGGCACCTGAGACAACAGATCATGTCCTCCAAGACGTCTCAGATACAACATATCAAGGCAAAACTTTTGGCGAAGAGAAACGTCAGTGCAAGTTAAACTTTACGGGCTGCTGAGTGAATTACAAAAGACAGTGAAGTTACTACTAGAGACAACATTGCAGATATAGATAATCTATTTCAGGCAAACAAAAGAAGAAGAATTTGTCTGTAAAACCACATTGTCTCTTTGACATAATTTTTCATGGTCCGGCTGCTTCCATATGTCAGAACTTGCACTCTTAAGAACTCTTTTTGTCATCTATATTGATAAAGATAAATAACATTGAACAGTTTAGTTACATGGGAGCATTTTATTTTTAAATTTTACCAATAACAACAATTTATAAGGAACATAATATTAATTTTACTTACCAGTGAGTAGCTGATCATTAAGGCTGAATTGATGATGTTGCATATCATTGTTTGCTATTATCTCCAGTATATTTTCTTGACATTTTGTTTCAGCTGAATGTATGATTGCATTTGTTTGGTGGTTATATTGGCTTCAATATTGTCAGATATTCAGTTTTCAATTATATTTGTCAAAGTATAATGCTTACCACAGTGTTTTAGGTAAGGTGACATAACACTGCCTTTTTTGTATTGTGTGCATTTTTTCTGTGTATTAAGCAGATCCAGTGAATAAATGTTGCTGATTCAAGTGGTCAGTTGTAACTTTGTTCATCTATATATGGGCTGTTAGTAATTGCCCAGGGTATGCTGATATGCTGGAAAATGAAGAGGCAGACAGATTAGCTGGTTTGCAAAACTTGGTGGTAAATTGATGCGTGATAAGCTAGATGTTGTAAGAGTCCTTTAAAAGTGAATATACAGTGCGGAAGCACAAACAGTTCACTGCCTCCCTAATGTTAAATGTTGAATTAAGAATCAACATCACAGCACTTGGGACACCCCTATAAGCACTCCGCCCCCATCTTCAGCAGCAAGCGAAGAGTTAAAATTCCGATGGTACCTGTAACTGTCTGATTGTATATCCGTCTCGCCTTACCCCTAAGTGTCGAGCGTCGGCCAGATCCCCTTGTAACTCCTTGCAGTGCCATTCTCCTCAGACCGTAATGATCTATCTGTGCCTCGGCACTGTTCACTTGCTACCAAAGGGCCCTCACAACATCCAGCTTGTCATACATCTGTTCATCACCAAGTGGTGCAGAAGCAGCCAGTCTATCTGCCTGCTCATTTCCCAACACACTTGCATGACCGGCAGAAAATATAGAAAGGATGCTAACTACCCGGGACCCTTGAAGTTATGCTTGCCACTCTGCACAGAACATGCCCGTCTCAATATGCTCTGTGAGTCAGTTACAATGACGACATGTGTGTACAGCTGATTCTCAAGCCAGCGGAAGGCAGCAGTAACTGCCTCCACCTCCATTCTCAAACTAGACGTTGTGAAATCATATGCCAGGCATTGTTGCACCACACGACGTCCATTCCCCGTAGATATGAACCAACAATGCATTTCATCAGCCCCCTCAACACTGAGCCATCTGTGTAGACAATCACATCACCTGGGCGGGAATTTTCATGAACCATTTTTTTAACTTCTGATTATGCGGCACCAGCTGGCCAGTCCCTGCACTTACGTAATAAAGTGATTAGAACCCTACACAAATCTCAAACTTGAATGGACACTTTGACCAACTCCTCTCCTTGCCTAAATCTATCAAGCCTGCACACATGTCCAATTGTGTCTTCTGCCTCCCTAACAAGGGTTGACTAATTAGGGGTTTCCTTCGAAGTCAGAGTACATCTGCCTGAGAGGTAAGGAACCAACAGTCTGCATACAAATAAGCCAGACTTGTAAACATGCATATGCATGCTAAACTCAATTTCTGGAACAAGACTTAAAGTCTAGAAGTGAACAACCAGAACTTTCCGCAGAAGTTTACAGCCAGCAAA